AATCTGTTGTAGAGGAGGAAATTGGAGCCACTGGAGGCAAATATTTCTCATCTGTCTGGACGGGCGAGCGGGAGGACAAAAGGAGCTTCACGGCATCCATAATGTATGAGTCCACACTGATCCGTCTGTCTGGAAGGACAAACAGAGTTTAATCTTAGCAGCTGAAACTGCACAGTCTGTCTTTTTATACCTCAAAAGTATCTGCAGACAGGCTCACTTTTAATAGGAAAATTATAATGAGTCCATATTTGACATTTTCAGAGCGAGAGCGCAGACAGTGGACATCAAATATGAGATAAATAATAACTTTAATATTTGCAATAAGTTTTTATGCTTCTGTATAGAGGATTTATTGAGTTTTGAAAGTATTTGACTCATACTGTATGTCCTAGATTCAGCCAGCAGAGGGTGCTACTTTACTTCTTTTTTTTATATTTCTAAATAGGCTTCATGATTGAATCCAAAACTCAACAATTTAAAGATATACTGCAGTCAAGATGGATGAAACAATGAGATTTCTGGTGATTATAATATGTACTGTACTTAAATATTGATTTTAAAAGCAGGATCAGGTTTTATCTAGCAGGTTTCTCTGTGCACAAACAACAAACACAAACCCACGATGGAAAAAATTAGATGCATTTTAATGTGTGTGTGTGGAAAAACAACGTATTTATGCCTGCATGCACAACCCGAACTCTGCCTGCATTATAGTGTGACAAAATATCATTTAGAAAAGAAGACATTGTTTCATACATGTTATAAAAATGCATCCATCACTTCCAGATTAGCTTTTTAAGACTATGCAGGAGCTTCACAGAGAGTACCATCAGGTTTTTAATGAAGCAGCACATGTGCACATGACACAAAGTCGCACATGCAGCCTGTTAACTCTTTAGTACTCCCTCCATGTGGTTCCCTGGCAACTCTGTCTGAGTTCATTGTTGCCACAGTGTCAGGATTAGTGTCACAGCTGTTGCACTTGTTGAGATAAAACCACACACACACACACACACACACACACACACACACACACACACACACACACACACACACACACACACACACACACACACACACACACACACACACATACATACACATGCATACAGCCACACATTGTTATCATCGTCTGCAGAGGAACTGCCAGCAGAGGGCACAGCAGGCTCACAGGGCAGGTCACACTGCTCCAATCTTTCCTCAGGCTTCTTATGCAAGACTTTCCCTGAGACTAACCCTCCCTTCCTCTGACTTTACTGCTCCTCTGTCACGTCCACATGCAGCAGGTGCAAAATACTAATAAATATCACTTTAGCAGGAAGCGTTTGACACCTGAATAAAGTGAAATAATCGGTCCTGGTTGGCTTTTTCCACTTTTACCTACTTGTAGCAGCTGACCGGTGCAGCTGGAAAGAGGATGTGATTTAATCACATTACAGCCTGATCAGGCCCGCCTGAGTCATGGTCGTCAACCCATGGCCTTTAAATGAATCACAGATGTCAGGGTCAATTTGTATGCCAGGGTGATTAAATCAGCCGCTTCAACCCCAGATCACAGGTTATGTTCATGTTTCTGCTGCTAATCACATTGTTTAGTGATATTTGATAAGGACCCTATCAGATGCTGACTGATGCATTTACAAAAGTTATGATTCGGTGTTGTTTTTGGCAGAAAATAAGTAAAATGAGTTTGGAAAAATAGCTTTATCTGGTCATATATTTATGCTTTTATCAAAGGCAACATGAGGCATTTTTAACTGGTTGAAAAACGGGCTGATACTGATGCCTCTTTATGACCTTCAAAATCAAACAAGAACAACAACAACAAGGCTAAGATATGGTTTTAAAATGGATCTGATATCAAGCTTTTTCTATCTCTTGCTTTTTGCGGAGTCAAGTTCTTTTTGTATTTTGGCGACTTTGAAAAGTTTTAAACATCTTGATCACTTTGTATGTTTACATGCACAGCAAAGTCGAGCTTTAGCTCTATCTCGATTAGGTGATTAACATGGTCAACTAACCTTGTCCCAGTTTACATGCACGAGGCAAGAATCGAATTATTGACAGAAGCATGACTGCCTCAGCTATGAAGGGCTCAAAAAGGACACTCAGATCTACAGACAGGTTGCTTCTAGCTGTCCTCAAGTCTAGGCTGATTGTAAGACTTTAAAAACCAGGGAAAAGCATGTACATGGTGAATAAAAGGGGACCTGAGATAGAGCCCTGGGGGACCCCAATAGAAAGAGGAGGTGTTTCCAAGCACTACAGAAAAAGACAAATATGATTTTAACAGAGTATTTTTGACAGTGACATTGTGGTTGACTGTATCAGAGGCAGAACTAAGGTCAAGGAGTACTGTAAGCTAAATAGTTGTCTGTTTTTAAGTTTGCATTAGAGAGCCCTCACACAGGCCATGTTGTATAAGCACCCCCTTGTTTATCACATCTGATAACTATGATTGGAAATGATTGACTTGAAGAGGAAATGAGCAGATAAACAAACAATATTTCCAGAAATGACCTGTAGAACAACTGTTTGAATAATGTGATGATGGTTTTACAATGTTGTGGCTTCTCCGGCTTTCTAAAGCCTATTAACTGAGCTGCTTCCTGCCACTCACACTTTTCCTTTTACTGGGGGAGAAGAGTTGGATTGTTGCAGCTAATAGAAGTCTCGTGGTTTTCTTCCTTTCGTTTCAGGTCTCATGACTCCGCTGGACTGCATTCGACTCACTAACCCATGACATGGCTGAGAGCTCTCATCTCCAGTATGTATCTCTCTGAACCACAGCTGTTTGACTTATGGGAGGTGTGTGTGCGAGTGTGTGTATTGGGGTAAAAGGTGTGTACTAAATTGGCAGCTGTTATCACCTGACTCATGATTAACATAACAGGCTTTAGTCAAGTAGGGTAAGAAGACAGAGAATGTGTTATGTCACCAATTATAATAGTGTTAAATATTTTAAAGTCTTAGACTGGGAGTGTAATGCGCAGATAAGCTACTGTAATTGTGTGTGTCTCCTAATTAGGCTGTTATTTCATGAAATCATGAAAAACATCAGCTATTTCAATGATTCATAATGTTTCTGGCATTAAGTGCTAACAGAAAAGCTGAAACCATCAACAAACACATGCACATAATATAGATGAACTGATAGATTTTTCATGACAACATGTCTGCCTTTCCCTGCAAATGGAGCTTGTAATAATCTGACCACATGCAGCATATTTTCCTGCTAATGTTCCCATGAAACAGGCCTCATACAGTAAATATCTTCACTTCAGTTGTTGCTGGCCCCCGCCTGCTGCCTTTACCGTCTGTTCAGCCTGAAGAGTCTTCAACAGGGAGGGCTGATATGCAGGAAGTTGGGTTGTCAACTCAAATTTCATTCTTAAATGTATAAAGGAGAGTTGTAACAAAATTGGGTTCGTATTTCAAAACGATCTTTATGTATAAAATATGAGCTTAAAAGTTACAGTAAAAGTTATATTTGCCATTTAACACTACTCTTATAAAGAATGGCAGTGAATGAGTGCACTGCTACTAAAATTTCACATGATCATTAATAACATTGCGCCACTAATGATTTCTATTCATAAGCGAAACAACACAGAACGTTATTTCCGACTTGTTTAGAGTCATTAACGAGCACATCAAATCCTGTCTGACCCTCCTACATCAGGATGAAAGGTAACGTTCAAGCTTATACATGGTCTATGTAGCGAGTCACATGGGTAACGTAGTGTAACTCTAGGGGAAACACTGAATAGACAATATAAGAGTTATCTCTTTGTCCACAGGGGGTGCCAGAGTCAACACAGACAGAAAGTTCCTCACAGGAGCTTTAAAGAAAGTCGATTTGAGCTTATCTTTTTAGAGTTACGTGGATAGAAAATGACTGACAAACCAATGTTTCACATTTATGTGACATATTGATTGCTGATTATTTGCAAATTATGTAGCGCCTGTATTCAATTTAAATTGGTTCAAGACAACATGAAATATTAGACTAAAATATTAAATCAAATTACATTAAAAACAATAATTCTCATTGATATGTGGACTTAAATGATTCGAAATCCATCGGTTTATGTTTAAACTAACATTTTACACTGGGTCCTGGCTGTTTTGGAACTACTCAACAATAATACTACTCAACTAGAAAAGCACTCGGAGAGCGCAGACCTCCGCCAAGCAGCTCGTGTCCCCCCTTAAGAAATGCCCTGACCAGAATTCAAACCCAGGAGCTGCTGGTTGTGAGGCACCAGTGCTAACCACTACACCACTGTGCAAACAAACCAACGCTACCGAAAACATAACCTCCTCGGCAGAGGTAACAATACTTCTTAATACTAATACTTATGAAGATTGGAGGACATAAGAGTTATCACTTTGTCCACAGGGGGTGCCAGAGTCAACACAGACAGAAAGTTTCTCACAGGGGCTTTCAAGAAAGTTGATTTGAGCTTATCTTTTTAGTTATGTCAATAAAAAATGACTGACAAACTAATGTTTCACATGTGATGTTTATTGCTGATTGTTTGCTCATCATGTGGCTCCTGTATTCAATTCAAAGACAGCATCAATTATTAAACTAAAATATTGAATTAAATACATTAAAAGTAATAACTCTCATTGATTTGTGGTCTTAAATTATTCCTAGTCCATAAACTAATGTTTTAACAACTATTTTTGCACAGGGTCCAGGTTGTTTTGGAATCGGGTTATAACTTAGGACATGATGTTCTTGCATTTCTCATGACATTATACCCTTTTTTGGTGCGAAAAACAATAGGGGGGTTTTAGCTTATTAGGGTTCAGGGGTTTCCCAGCAGTGTTTTCGTGCTAAATTCGGCCGATAGTTATACCTGCTGTGGTGTTGAGATGGACACTTGTGCTTCGTCTCCACTGTACTTCCCGGTCTATTTTCAGAGCTCTATAAACAGAAGGAGGAGGAGGAGAAGGAGGAGCCTACCGCCATGTTTAGGAGGGGATTTGGTGACGTCACACGGGCCAGCGCCCCTGCGCACCGCACAAGTCGGAGCACGCGCTCACCACCAAACGAAGAGGAGGAGAGGGAGCTTGAGACGTCAGTTGAACATGGCGTTGAGCTGGAGAGCTGTCAGCGGTCTACAGAGCAAAACAACCACATTTACGATCTCCGCCTTCGTCTAAAAGTCTCTAACGGATTAGAGTTTTAATCGACACGGATTCAGGAAGCTATTTAAATTGCAGCTGATAATTTTTCTGCCACTTTTGGGACTCTGAAAGGAGGAACGGTTGACAGCCTTACGGTGCGGGAGGCGTAGCTATCGTGTAATTAACCTGGACAGCTTGACCACAATATGTGTGTCAACCTGTAAAGCTAACTGACGCTAACTGGGTATCGATCCCGACAGACCCTGCAGCTATTTGGGTTAACTCGTCATGTGCTCAGACGTATTAGTCGGTCAATAATAACAGCATGATCCAGTGAACTGTTGCACCTTTAGATTTAAGTACAGATAGTTCAGCTAGGTGACACCATTAGGTTTATTTTGTTTGGTAAAGTCTCAGCCTGTAAAGCGTTGAGGAGATGTCTGACAATCAGAGCTGGAACTCTTCTGGTTCCGAAGAGGACATCGAACCCAGAGAGGAGTCCGGACATCTGGTTGGTGTCGTCGACTTAAGCGGAGTCCTCAGTAAGGTAAGTAAGGCTGTGGATGAGCTCCCAGTTTACTAACCCAGCTTGATGCATGTCCCAGTCTCTATCTGTTTTATGTTTACGGAGGGATCAGTCAGTCTGTCAACATTAGAACTCAGGCATATGAGAAATTCCCACTGAAGCAAATGAGAAATAAAGTAGCTGTAATCATGTTAAATTAACCCTTCATTAAACTGTAGAGGCAGGTGTGGCAGCAACACAGGAAAAAATATTTAAAACTCAGTAAGTAGAGGTAGAAATAAAAAATAAATGAGAGGGGTATGCAACTGATATAACAATAAGCAAAATGATCATGACGGTAGAAGTGACACAGTATAATTGTGCAAATTAATAAAGTACAGCATGAGGTATAAGTATAATATCAGGTTTTCAGATTCCTAAAATAAAAGCTAGAGTCATCTCCAGCTCAGAGGCTAATATGTGATTAAAATACTCACTGTTATTATCTGAAAGAAAATGATGGACCATTTGGGGATTCATGTATTTTGATAAGGTAGCTATTAGGATGTAATAAACTGTGGTGCATGTTGACTAATACAGTTAGGTAGCAACTGGTTAATTCTTAAACCCGTGTCAACCTAGTAAACATAGATGTCTGTAAGAATAGGATAGGATAGTAGGAAGAACATAACAGTTATCCTCTCATTAAGGCTGTATGTCATCATTTTATGTACTCACATGTATTTTTGTGAATTTGTTCCTTTACCCATGAGAACACTGAGCGGCCCATAATAACTGACTCCTTTGGTACTCACATTCCCATTGTTTAAGTTTCCTCTTATCTTATCATAACTGTTTCTGAACTCATCGTATCATACTCAGACCAAAGAGCCACAGTAATAATCAGCTCATACCAACATGACATCTCGTAACAAAAACCCTGTAACATCTAACTGTATGTTTGGGTAGCCATATGCTGATATCAGATCAGATCAAATTCCTCTATTACTTATCTTGAAGTACCAACTCTGTAGATAAACAAGCCTAATATGATTGAGATGTCAATCTTGCTTTCCTGTATGTCTTCATATGTAAAAGAATTTCCATTTTTTACTACATAATGAAAAACGGGGACACTTACGGGGATGGCTTTAGCTTGGGACAGGCTATCAGAAACAGGGTCTGCCTCCAGATAATGTGGACATCTGGTCACCCGAGATTTAAGACATAGAAAGGTTGGAATATAGAGAAACTAAGAGATATGGTTGTATCATATAACACATAATAATATGGAAGAGAGCGCAGCTAGCCTTGTTGGGTCATTGATAATTCTTCTATAGTCTGCGGTTATCTTATAATGGTAATGAAACTCAAAAGTAATGCATTCATTACAGGTGTAGTTTATGACACAGTAATGTAATGCAACAATTTTTAAAAACCGTTTAGTGATTTTTTCATTTCCATGACATTGGAAAGTTGTGAAGAATTTTGCAGCCAGTGGAAATACTGGTGGAAATATAATAACCCTTTCAACCATGGCAGATTATTCTTCTGTTTAAGTTCTTTATTTGGTAAAGACGTGTAAATACATGTCCACAAAATAACGCCTGAGGTTAAACAACATGAGGGAAGCATGGTTTCATGGTACAGTGCTAAGAAATGGGAAAACTAGGACAAGAAGCTGCTGTGAGTATTATACTCCACTTGTCAAGTTTTTACCATTTTGCAACTTTTGTGAGTTTCTTGAAGAAATAGTCAGTGACCTGCCACATTGGCCACTAAAAAACTAACAAAGCACTCTGAGGAGCTTTTAAGTGGTGATAAAATGCCTCTTTAGGACCATCCAAGTCAAAAAGACCATCAGGCACAAGGCCAATAATTTCTCTGTTGTGATTTTTAATGTCTGAAAACTGCTGTGAGGGGACAAGAGTCAGAACAGATGATTGATGGCATGCAGAAGAAACTGGTTTTTCACTTTTTCCTTGGCTAGCACTCAATAAAAGGCAACAAGATGAGGTTCTGGTCTGAAACCAAAAGTTCCTCATAAGACTTATTTTTGTCAGTATTTCCATGTCATAATGGGAGTGAGTGAAAGAGCTGACTCTGTCATTTCTGACTCCTGAGTAGTTAATTTTTGTTGCTTCACTTTAAGACATTTCTCCTCTGATGGTTGTGGATACAGCAGATGGTGTTTCTGTTACAAACAGTGTCCAGTGACTCTCTCAACATTGTTTTAAACACCAGGATGCTCTTTTACATGTAAACTAAGAGCGCTGTATAAAAACACTGCCAGCTTTTGTTAACGTGTTCTGTTTTTCCTCGGTAAACAGACAGTTAAGAAGTGTTGATAACATATGTGGCTGTTTGCTTGTTCAAGTCTTTGTTTGGGACAAATTGCCCAGAGTTGAAATGAGTTAAGCTGCTGTTGGCGAGCTGGTGTGGTATTAATCTCACTGTACTCTGGCTGCCTGTAAACAGATTGCAAGCTGACCCGCTAACCAGGCATATTGCGAGATTAAGCAGATCTGTTTCGAGAAAAGCTCACCTGTTCAATCATACTAAGCCAATACACGTCAGAGTTCCTGTGTGGATTAATGAGTGTGCACCTTACGTAAAATCCTGCGTGTGTCAGGTTTTTCCCTAAAGTGAAGGGTTATCAAGTTTGACAGTATGTTTAGTGTTTACTTTACTACGACTCTCCAGTGTAAAAACACAACAAGACTCTCCTCAAACAATGACTTTTTGCTTTATTTGTGTCACTTGGTTTTAAGACCTTTTTTATTTTATGAGTTAAAATGTAAGCACGCTTAATTTTCTTGCTCTTTAACATAAAAAGACATTAGTAATCATGTTTTATTTACTTTTCAGTGGACAAATTACATCCATGGATGGCAGGATCGCTGGGTAGTCCTGAAGAACAACACACTGAGCTATTACAAGTCCCAAGATGAGACAGAGTACGGCTGCCGGGGATCCCTCTGCCTTAGCAAAGCTGTGATTACTGTGAGTACTGTTGTAATTCTTCACTATAAAGCAGCACTTTTCCTCTCAGTCCTGTAATTGTGCATCAGGACTTATTTGATGCACGTTCTGTGTTCTTGAACGCAGCCTCATCTGCCCTTTCACAATGTCTCCCAAGAATAAACACTGCGCTTGCTTGGATAGAGGAACTATCAAACAGAGCAGTAAACGGTCAAGCTTACTTCAGCACACACCCAACCGCTACTCAGGACTTAAGAGGAGACTTGTGTTTATTTTATTTAAATGTTTATTTAGATAGTAAGTGGTGGTTACAAACTACCTCTGTCTTCTTCTCACTTCACCTGCTGCTCAAGGTGATTCTTTCCTGCTCTGTCCTAACCTCACACTTTGACAAAACCAAACAGCCTCAGACAGAGCTGAACCATCATGACATCCGCAGTGAGTATATTTCTAACAAAACAATGGTGCGCAGCTCTGCTTTTGAATGGATTAGTATGAATTTGTATATATTTTAATGTAGTTTTGACCGTCTTGTTGGTGAACCAGCTGTAAAAGGAGGGGAACTTCTAATAATGTCAGCAGCAATTTAGAGGAGTAATGATGACTACAGAGTTTTTGTAATTTTGTTTTTAGATGAAATGTAGAATAAATTTAGATACATTTTAAGCAATTCAAAACTTATTCATTGTAGTTCAATTTAGTGCCCTCAGTTGTACAAGAGTTATGACATTTTCACCTCAAGAATATGTTATTTTAATTTACCAATCCTCAACACTCCCAAATTTGCAAGGGATTTTTCCTCTGTATGCAGTTACAGTACCGCGCTCTTACTTGTAATCTTTTCTGACGTGATTTGCATTCACACAGCGTAAATCTGTGTTTGTGTTAAGTGAGTGACACTTTTGTTTAGACATTTTAATACATATTTGACATTTCTCCACAATTACAGGACTGAACATGTTAGCACCCTTTGAGAGGCATTAGCTCATCCGTTGTTTTTGGATTCACCATAAATCTTGGTTTTAAAAATGTCTGAGCATTTTCGGAGGGTTGCTTAAGATGGTTGTTGCTGCAGGTTTTTCTGCGTCTTTCTCTTTATTTATGGGGGATGGTAACCTCCCCAAAGAACCACTACAGTTCATGAGTCACTGTATACTTATTTTTAACACAATATCAATATTTCTTTATAAAGGGGGGGTCGTAGTTAAAAAAATGTGTATTGCCTGACTAATGCTTTGTTTTTGTTGATGAAAGCTTGTAGACAACCACAGTGCAGAGATTCACCCTTGTTTGACTGGTTATTTAAAAATATTCAACATCTCTTCACTTGCTAAATCACAGCAGGAACCTTCAAAAAGAGGAAAATATTATTTCTGGGTTGTTTCAGTTGTACAGCCTCTAATGCTTAGTGCAGTTTTAATCTTTGCCGGCTCAGGTTTCCAATCTTACTCATCTGAAAAGTCTGATTTTCATGTGTGGAATTTCTTGGCTTGTTCTGTTTCTGCTTCCATGGGCGGTCTCCCCCGACTCCCTCACTTTCTCCCTTAACCTTTAACACAGTTATGAGTTTCACATACGTTATATTTGATGTGTTTCAGATGTCAGGCATCCATCCACCATATGTTTCTCTTAAATTCATGAAAGGAAGGCACCGCTCCTTCCTGGATCCACATGCAGGCCTGAGGCTTGTTTGCAATTATAATCAGACGAGGAGCTTTACCCTGGAGTTTCTCAAACTTGTTCTTCTACTCTACGATATCACTCTTTTTTCATTTTCAAACAAAGATCTCCTGATTATGTCCCAAGATATGCTGAAGGGTAACTCGCCTATCAGGTGACTGTTGTGTTTCAACACATCGTACAATGTGGCAACACTTGACTGGAACCACCATCATCATGAGACGAGTAACGCTGCGTCACTGTGTAGGATTGTAGCAAAGATCAAGTAATGCAATATAACATTGAATTAAAGGATCTAATGGCTTTTAAACTAAAACCCTTTTTAAGTCTTAAAAGAGCTTCCACACTTGGTTAAGCTCGTAAGCATGGGCGCTGTTTCACCGTATTGCTTCAGTCTTAACTCCGGTCAGTGTTTGACTGGATCCCGCCTGCAGGTCTCTCTGAAACAGTAACGAGGGAAATGAATAAGTGACTGTTCCTGGCAGCATAAAGCAGGTTTTGCTATTAGCTGTATTTGTTCAGCTTCATCCATTCCCAGCCTATGTAAATATTAACCTCCGTGTTGGGATCTTCTGCACTCATTTCTCATTCCAACGGGAATGTGCGTCACAAAATGTGGGCATAAATAATGAGGCGCTATAGACAGAGATGTTCATGCACAGACAGTTATTGCCTTTTTTGAACATTTTTTTCTCTTTTGTTTTGCCAGTAATTCTTCCTTTAAGTGCTCCTCCTGACTCCCACATTTATTCCTGAGAAGAAGAAAGTACAGTATGTTCTCAGCAGAACTGAGGCTTGTAATATGTCCACATGTATTTAAAGTTATTTGCAAAGGGTTAGCAATTTTTACAATATTTATAGAAATTCTCTGAAATCTGTGTCCATACTTTGTACCAGCTTAATGAAGACAATCCCCTTGCTCTTTTTCATTTGTTCAGTTTGGAGGTTTCTTACTTTCCTGTGCACCACACTACTGGAATAATCATAAATTATGGTAGATTAGGCCTCCGGTGATGTTCTTAATAATTGGGATTTTCTTTTATTAAATATTATAACACTCCCAGGGTGACGAACAACACTGCAGCCTCCATAGCTTAGTTGTACACCCACCAAATGTAATCTAGATCTGCTAAGGGTTTTCTTTAAGATTACTTGCTTGCAAAAATTATAGTTAAATGCAGCTAGCAAGTAGGGCTGCACAATTACTCGATTTTAAATCATAATCAGATTATTTAATTTTGACGATGCTAAAAAAATGAAAATTTTCAAATAAATTTTCCTCACTATCACATCTCGCATTGCCAGGCCACCGTAGGCTCCCCCTTCCTGCAGCAGCGCTCCCAGTTCCCACACCCACCTGTTTAAAAAAAAACATGGCATTTGCAAAAGAAGGCGATAATTTCGTGGCTTAAGGTCCTTACACACCGGGACTGACGCAAATATACAACGCGAAATTTCGAAATATTCTGAGGCGAATTTTGACGCACCTGACTATACACATCAAGCCTGATACGATTTTGCGACTTTCTGGGGGGGGAAAAAAAGACGCCTCCCGGGTGGAAGCGAGAAGACTGACACAAAACCAGATTGACTGTTTTCAGTTCTGATTAGACACTAGTGTTGAGATGGCTGTCTGTCATGATAGCATGTACTGAATCGGGGCCAGTACCAGATAAGCACATTAAATTATAATCCATAAACATAAGGTAACAACCAAGACCTAATGGTGCTGTGACAGCAACGCTGTGATTGAGTTTGAGACAATGAAAATACATATGGTATGTTTTATCTGAACAGGTTAGCATACGGGCTAAAGTTACTTAGCAAAGATGAAAGTTAAAACAAAGAAACAAAGACATTTAGCAAACTGTTAAAGCACACAAACCATCGTCAAATGAGAAATCCGACGCCATGACTCTCCACAAGTTGTCCTTCAGGTCGTTATCTTTGTAATGTTTGTAAATGTTTCCTGCTGCAAAGTCTGTCTGAGGGTGGTATCAAGCCGTCCACTCGGAAACGAATTTAGGAGTAATCGCAAAAGTTTTTTGTCACATCGGCGTTTCAGGTGACTGTAAACTGTACTTTTTGAAAACAGATCAGAAAGCAGCCCTACTAGCAAGTATTTGACATTTTGCAACAGACCCTTTACTCAAATAGTTCAGTTAGTATTCAGACACTTGAGGCAGTTATTTGTCTTATGCAGCTTTAATGTCAGCATGGTGTTAATGCTCCGTCAAAGTTTCACAGCTACATGCACACATTTCAGTCAGGACACTTAAGGTGAGAAATTTGGTTAGAACTGACAAGTTAGGTGTGATCGTGACATTTTAACCTCAGCGAGACTGATGCACTTAGATTAGCAGTTGGAGGATTGACTTTCTTTTGCACGTAAACGCCTCAGTTGATCTGGAAGTTCTTTGCAGGCTCCACAATTCTCACACATGGCTTTGACTTTGAAACCAAACTATATAAATACAGAGAAGGGCTGAGTCGTAAACAAAACCCCTGCAGAAGAAGAAAAAGAAGACAGGAAGTTATCAACATGGCGTAGAATTAAGTGTAGAGTACTTAAAAGGTGCAGACGTTATGAGAGCTTTTAAGTTTTTTAATCAGCTAGATCACACGACAGAAACAAATACAGCTTCAAATTTCAACAGATTGGGAGCAGCATCTGTGTGCTCCTCCACTAAAGGCCTTTATTCATTGCACAGCTGATGGATGAAATTGCACCCTCCATCTGTTAGCAACAATAGTATAGATCATTTACAGGCATCCTCTTTGTATATTCACTTCATTAAAGGGAACCTAATGACAATATTGAATAGCTTTTACCATTTAGAGGAACAAACAACCCCTCTGTGAGTTAACAGGGACGAGGAGAATCGATGTTAGTGTTACATTAACATCAAAGAAGTTTAATCAGTGTACAAAATAATGACTAATTTTACTTTTACAGCAAGTTTTCACATGATTTTTCAGTTTCTTTTAAGTCAACCTTATCCTTCCCTCCTTAAAATAGAAGCTTAATGTGTTTACTTGAATGAGCAGCTGATCATCAGCTTGTATTACCCACTTTTCACCCTGTTTGGCTGATACAACACAAACAACACATGGTTTTCTCGCTGAGTGTTAGGCGTGCACAACTATCAGTCCCCATGAAACAGCTAACAGAAAGCTGTTTGGTCCTGCATCACAGTCTGGTGGCTTCTCTAGCTCTTGTGTCTTAAGATTGGTAGTAAAAAAAAAAACAATGACTAACACTCTGAGAATTTTTGGCATGGATGAAATATTGATCGTTGCTCAATCTTGGCCAGATGCTTCAGGAAGGCACTTCATTGGATGCAAAATTAGAACTCAGTGAGTCAACGTTGTTAAAAAGAGATTTCAGGAAATGACTCACTAAATATTAAGAACACTCTTTCCTTTTTTGTTTTACACCCTAGAGGAGACATTAGTTGCGTAAGAAATAGCCTTCCCCTTCCTTGAACCCTTCCTTATCATCCAACAAAGGTCACTCTGCTGTTTCCTTGTTTTTGGTTTGACACCTTTACAGTTGTGACCTAGAAACACACTAAAACAAACAAATGTTGACTTTGACGCAGCATCATCCTGTTATTTCAGTTCTGTGGTGCAGATTGTCTGTATTAGCCGGCCTCTAAACACTACTTTTGCAGCCATACCTTCACAGTCTGAGAACCACTGTGGCCATTTTTAGCTCCACGGTCGGTTAAAAGGAGCACACTGGCCTACTTGTGATTCCCTCTCTCTGTGGGATGAGTGAGTAGAGCAGACTGAATCTGTAGTAGTCAGCTGCTTGATTGTTGAGAGTTCTCCACAGCGGCGACAATGGATGTGATAATTCGACCTTTTCCTCATCAGCTCTGTCACAAGAGAAACGGGGAAAAGGGTCAGAGAGAAGGTCAAGTGGAAGTTTGTGAGATTGACGTCAGGCTTAGTGGAAATTGCAAAGTGTCCTCACTGAGGAAATGAGACTCTTCCTCATAGCATGCAACTTCCTCTACTAAAGGGGGTCATGAGGAGGGTCAAGAACCATATATTCGCCTTCGGGGTTATCTGTCTGTGTGTGTGTATGGAAATGACACAGTGCTGCTTTTACGTTCCCTTCCCTTTCCTTTAGTTTCACCCTGACTGAGAGGTGAGTCAGTGTTTCCTCCCTGCTGGAGCCTCGGGATCCCATTTTGGTGTGAGAGGCTGCAGAAAGATGTTCCTGGCAGCTCGCCTGAGCTGTTTGGACAAGAGGATGCAGTATTTATTCATCTGGATCTCCTCTGCATAATTACAGTGTTAAAACTTGCATGCATGAGTAATGAAATCAGTTAGGTGTGGTGCAGCTGTTATGATAATGTTGGTGTTTGCATATGGTTTGGTCCGTCTGTCCTTGCAGATGAAGATAATGAGAAACTTTCTGAAGGGGAGATCAAAACAGAGAAATGAAGAGCTGCGTTTTCACTATCCTGTCTACTTTTTCCTCATTCATGCACCTTTGAAAGCTAGCACAGTTGAAAACTATCCAAAACAAATGAAACACACACAGATACGAACCCCTTATGATGATTCAAACGTGGGATGAGGCAGAGATAGTTGCTGGCAGAGGCTTCTCACCAGAAAAACTGCTTTGTTGCGTAGTCGCTTTGGTATCCCAGTGGGTGAGACCTACATTTGTGTCATTCACACTGTTGGAGTATGTAGTATTCCTTCACACAGACACTGAGCTCCTAAAACTCTGATACAAAAGAGAGTGAAGGAATACAGGGAAGGTGTGTTACATTCATTGTAGAGGCCAAAGCAAGCACAACGTGACAGGTGGCACTCAGGACTCATAGTTCAGTCTTGATGGGGGAACTATAAACATCATTGAAATTGAACTCAGACAGTCACTAAGACAACAATAATGTCTTTCTTGCCTTCCATGATCTTAACAGAAATCGGCCTCTTGGGTTCGAACCTCATAAACCTGGATCTTCTTTTTAGTTTTGTCCATCCTGACTCTGCTGTGCTCACTTTCACATTGCTCAGTGGTTTTATTCTGTGGTTCAGTCTTAGGCCTCTTACTGTGAGCTCTGGACCGCAAACTTCCCTTGTAGGTGCAAAACTCTAACTCTAACCCTGCACAACACAAAAATGCACTTGTGGATCTGAGCTTACTGATCTTTTAAGCCAAGGACAATGAGTAAGCAGCCGTCAGAAATCATCATAAATCCAGATGGAGCAGCTCTAGGTCATGAAAGTTGATACTGAGAAATAAAAAAATCTCCCTTAAATAAAACCAAGATTCGTTAACAAACTGAAATAAAAGTCTAAGCATGTGTTTTTAAGCTGTAATCATTGAGTTCATGAACTTTGACCTGACCTTTAGCTTCTACAGATCGTGACACAGAGCCTAAGCAAGATTAGAGGATGATGTAAGACTAGTAGCATCACTTACAGACATATGTCTTCCTGCTTTACTCTGGATTTCTGTTTGAGAGTGTAAATTTACTTTACACTCAGAGAAAATTCAGCAAACAGTCGGGCTAATTCACATCGCCAAGAAGCCTCTCCTGAATACACTGGAGTCCGTCCATGTCATTACAGCTGACGGAGAGAATTTCTTTAGCTCACCGCCTTTCACAAAGCGCCCATCATTAGCATGTCATGGCATCTTGTGAAGTGCAAGGCTGCTGTTAAAATGACCTCCCTGTGATGGATTATTGTTTACTGTGGCCTTGGATCCCTGTAACCTCCCTAGACCCAGCACAGGCTTTCATTTTTTTCAACCTTGGTCACACCTACTGGTCGGTGTGGCCGTGACCTGGCATAGTCCTAAGTGATCAAGAGGAATCTTTTCTTTGGCTTTCCTAGCAACCAAATAACATCGAGCAACAAGCTCCGCCGATTTCTGCAGCGACACTCCAGGAGAGTTTGAAATAAACTTTCTCACTTTGTAGCTCCAGCACACGAGCCTCCACCTCGTCATCATCATCTTCGACTTCAGAGGACACATTTTCTGAACTATTAGACGGCTTATAAAAGCACTCTCTTCATCTTCCCTCTTCAGCTCTCCTGATTTCATGCAAGCTAGCTTTCTGCCATATGACAACAATGTGCAATGAAAGGGAGTGATTGAAGGCTAATATTAACCGAACTGAAATCTGTGTTGAAACTTAAGGATGTTGTGACGCATGTCCTGGACTGAACAGAGGGGCGGTTGATTAGTACTGCCTGATTTCCCAAAACTGCTAACATCAGTCCCTGACTTACTGAATGTTGTTCAGAGAAATGGAAAAAAACCATCACGCTTCAACAATTATTTCCGGTCACATGTGTGCTTAATGTATTTTAAGGTTGCGTCAATAAAATTTAAGAGCATATTCAAACAAAGCAGTTTTACTGTTGATTTTGAAATGATATGATGAGCTTTTCATTATCCTTCCTACTTCTACCATTTTCTAATTATCAAAATATAAACTTTTTTGGTTGGAAATGTTTTGTTTTTAAAGTTTAAGCAGTTGGCAGTTTTAAAAAGACCACCAACTGCCCCAAATCCAAGTAAAAATAAAACTTCCTTTTAGGTTCAGTTGGCAGTTTAAAAAAAAAAACCACCAACTGCACCAAATCCAAGTGAGAAAAACCTCATTTTTTGATGGTTTTGCCACAGTGTCAACAGGCAGAGGTGAAGTGTTCCTGGCATAGCTTTTGCTGTTGACAATTATCAACTTTTTGACCAATCAGAGTAGTGCTGGGCGATAGGACGATAGATATCGTGGGCACGATAGAAAATGTCTATCGTGCCATTTTTATTTTTATCGTTTCGGGCGATAGGCTGTATTTTATCCATAGGGCTTGTGCCATCAGATGATTCATAGTAGCAACAACAATAATTACACATTCAGTAAGTGTATTTGGTGTCGAACGGGAAAGAAAACAATATTTTCTTACGAAGAAAAGGATGCGTTGACATATAGGCTTGCATTTCTCTTTCGATTTTGCGACATGACGCCGCTTTACGTGCCCTCTTTGTGTCCAGCGTCTCCCGCCGTTGCGGGTTACCTGAGTTACACACGTGAGGGGATCATTGTAAGCAGTGCTTAATTTGTGCCGGAGCAAGTCGGAGCCCGATCCGGGACCTCTTTTGATCGGATCCGGGACCTATTTCAGCCGCTCCGGCACCTGTTTCATCTGCTCCGGGACCTTCCCTGTAGAGGATGACATTTTTCGGGAATTCCCGTGGGTCACGTGATTCCCGCGGGACTCCCACGGGATGGGAGTCATTTTTTAATTAATCCCTTGATCGGGACGGGACGGGAAAAAAGCAACGGGAGTGGGCAGGAGCGGGAACAACATTAAAAGATGATCATTTTCGGCGGTGTTTAACAACCAGATGAACAGGTGCGTCCATTTTTGTAGTCATCTCCCAGTGAGAGCCAACACTCTTGACCGCGCTAGCAACACAAAAGAACTACAACGGTGGTTTGACTTCCTGTCAGCTGGGAGCGCGGCTGCGCATTTCTACCCTTCAAGCCAGCAGCGAGGAAACGTAATTTTGTGACATTCTGTAGTTTTTCAATCATTTCTGGAGTCGTGGCGAATCAAATCACCTTACCGGTCTGCCCCTGATAGGCGAATAAAGCGCTCGGATTCATGCTCGGGTCTTGCTACGTGCTTCAAGAGTAAAGTAAACAATGATGGAGGCAGAGAGCAGCTTTGGAGGAGAAACATCTAGCAGTGTGAACAACCTCTTCAAAAGAGCCCTAAAGACCTACCTTTTTAACAAAGCCTTTGGTTAGTTTTCCTCTATGCTTTATGCTTTTACTACCTTGCCTCTTACTTTGCAACTCTATATTTTTTATTTTTTTAAATTCTTTTTTATGCCAATCTGTGACTGTCATTCTATTGCTTTTTTTTATTGTTGCTGCTCTTTTTTTACTGTGTACTGTAGCACTTTACATTTACAAAAAATCTCAAATTGCATTACAAATTAAATTTATTATTATTATTATTACTATTATTATTATTATTATGGAGTGCTTTGGCTCACACTATCGGCGTTTTCTGTGAGTGTTGCATAACTTTGGGTGAGCACAGACATGAACGCACTTCAGCCACGTATTTATTTATTCATTTTTCTAGTTTTAAGTGCTGGTCTTGTACTGGTACTGTACTAGTGCAGCTGTATACACTTACATTTTTCATAGAACTGAAAGCATACCATAGCTATATCGTGATATATATCGTTATCGTGATATAAAATGATCCATATCGTGATATACATTTTTTTCCATATCGCCCAGCACTAAATCAGAGTTAAGTATTTAGCACAGCTAGACGTTCGGTGTCAGAGGAGATGATCGGCCTTTATTTTTAAATAATTACAGTCCTAGCATCTTTACTGGCAGCATTTTCTGTGAAATCTGAACCAATAAATTCACAATGGCTTCTTTTAGTCAAAATACCAAGTAAAATATTTGTAGCACTCTGGAAGTGAACGGGACCACACACTAACTATTTTTGTAAACAAGTAAAAGTAAACAGGCTACTAGCGCTACATAACAGGTGAAAAACTTGGCCAAATACTGAGCTGTGTTTAAAGACGGCTGTAACTTTACCGGCCGTCTGAGTTCTCCAATGTTATTAATGTGCTTTTAATGACTCAGCCTGTTTATTTAGGCCCTGCTCATGTTTGCTAAATGTGCTTAACTCTCCATTTAAGTAGCTTCAAGACATCAAATAGACATTAAACTTTCAGATAAAAATTGATCCACTGTCACAAAATCATACTGCCATCCTCTTATTTTTTTGTTCTGTCTTCTCACCTCACTCCTCACCTTCACAGTGTCAAGCAGTTCTGCAAAGTCACTCTTGTTCCCCAAACATCTTTATGGGCTCATTTATTACACTGCCAACCTCATGAATTATATCCCAGTCCTCAGTTTGGGCTCAAGCTGTCCTTGCCTTCCCTGGGTGATAACAGATTGTGAATATAAAACTGTTAATGATAGTACGTACGGGTCTGTTTTGTCACAGTTCGTCACATTATTGTGTCCTTGAATAGACGAATTAACGCTGCTAAACTGGAGCAATCAATTAAGCATAATTAAAATACTTGCAGTGACAAAACTGTATTGATTCACAGAACAAAAGGATCAATTAGACAAACAATCAGGGATTCTGAAAGAGCTGAAACAGCTGCAGAGTCTCGGCCTCCCAAAATAAATGACTGTACTTATCAGGAATTACAAGAATAAACTAAGACAGGGATCCCGGATGTGTTTATTGTAATGCAGCTGAAAGAGGAACACAGTGGTTTCTTATCTGCTTTGATTTCGCTCTTGCTTTCAGTTTTTACTGCAGTCTCTGGAAATTCTGCTCATTCAGTCTTTTTCACTTCTCAAACCGTGTCCTCAAGTACGCTCCGACAAGCCAGACTCGTAGATCAACCCTCTGCTCTTCCCTCTGTGATTAGACCTCGAGAGTGTTTCAGACTCCAGCCTCTCACTGCAGAGGTGTCCTGATGCATTTGGTAAACACTGCACAGCAGGTAAATACCACCGCTGTCATTACCACCTCAGGCCCCCTCCCAGAACACACACATGCACACACACACACACACACACAAACACACACATGGTTGTTGGCCATGCCGACGCAGCAGTTTTACAGCGCTGACAATACACAAGAGGGCTATTAGGAATATGCGCCGTCCTGCAAGTTCCCTTAAAAGGCCAGTTATCTGCCACTTCTCCTCCTATGGGACTGATGGTCTGAGGATGGAGGCTGCTTTGCATCTGCTGCCCTCCTCTCTGACCTACATCTCTGTGAGATAGAACCAGCAGATATGAGAGGAGAGAAGAGATAACTCTAATCCCATGACTGTGTGCTGGATCACCACGTTTTCAGACGTCAGCGCTATCAAATGAACAGATTGCCACGAAACAGGAGGGAGTGCTTGTCAGTCTTCTATTTCAGTGTCACTTTAATAGCTATTTACATGGTTGTCATCTCCACATGTGGCTCTTCTTGAGCAGGGAGAGATTTGCATTTCCCCTGCTATGAAAAGAAAATGACAGCAAGCTTAGAAATGTAGAACAGGAAACACAGCGAGTTCTCAAAACAAGCCTCATTTTTGGATCAGCTGTCTTTTCTTCTATCTGACTTTTAATTTAAGAATAAGAAGCAGGGCTGGGCAATAAAACTATTATGATATATATCAAAAATTAATTTCCCTCGATATATATATATGAAACATGGTCAATATGCTTTTCGATAGCTGGCATTCTGACATGTTTTGGTAGATGAAAAGAGGGGAGTTGTTCCGAGTCCGCGCCACGCTAAACCAATCATGTGCTGAATTAAAACCAAGTAGCAAACAACTGTGTAGTAGCAGGCTGCAGCTACACGCAACCATAGCAGAAATGCAGATGAGGGCTCAACAGATGATGACATCGTCGACAGGATTGGCACAAAAACGTCAGTGGTGTGGAGGTATTTTGTTTTTTTGAGGTCAGACATGAAGCAGAGTAACCCCCAATTTCCACCGTATCCGGAACGGCAGTGATTTTCGCCGTCCGCCTATTCCTACTGGATCCATTGGTGAGGCGCATGTCATGGCAGATTGCAGACAGCAGGAATCGTGTTAACTCGCAAGAACCCTCGGATTCACGTGCAATCGCGCGATAACGGGTTGTCTCTTAGCCACATAGGCTAACCATAAAAGCAGTAAATTGTGTCCTTCCAGAGGAGGAAATCTACTTCTAGACTTCTAAAAGCAGCATCTTCTCATCCATGGTGTCATCAGGGTGATATGTTGTCCAAAAAACTCACCTGTTCGTTTCCGCCTGTTTGCATAGTGTGAAATACCATCCGCCTGAAACACGTTTTATTCTGAAAGAAGCCAGATGTTTTATTTTGTGTCTGTGCCTGACTTCCTTTCCTGCGTGGTTAATCTTTGCTGAATTTCTCCTGCATGCTGCAGTATCTGGAAAAATAGAACTCCTGCGATCAGCTGTGGAGTCCGGCGATCCGCAGCAGAACAAAAAGAAGCTGGTGGAAATTGACACATTAACTTGAATGGTTACAATCAGCCATGATCGGCGGATACGGCCTTTTTGTAGCCGTTCCGGATGAAGTGGAAATTGGGGGTAATGTGCACTGCAAATTATGACGAGTACATCTTCTTACAAAGTCAGGAAAGCGTAACAAGGAACATTTAAGATTGATAAGTGATTCTTTTATATGGTAATATATATTAATAACAACAGATATGAAAAAAATATACTGTGATAAACTTTTTCCCATATCGCCCAGTCCTAATAAGAAGTATAAGAGGTGTTCCTCCACATCTGTTCACTGTCTTACCGCCCTGCCTCTTTGTTTTCTCTTTGTGTACTTTCAGCCTCACGAGTTCGACGAGTGCCGTCTGGACATCAGCGTCAACGACAGCGTGTGGTACCTGCGAGCACAAGACCCGGAGCACAGACACCAGTGGATCGACGCCATCGAGCTCCACAGGGTAAGTTGTTCACACTTTATCATTCATCGCCTTTGACACACTTTGACTAAATAATCTAATCCAAGGTTGGAATTTGTGAATGTGTGTGTTTCTATCAGAGTATCAGAGAGGGGAGGCAGGAGAAGGGAGGAGTCCAGGGAACAATAATCATCCCTCCACCACTGGTGCGTTTGTAGGACAGTAGGTCTGACTGAGTGCTCGCTTGTGGTTAGAATAGCTCACTGTTGTTCCACGTGTGTGTGTGTGTGTGTGTTTTTGTTCAAATTAGCATCTGTGTTTGTTAAGCTCATGCAGACTTTTTGCTGCGCTCATATTATCAGGGATGCATGGCTTTTGAGCTGTGCTTTAATAATAAACGCTGGGAGGTCTTGAATGATATTGCTTTGTTAAAACCGCCTTAGCCAAAGCCAAAGGTTGTCTGAAAGCTGCTCCTGTGCTTCTGTTAGAGCTCCTGTTCATTGATTCCTGCAGGAAATCCTGAAACGCTGAGGTCAAACCGCCCTGCTGTTGAGTCAGTCAGCCCTGAACTGTAGTCATTGCATTGTTATCAGCTTGAAACGCAGCACAATGTAACTGTACACACACTGCAACAAAATGTGCTTTTAAAGTCCTGTGCTAAAGGACTCGTGGTGCTGAGAGAGTCAAAGTAGCTCCCATTGTTTCCAGCCCATGTCAAGGACAGAGGAAGCAGGTTCAAGCCCTACTGTGTACCTCAGAGCACAAAACAACAGAAGAAGACGTGGTGTGTTCACAGTCACATACGCACAGAGAGGAGTTTATGTTCTGTCATCTGGCTTTCCAAATTCGTTTCTGATCGTTTTAGCTACAGAGGAAAATAAAGTGATTACTCAGCATCCACAAAGAAGATTCCAGTGTTTAAAAGTCTGTCTTTAATGCAGATTTAATCCATCTTTGAGGCGTACTTGTGTTTATAGACGAGAGGAAATCAGCCGCCACACCTTCAGCCTGTGTGAGGAAACACAAACACGCTCACTCGTGGTCCTTAACTTTGGGAAAACCCCCTAAACCCCTCCTCTCTGCGCCTCACTCACTCATTCCAGCACAAGAGAGGCACCGTGACTCATACTCAGACTCTCGCACACACTAACACACACAATCCCACCCACAATGAGTCACCACCAAAAACTCTCCTCCTTCTTCGAAGCCCCGTCTTTCTCCCTCTGCAAACCCGCATTACTCACAGCAGCAGCAGCTGAACGTCTCCAAGGAAACACAACACACCACAGCCGACACGTTAGCGTCTCATAATCGAAGACATCTTCACACAAAAACAAAAGTGGTTTCTAGGTGACTATCTGTAATAACAACACAAGCTGTGTCATTTTGTGTATTTTCAGTGAGCACTCACAGCCATGTGGCGTCAATCTTTATCATGTAGGATCAACTTTTTGACTGTTTTTACTTTCTATTACTGAAAATTTCATAGTGATGGACCTGATTGACAAGGGAAAAAATCTGATTTAAATGTTTACTTTATTATTTTCATGATGGAAAAATACAAAGAAATGTTTGGGAGAAAACAGATTGGGACAAAAAACTATTTTCATGCTTTCTCTTAATCAAAATAATTGCAAAAATAAAACCGTAAGAGAATTAGCATGAATTTCTCCCCTATTATCCCCTTTTCCTGTTATGAAATTTTCTTTTTTCTGATCGTGTATTTTAGGGGTGGGAGAAAAAATTGATTCACATAAGTATCCCAATTTTTTGTTTTACAGTTTTTAAATCCATTTTTTTTTCAAATGTAAGAATAAATCTTAAAAACTGACTCACATTTAACGTTTAATTTTTGGGCAAATATGGTTCCTGGAATAGTCAGTAGACAATCATAATCATTCAGCTGTTTCATAGGTGTTACAAATGCAGACTACAAATCGAGAAAATCGACAATATCGTAGAAACGCAATTTAAATCGAATTGGCATCCAAAAAATCGTAGAGGAATTGAATCGGGAGAAAAGCATATCTTCCCAGCCCTAATGTATTTACATTTGCGACAAAATAAGACTCTTAGAAAACATTCACCTGCCCGTCACCTGCTGAAACGTTTATTCCTGCAGTTATTGAGAAACAAGAAACTGAAGCTGTTTTCAGACGTGCACTCAGGAATATCTCCAGAACATTTTAGGAGCTCTATCCTGAGCTCACACCCCCTCTGCCTGCCTGCTCCCCCTCATCACTTACTGTGTCCTTATGAGCTCTTCACCTTAAACCTCACCCTGAGATGATGATACTAAGAGGCTAGCAGGAGATATTCTGGGTGACGTCAGGGTTCAAAACTTGTTTGTGTCTGCACATGCTCAGCTCACCCACGGGGTAATTTCAGGGAGTTTTCAGGAACCTCTGCATGTCTGAATGGAGTTTTTTTTTTAAACTGGTTTTCACATTAATTTATGTTGTTTGGAACCTTTCTGTCATTAAGGAAATAAGTTAAATGTGTATGTCTTATTCTCCTCAGTCATTTAATGATTTCTAAATCACCTCACACATAAACACACAGCATCTACCAACTGTCATTATGTCAAGAGGAGGAATTCCTGCAGCTGCTTTTACTCCTCTTTTATTTATTTAATTTTTTCAATCAGTCATCAAAAGCTCATCTTGTTTGCATGGATGAGTTTCCTGCTATCAGACAGATGAAGCAGCCTCCACGCAGACACTGAGATAGACCTACCTATCTGCACTGATGAAGTCACTGGGGTAGCAGCAGTATGTTGGCTAAAGGGCAGGCAGCAGCAGTGACTCAAATCCATGTGAACGCAGGCGGAGTTACTTTTGGTCGTTGACCGACAGTTACCCCAGGCGGTTGCTAATGCGAGTCACGTGCGTGTTCATCTCCTGCCCTCTGGTGGTGGGAAAAGAAAGTGCCTTTTAAAGGGAACACCAGGGCTTTCTCTGTGTTGTTGAACCTTTTCCTCTCTGCTGTCCCTGCTGTCCCTCTATTTTGAGGACCGGCCTGTTATGTAAAACAAAAGGGGAAGCAGTTAGGGTTAGAGGAAGTCAGCTGATGTTTCAGTTGTGTTGCCAAGGTGATTGAGTCCACGTCAGAGTGTGGCCTGCGGTAATGTTTCATGACAGCACCTAGAGGGTTTATAGGAGGGCTGCTTTTGTAATGATGTTTCTTAAAGCCAAAGGTGACATTTTATGTACAACTGTTGAGTTTTTTTGAACATAACAGCTGATTAAAACAGAAATGATTCACATTTAAGAAGCTGGGATGAGAGGATCTAGAGGTTTAGATATAAAATAAGAACATTTGTTAGTGTCTAAATGAATATTTCCAGGTGGATCCGTGTGGAATTCAGAGGCCGTATAGATTGTGCAACACACAGATGTGTTTGCCAGGTGAGAACATTTGGATCCGATAGAGCAGAGATTAGGAGGGTCAGTTTTAGTGAAGGATTATTAGGAGCTGAACTTTGGTGTCAGCAGGTTTGTTTTGTAAGCTGCTGCTGCTTCTCCAAACACACTCATGTTATTTTTCTCATGCTAAAAAGTCACTGATCAATATTCTTTAGTGAAGCTGCTGTCTACTAAACTGACTCACATGTCACTTTGTCTGTTTTCCCTGATCACAGGCCGATTCTGGATATGGCTCAGAGTCCAGTCTGCGGAGACACGGCTCCATGTTGTCTCTCACCTCGGCCACCAGCGGCTACTCTGCCACCTCCACGTCCTCCTTCAGGGTAAATGTTTGCTCAGGCTGGGTTTTTATTTTCCTTTATTTGTTGGCACACATGAGTTATTTCTGGGATGGTTGTAAATATGAACAACGCTCTGACCACTCTGTTTCATTGTGATTTTTGAAGAAGGGCCACAGCCTGAGGGAGAAGCTGGCAGAGATGGAGACATTCAGAGACATCCTGTGCAGGCAGGTGGACACTCTGCAGAAGTACTTTGACGGCTGCGCAGACGCCGTGTCCAAGGATGAGCTGCAGAGGGATAAAGGTAGAAGACATTTTAACTCTGTTAACCAGATTCAGGCCATGTATAGTTTAGTTTAGACTAACAACCAGGGACTATACAGGGTCTAGTTTACAGCCCAGCAAATGCTAATCAGATTGATGCAAGAAAAGGACTTCACAATAAACTTCAGTTTATAGAAACAGGTTTTTATTTCAATATGCAGCTTCATCTCTACTGTCACATAGCTGTTGTACGAGTACATCTGTTGGTTTCTGGGAACTTAAAAAGAGCAGAAATCACAAAAAAATCTCTCAGGAATCTGTAGCTTAAAATTTGTCGATAATGAAAACATGTAGTGAGAAAAACCGTGCTCTTGGATTCTTGTAGGGAGTGTTTGTGTGTGTTGTGACTCAGACAGCAGTTATTCTACCACCCTCACCCTAACCCTCAGCGGCCCGTCTTGGCCGGCTGAACATTTGCTCATGGCAGCCAGTGCTCTGTGTGCTCCTGTGGATGACCACAGCGAATGAAGCCCTGCTTTTGTTCTCCTCACCTCCCTCTTTCTCTCCCTCCTCCCTCTCACCCTCCTTTCCTCTCTCACCCTCTGTCCATTCTGAAGATGAAACCAGACCATTGTCATGTTGTCCAGCACAGCAGAGTTCTGTCAGTCTGATGGTCTGCTGTGCTGGAGTTTGAGTTGTGAATGGGACACAAGGCGCTGCCCGGCATCGGAGCTAGACTGGACTTTCAGCAGGGCCTTAAAGGACATCTGCCTGTAAATGTCTCCTCTCTGAAACCGTCTTCTTCTGTTTACAGTGGTGGAGGATGATGAAGACGACTTTCCCAACACTCGGACGGATGGAGAGTTTCTGCACAACAACAACAACAACAACGGCAGCAAAGAGAAACGTGAGTGAGGCAGAACTCTTCAGAAAACTTGGTGTTTCTCTTTTGTCAATACAAACATCTATGTCTGAGATAGAGAACTGTTCACCCTACACTAAAATACCGTAACACTCACCGAGATGTCACTGACGAGTCTGATGAATACGAATTTGTTGTGTTTGTTTAACTCCGTTTTTTCTTCTGTTCAGTGTTCCAGTCCTTGAGTCACAAGGGAATCAATGGCATAGATTTCAAGGGTGAGGCCATCACATTCAAGGCCACCACAGCCGGGATCCTGGCCACTCTGTCCCACTGTATCGACCTCATGGTGAAGAGGGAGGACAGCTGGCAGAGGAGACTGGATAAGGTGAGAAACATCTGGATTTAATCAACCAGAGAGAGAAAGTTATTGTCAGTGTACATACTTGACAAATTCCTCTGCACAATCACATTTGTTTTGACGCCTCTGGACGTCTGTGTGTGTAGGAGATGGAGAAGAGGAGGAGAATAGAGGAGAGCTATAAATCAGCGCTGAATGAGCTGAAAAAGAAGTCTCATTTTGGAGGCCCAGACTACGAGGTGAGAGTCTTGAAATTCAGTTATGAAGCTGCTCGATATTTCAGTTGTGTGTGCATTTTAAAGCAAAGCTCTGTTTCTGCACTCTCATCACAGGAGGGTCCAAACAGCCTCATCAATGAAGACGAGTTTTTTGATGCGGTCGAAGCTGCTTTAGACAGACAAGACAAAATAGAGGAACAGGTAAGAACATGAACAGAACTCAAAGACCTGGTTTGGAGGTAAAAGTTTGTCAAACATTTCTCTGGATCTGTTTTCTGTCTTTGTGTTCAGTCTCAAACAGAGAAGACCAGGATACAGAGATCCAGCCCCGTCCCTCCTTCAGACATTTACTCCAGCTCCGGCTCGCACAGATTCTCCGACAAGGTTCGATTTCAAACAGCTTTCAGTACTCCAGCCGCTCCACCTCCATCCCTTCCACTTCCATTTTTTCCTCATTTTCACATCCTGTTATTTTAACTATGTCTGTTTCTCACCTTCATCCCTCCATTGTCATCCTCCCTGTAGCCTCATAGTCAGTCCCACCCCGCTCTGATAGTCAGCGCTCTTCCTCCTCCTCCTCATCCTGTCCACAGATACAGCAGAGAGGTAATCCTCAGTCCTCTTGGCCCTGAAATCATCAGAATCAGGATCAATGTGTGTTCACCTTAACACCACGTCTGCATGGCTGCTGAACCCGCAGTAACAAAAGCTGAATTAAGGAAGCTCTGAGAGAGACTGAAACTTACCTCAGCAGCATGAAGCATGAGTTTGAAACCTTGGTGGCTTTTTTATGCATATTTTGGGGTCTTAATCACCTTAATGGACAAACAGATCAGCCGTTAGCTAGCATGTTTTTTAGTCTTCAAACGTTCACAGTCATGGATCCAAAAAGTGGGCGGTCTCCAAGCTTTCCTTGGAATTACAGGTGTCTATATAACCACTGAACACTTCTCAGTGCCCATCAACTAGTATTTGTTCTTTACATGTTCAAATCTTAAAGCCAAATCTGTGAGTGGCAAAAAGAGAGACCCTGAAATATGTCAAAGTGGACCAAAGTTTGAAAACACTTGAATTCCTTGTGTCTGTGTCTGTGTACCAGGTACCAGAGTGAAGTACTTCAGTCAAAGTTAACACACTTTTCTAATGTCACTGTGGTCACCTGCATGTCTCTGATTTAAAAGGATATTTTGGTGTAAAATTAATTTAGGGTCAAACACACTGTAACACCGAGTTATACCAACTTCCATAGTGATACCAACTTTAGTAACGACCGCAGGATAGCAATACACAGCGGTCTGAGGAGCTATAAACAAACCTCAACCAAAACGCCACTCTATAGCCACAAATAATGCTCAGAACAGCACCTAACTTCATCAACAGTACATATAGGGTCCCAGCCATAGTACTAGCCACCAAACATCTTTTTAACTTTGCCTGATTTCTTTAGCAAAGAGACTAAACACAACTCACCTACTCTCTTCCAGCAGTCGCTTGTTTGTAGGGAGACCTTGGGACAGTCCATTACGGACTACAGTGGGGTGTAGCAGCTCAAGGAAGAAACATTTATAATCATTTCTTCATGGAAATGCAATCAAACTGAGACACTGAGGCAGAAGAACTACCGCCTCTGCAGTGCAAAATGATTATTATGGTGATTATTACTTCAAGAAAATTATAAAGTAATGATGAAAAAAGTTCTTCCTTGAGCTGCGTCACCCCGCTGTAGTCTGTAATGGACTGGCCTGAGGTCTCGCTACAAACAAGCGGCTGCTGGAAGAGAGTAGGTGAGTTGTGTTTAGTCTCTTTGCTAAAGAAATCAGGCAAAGTTACAAAGATGTTTGGTGGCTAGTACTATGGCTGGGACCCTATATGTACTGTTGATGAAGTTAGGTGCTGTTCTGAGCATTATTTGTGGCTATAGAGTGGCGTTTTGGTTGAGGTTTGTTTATAGCTCCTCAGACCGCTGTGTATTGCTATCCTGCGGTCGTTACTAAAGTTGGTATAATTAGAGAAGCAAGCGGTCGGCAACATTCATCTCTCAAGGAGGTGTCTAACTGGGTGTTACGGTGTGTTTGACCCTAAATTAATTTTAATATCCCTTTAATGTCACTGTGTTCGCATCAAAGAGGGGACAGTTTAACTGTTCAGGGACATCATGTACAAAAAAAACATGGAGGCAGGTGCTTGAGTGAGACTGACAGCTGCTGAGTGAGGAAGTGAAATCCTCTGTGTTTCTAAAACAGGAATAAATGTTGTGATTGAATTTAGCACATTTACACCGCGCTGAGCTGATATATGAGCGCCATCCTTATTGATTATTTCCTCTCTCGCTCTGTTTCTTGTGTTCACAGGTGGAGGAGATGGTGCAGAATCACATGACCTACTCTCTGCAGGACGTGGGCGGAGACGCCAACTGGCAGCTGGTGGTAGAAGAGGGAGAAATGAAGGTGTGAATATTTCTGTCACTTAGAGGAGCAAACTTAGATCTGACGTGTGAATTATGAGACTTTTTTTTTTCTCTGCCTGCAAGTAAATCAATCAAACTGTCAAATGGTTAAAGTCAGTTTTTCTTTGCAGGTGTACAGGAGAGAGGTGGAGGAAAACGGGATCGTTCTGGATCCTCTGAAGGCCACTCACTCAGTGAAGGGGGTCACAGGTCACGAGGTGTGCCACTACTTCTGGGACACGGCTTATCGCAACGACTGGGAGAGTAAGTCAATCAAAAGAACCCGTGTAAATAATGATAACCTGTATTCATCAATTTTAATATTTCAATGTGCTCCTGTTTTTTCTGCTTCTTATAGCAACAATCGAAAACTTCAACGTTGTGGAGTCATTGTCAGAAAACGCTGTGGTCGTTTATCAAACTCACAAGGTAAACGGATCGTCTGTGAAGTCCTGAATGTTTCACACATGATGGTTTTCAGAATTGTTGGATCTAGAATGACGTGTTTAAACGTGTTTCAGCGAGTGTGGCCGGCCTCTCAGAGAGACGTACTGTACCTGTCAGCCATGAGGAAGATCCTGGCCAACAATGAGAACGACCCAGACACCTGGCTGGTCTGTAACTTCTCCGTGGACCACGACGACGCTCAGGTGAGCGGTTAGGCCCGTAAGCGTTCAGACGTTGCTTCTCTTCTCTCTGCTTCTCCCTCTTGACTCTCTGTCCTGTCGTCCTGCAGCCATCCAGCAGGTGTGTCCGTGCCAAAATCAACATCGCAATGATCTGTCAGACCCTGGTCAGCCCACCAGAGGGAGACAAAGAGATCAGCAGAGATAACATCACCTGTAAGATCACCTACGTCGCCAATGGTGAGTGTCCAGGTGTTAGATACTTAGGCTCAATCTCAAACAGTCCCCTCCACACTCACCCTTCACTACTGAGTGTCACTCATAATGAAGTTACACTTGCAGCCGTAGAGTGCGCCTCAGCTGAAATCAGAGTAAGACAGGTATGGGACGCCATCCTCACACCACAGAAAAAGAAAGATTCATCGCCATAGCAACATAAAGACGCATCCTGTGCATGGCAGCGTTTCTTTCTTAAGTAAATGGGCAACATGTACAGTTCTTAGCCGCCTCGTTTTTTCATTGTCTCACTGAAATCATAAATCCAGCAACCATGACAGTGACAGGAGCTACATTGTACTTCTGATTGTTAGTGATTCTCCACGTCTTTGAAATCAAACGTCAGCACAGAGTAAGATTTCTGAGTTTCATTTGATCTTTCCAAACTACGTCTTTTGTTTTTTTCTGTCAGTCAGACAAAAGTGGACACATACGAAACTTAGATTTGTTTGCTTCTTTGCTCCTTCTCTATTTTTGCTGGCGCACTACCAGCAAATCCTGCCATAAGTGTGCACCGCTGCAGGCTCGCTATTTCAGGGCTGAATGGTCCACTCGCCCTCCGCACACTGTGGTGTAGAGCGAGTGTGTAGGGGTCGGTTTGGGAGTGGGCCTTATTCTGCCTCTACACTCAGATCTTCCTCCTCAGTTTACGTCTCCTGTTTTTGTTTGTGTGCAGTGAATCCTGGAGGCTGGGCTCCGGCCTCTGTGCTCCGGGCTGTGGCGAAGAGAGAGTACCCCAAGTTCCTCAAACGGTTTACCTCCTACGTCCAGGAAAAGACTGCCGGGAAACCGATCTTATTTTGAGGCCTCCAGCTCAGGTGAGTCTCCTTAAAGCTGCAGCATCTTTTTCAAAAACAAACATCAACTGTTTCTCTGATTCTCTGTAATTTTCTTACAAAATAACAAACATTTTCTTTCTTTGCAGTCATGAGACACGAGGACTGATCTGCACAAGGAGCGGCTAATCAATCGGACTCCTCGTCAGCTGCTGTGACAGGATGAGACGCTCCAGCAAATCCATTTCTCTCCCTCCAGATTCATAGTTGTGTTATTTCCAGTAGGAGAGGGTGGCGCCCTCTGGTGGTGGCTTTGAAACATTTCTCACCTGATCTGGTGATCATTTCAGCATTTGTCCCCCTGATTTCAAACAGTCCAACACTTAATCGTGGAGTTTAAAACATGACGAGCGTCTCTTCTCCCAGCCGCTCCTGAACGCCTCAGTCGACGCCATATTTCCCGCTCATCCAGAGGCTTCGGCCGACACCTGGGATCGTATCTCTTTCTTACAGATATATTAATATATAAATGTACCTATGTTGGATAAGAGGTTTGTACAATAGAAACAGATCTTTGCTAATAGACTCAAACATTTTAAATTTTCATTCAGAGCTCCTATTTTCTAGATTCTTCTCTCTTCTTTTTCCATGTGCAGTAATCTCACAGCTGCTAACTTTTGCTAGCGAACCCGTCGGTGATTGACTTGAATTATCTCACTCGTACTGAGTCCAGAGGGCTGTCATTGACCTATGACCCCAATGATGTAAGACTTGACCTTTCTGACTGCGTCCCTCTCATGAAAACACCCCCCCAACGGACGGGTGCCGATGGAGGGACGAGTCCAGACGAGTATCATGTACATTGTGTTCCTTTGCTTTGTGTTTTTGAATGTTCTCGGTAGTGTCGCTAACATTTCTCTGAAGGTCTTTTTGTGACTGAGTGGAGCCCAAATGCCTTAGAGTAAGAGAATAGAGTTAAACGAGAGGCTGCTGGAAGAGAGCACCAAGAAATCACTAGTGAAGTGCCTCATAGCGAATCCCCTCATTCTCTCATTTCTCTCAATTTAACTGATCACTGAATGGATGAACCTGCTGATCCTGGAAGAGCGACTTTTTATTTCAACCTTGGCCCCATTTTTTCAACAAATTTATCACAGGTATCAAAATCAAGCTGCAAGGTTTAGAATCTCAAACTATCCTCTAGGATGTTTAAAGATGTTGAAAATTCCAGTTTAATTCAGTTTAAGAGTCGCTGCTTCTTACTTTATCGTGTGCCTGGTGTTTGTCCCTTGTGCTGTGAACCAGCAGCAGAAATTCTGACTCCACTCTTGATGCACAAAATTCAGTCTTAAAGAAATGCAGGGCAGTTAACTCCAGAGATCATCAAACTCTGGACTTCACAGCTCTGCATTTGTCTTTGGTCTCCATTGAATCATTTCCACCTTTGAACAGCACAAAATGTATTTTCCTGCGTCGTGTGAGTGATGAGTTGTAGTTTTTTTCGCTCTGATTTTGAAGCTTTTAGCCGATCTGCGTGGACGAGAGTGAAGCCAGATGATGCTCAGTGTCTCTCTGAGTGGACAGAAGCTCTTTCCTCATGAAGCATTTCAACATTTCTAGCTAAAGTCGTTCCAAATGAATGTAATTAGAACTAGTTTTGTAAATAATCTGTTCATACTAACGCTGTGGGATCAACTTACAACACGTACTGTGACGACGTCCACTTCTGCCCTGTTTGAAAAGTGAAATAAAGAAGTTCATCCTACACGACTCACTGTTGTTTATTTCATAATGACGATAAAAGACTGACACCAATGGAGCATAGTGTTATTTATTTTTTAAATAAACAGTACAATCTTTTCAGATTTAGAGCTTTGAATTCATTATTCTATCTAGATCATGCTATGGCTGAACTTCTCCTGGACGAGCAGTAAGTAAGGCCACTTCATCGCTTTTCAAAAAGGACAAAATCTGGAGTCTGCTTAGTCCTTAAATCCTCCAAAAGGTTCAAAACATACCAGAAAAAGAAAAGTCTGAATAAGTTAATATGGCTTTGATTCCCGGTCCTCTTCGTCCAAACATTAAAAAAAAAAATCTCTTTATCTCCAGCAGCCACAGTCATCCTACAGTATACACAGTATACAGTAGCACCGCGATTCAAGAAAAGGGGAAAACCCACAACACCGACTCAGGAACACGTACATTCAGGCGGACAGTTGGCGAGACAATCCTCAGCTAAAGCAGGAAGAGCGCTGACTCCGCAAACTTTTGGCAAATGGAAAGATCAGAGTCAGAACAAACCCAGGACAGGACTCAGATTCAGGTGATCCGACTGACAGATCCAGCTACAGCCGTTCAAGATCATTGGAGCGCTAAGAGGGACTGTGTAGTACACACTTAGTCCACAAGGGGCACAACAAACTGATACTGACAAACACTTTTGATACAATATTTGATGATTGTAGTTAAAGCTTCATCAGTGTAACAGTAAGAGGGTTGTTTTAATAAGAACAGATAAGAAGATTTCAAAATAAAAGCCTCAGATTTACGAGAGAGGTTTAATATTTAGGACAAAAAGTTGTAAATTTATGAGAATTTTAATGAGATTTTCTTTTTTATGAGAATGGAGTTGTATATTAAAAGAGTCTGTTAGTTTACGGTTGTAAATTCACAAAAGAAGGTCTAAATTCATAAGTAAAAGATTGAGAATTTTTCTCAGATTAAAGTTGTAAATTTATGACAATTTTAATGAGAAAATTTCTTCAATTTTTACGAGAATAGAGCTGTATTTCAGGAACAGTCTGTTTGAAGTTGTAAATTTACAACATAAGGTCTAAATTTATGAGTAAAAGAATAAGACTTTTTCTCAGATTAAAGTTGTAAATTTATCAGAATAATCTCAAAATCAACTTTAATCTGAGAAAAAGTTTGAAATTTCTCTGAGAATACAGTTTTAAGGAACCAAAATGAGGTAATTCGCGAGAATAAAGACTTAAATAAATGAGATATGTTCTAAATTTATGAGAAAAGACCTGTAACTTTATGAGACTTAAGTCAGATTTACCTTTGACCTTGTTAGTTTATTAAAAAAAAAAAAGTGCAGAAATAATTTAAGAATTCAGTTGTGAATGTACAAAAGTAAAGTTGGATCAAAGTTGTTCCAGTTACACATTAAGGTTCATCCTGATATAATCTGGATATAAATCCAGACCGGATCACCTGATCTGATCCTATTTTTCTTAGTTCTTACCCTCTTTAGAAAAACCCGGTTTTCAGATTTGTTCTGATTTGATGGTCTTAATCTGATCAAAAAACTTTTAGACGGGTAAACCAATCGGGAGTTTTTCGTTCTGGTTTCTCTTCTTCGTACTACAGGAAAAGCCGTTTGGCTCTGAGAGGCACAGGACACTCATTCATGACTTTGTGCAGCGAGGTGGATTTTACCAATCCGATCCACATCAATTATTCACAGTTTGTCTCAAAGGTCGGTACCAGAAACGATTAAAAAAAAAAAAAAGTTCTCCAAGCTCTGCCTTAGTGTTCAGCTGCAGACAAATGGCACAAATAAATAAGTGTGGCGTAACATCTCGACTCGAAAAGTCTCTTTGTGCAAATCGTCAGGAGAGATGTGAGTAAGCACATACTGGTCGTGTGTTTGGCCTCGTTTCCAGCCTTTAGACCCGCTGAACTTTGAACCATTTCATCTGGAGACTGAATCCTCTGAGTGCTCACAGATTTGAAGCTACAGCAATCACTCCGCCTGAAGATCCAACGACAGTCGGTGTCATGCGGCTGACTCCGATGAAGGTGATTCTGTCAGGTTAGTTTTAGATCTGCAAACAAACAGAGAGCAGAGTCAGCACTCACAGAGGGACAAATCTCAAAAAATGAGAAAAAAAAAAAACAAGTGAAAAACCGAACCTGTTGTGGGTCATGTGACTCTTGACGAGGTGTCCAGCAGCGAGAGCAGCCATCAGGGAGAGCTCTCCCGCCAGCACAGTGCTGCAGACGATGCGGGCAAGCTGCCGGGCGTTTTCACCGGGCTGGTCTAAACTTGTACCTTGAACGCCGAGCATCTGAAGAGGAAGAGGAGGACAGCTGTTTGGTGACACGATCACAGAGGAACGACAACATTCTCCCCAGTGAATTCCTGATTGGTAAAAAGCTACGTGTTGATCCTTTAATATGGACGTTAATTACGGCAGCTGGAGTCTCCTGTGGTTTCTCTTTTCTGAAGATGACTCACTGTTGTGCAGGAGTGGACATGTTTAGGCAGAGGCGTTGCTTTTCTCACTGCAATACTGAACAACTATGAGGCGTACACCTCCCTGGACATTTACAGCCTGATGTGTCTCCTTGGCAACAGTGCCACCTTGTGGAAGCACAAATCATAATCCTGCCTCAGATGTTCTCAGTCAATGTCAGACCAACTTTACCTGCAGACAGGCTTGCTGAGGCGGCAGGTTGGTGCCTCCTCCCACAGTTCCTAGTTCTATGGAGGGCATGGTGCAGCTGATGTACAGGTCCTCCCCGTCTGGACCGGCAGGCTCCATCTGAGTGATGCAGTTCGAGCTTCCCACAGTCTGAGCGGGGTCCTGAAACACATCAGTCTGTTAGTCATCAGGGTTTTCTTAAAGACAGGAGACGTTACTATGGGAACACATTCTGTAGTAGCACAGTAACCAAAGTTAGGGAGTGATTTAATGTGAGGAAAAGTGGACACTGGTGTTCAAAGGTTACCTGTCCACAGGCGATGTAGATGGCTGCTACGATGTTTGCAGCGTGAGCGTTAAAGCCTCCGATGCTGCCCGCCATAGCTGAACCCACCAAGTTTTTGTTGATGTTGAGCTCCACCAGAGCGGCTGTGCTGCTTTTTAACACCTACATTGACCAAGTGTTTAAATATGTTATTTTCAAAACAAACAAACATTGAGATAAAAAGGCAAATAGCTTTTTAAAAAGCTCTGTACCTCCCTGACCACCTTAGCGGGGATGGTGGCCTCACAAACAGCAGACTTCCCCCGGCCCAGGATCCAGTTTACAGCAGCAGACTTCTTGTCAGTACAGAAGTTTCCACTAACTGCCAGCACCTCCATGTCTGGATACAGCTGCTGCAGTCTGTACAGAGCACGCTCAGTCCCCTGAGAGGAAAACAAACCTCCATCAGTACAAACAGGAAAAAAAGGAGCATCTGAGCAGGAGGACTTGGGAGGAGAATCTGCATCGAGGATGTGTTTGTACCTTTGAGAGCATGTTCATTCCCATAGCATCTCCAGTCTGAGAATGGAAGCGGATGTACAGATTCCTCCCGGCTAAGTTCACCAAGAGCTTCTCCAGACGAGCAAACCTACCACCACAAAAGCATATTATTATCAACACTCAGTGCGTTTACATGCACTGCTTAATCGGATAAAGCTCATAATTCGTTTTTTTTCACCGAGTCAGACTTCTCTCCTTGTCCGCGTATACATGCAGCTGAGAAAATCGAATTATTGACGTGAACGTGTCCTCCTCCCCAAAACTAGGGGGAAATTTGGGTCTTTTCAGCGGCGCTGTTTCCAGACCTTTTTCAAAGATGTTTCCGTTCCTCGTTTTGTGACCGTCCATCTACTTTAAAATGTCCATTTCTGTCAGGACGGAAAGCATAACGGCACTCTCCTCATCATTCCAAAAGTGGACATTCTTTCATGCTTCAGCCATGTTGCAGTTGCTTCTGAGTCGTAAGTTCTTTAAATGATACTGCAAACTTATTCTGGGGTCACATACACATGTCTTGTCCAATCATACTCCGACTACGCTGGTTACATGGTAGAGAAATCTAATTCCAATCGAATTATCTGGGTGTCTTAAACGGTGTTCTCCGACTCCATCAGAGTTCTCAAACTCCGGACTTAGGCAGTGGTTCCCAGGAGGGGCGCGGCAAGGCTAAATATAAAATGACAATGACACGAAAACAGAAAATACTAGAAAAAAAGTCAAGAAAATATGATTGTTGCAAATTGTTCATCTTCAGAGATGCAGAATTTAAAAAAATGGTTAAATGCTATTGCTATTGTTATTTCCACGAAAGTTTGAAGTTTTGTTGAGGTAAAATGGAAAAACAATAGCAGTCTGTGACGGACAGTGTGTTCTTTTTATACATTCACATATTTTTCATCAACATGATGATGTGTACAGTCAGGTGTAGGGGGGCCTGAAACTATTTTTATCTGCCAAAGCCTGGCAGAAAAAGTTTGGGAACCACTGGACTGAGGTGTTTACATGCGCTTCAGTTGTCCGGTCTTGTTCAAGGAAGGCAATAATTCGGTTTTCTCAAGTGTCATGTAAACATACTGACAGTAAGAGCAGCTAAAGAGCTTTTCTTTAAAGAGTCTCTCTGTCAGACTCTCTGATATTTTGCTCGTTTTTCGTCTTCTGCTGTATTTTTTCTGACCTGCTGGTCTGGTCAAAGGCATCCTTGATCAGGTTAAAACCGTCTGAGGTCTCCAGCCAGACTTTGACCTCTGCGGCCCGGCACGCTGAAGGCAGCCTCACCACAGGTCCCCTGGTCATGCTGTCAGCGAGGATCCTGCTCCGGCAGCCTCCACTTAACTGGACGGGAAAATCAACCGAGACAGTGAAAACTCACACTCCCGGTCAACATGAGGAGAAATAAAAAAAACAGAAACGTTCACTTACAGAAAGAGCTCTGCATCCTCTGTTGGTACTGGCTACCAGGCAGCCCTCTGTGGTCGCCATGGGGACGTGAAACTGTTTATCATCCAACAGGAGAGGACCGGCCACTCCAACTGGCACCGGCATGTATCCAATGACATTCTCACAGCAGGTGCCCATAACCTTCAGAGTAACAAGCTGGAGTTTTAATCACTCCATTAAAGCAGAACGAAAACAAACACAACTTTTACATCTGTCTCTGTACCTTGGAGTAGTCGTAGTCCTTATACGGCAGCCCAGTCAAAGCGGAGGAAACAGGCAGTTTGGTCGACAGCATTTCCCTCCTGATGGCGACGCCCCTCTCAGGAGTCTCCAGGACGCATTCCAGTTTGTAGTTCAGGATGTTGCGAGAAGCCACAAGGTTCATCACTTCTATATCGCTCAGAAAACTGGCTCCTTTCTATAGAGCAGTAAAAAGGGAAACCTTTTAATCCCTCAACCTTAACAGGGTTCCTACAGCTAAAAGCGAGTGAAATTCAAAATTTTTTCACTTTTTTTTAGTGCCGTTTGAAAGTAAATTTTAAGACCAAATCCACAATATTTGTATTGTTTTTGTATGATATGGACGAACTGGGTCTGAAATAAAATTTTACATTACAATAAAGACAAATACACTGTGCCTCGTACGCATTACCAGGTACCACTTTCAGCCATTTAGAAAAATCCTGGTTCTGCCAGTTTTCGCTGAATATAAACATAATCATGTTTCTAAAGTAACTACATTAAGACAGATGTGTATTTCCGTGATTGGGGTTAAAATGTGGAACTCCCTACAGAATAATTTAAAGGGCTGCACAAACATATTTCAGTTTAACACCAAGTATAAAGAAAGTATAACAATAAACTATGAAGCTGACGAATAATGTTTTGTAATATGCATATGTTCTGAAGCGGACGCAGACTTTGCCTTTGTTTATTTGTTTCCTTTTATGCGGGTTGTGATATTGTTTGTAAAGTTAAAGGAAAATAACCGAAGGTGGACAGACCATCTTATGTAATGTTTATTTCTGTTTTGAGTGAGGGGCAGGTACATAAGCTTTGTTTTCTACCTGCTCCCTTGCGGTCTGGTGTTGTGCTACGTTTGTTAAATGAATTTTGTATGTATGAAAATGCTTAAAATGAAAATATGAATGACGTGCATCTTCTCTTAGAGTCCCGGGTGCAATCACATCACTGTTTTGTTTGTTGTGCTATCGTGATTGCGCGATGTTACTCCAACAGTCATTTGGTGAATTATTTCAAAAATTAAATGTTACCATTTATTTTGAGTTCTGAGACTTTTTACAATCATAAAATCCAACTTTTCATTTTTAAGACCTTTGAAAGATTGATTTAGGACATTTTAATGCCAATTAAGGCCTTGATTTTAGATTCACAAATTTAATGCCTTTTAAGACTTTTTAAGGATCGGTGGGAACCCTGCTTCAGCTGAAACAGGACTGAAGGTGTTTTATCAGCTCACCTGAGGATCTGAGAGGACTCTCAGACACTCCTCCAGCATCCGTGGCTCTGAGTTACAGCTACTTTGTGAAACAGGTGCTGGGGAAGGGGCGTCTGTTACACCTGAAGGATCGAGGTCGTTCTCTGCTGATGCTGCTGGAGGCTGAGTGTCCTCTGTCGTACAGGAATCTGCATACAAACAGAAATCAGAAATCTGTGTTTATCAGCGAGTGCAGGTTTTATTGAAAGGAGCAGGACTCCTGCTGAGTCTCACCTTTCTCTCTGAACCCTGCGTCAGCCTCATGTGAAGCTCCAGAGTCTGACACAGATGAGGATGAAGAGCTGGATGCTGAAATATTGTTGGTGATCTTCGGAGAGTTCAAGGCTGGAAGGTCCCTCCTGCAGCAGTCTCCTGTTACTCTGGGCCTCTGAGTCGAAGGAGAGCTGATGATTGGACTCTTCAGGGAAAAGGAGGACTCTGTCTCCGTCTGCTCGAAGAAAACGTACTTTACAGCCAGGAGGAGAGCAAGACCGAGTGTGATGACCTGCTCCAGATCCATACTGACAAGAGAAGGGAGAGGAGGAGGGACAGTCAGGTGTGAGTGGGTTACACTGGGAATTCAAAATGTTCTCATTGTTTGAGGCGTCTACCTGGTGAGCTTCAGAGGCAGCATCGGGCCAGCAGAGTCCAGCCTCTTCACAATGGGCCCGTCAGCTGTGCGATTGTGACCTGGATTCTCAGCAGCTAAGCGAGTGTGAGCGTGAACCAAAGCCAAGCCCAGAGACTGAGGACATCAAGAAACTACAGTTAGAGTCAGGATCGGACAAGGAAGACCAAGGTTTTCAGGACTAGTTTAAGTATCAGGAGTACTTCTAAAACCCCCTGACTTGATCACATTTTGAATGATCTAATACGAATATGAAATTTAATCCAACACCAGCACTTGCTCAATTTCACTTTATTTCATCATCATGTTTGTCGGCTCCTCTTTTGAGGTTTAATGCTGTTTGATTGAGGACCACAGGACACCAGTTACAATTGGTTTAGTTCCTGGTGGTGGTCAGGTTCAGGTTTGGTACCAAGAATCTGGAACCACTGTTCGTACACTGACATGGTTAAATATTTGTAGGCCAGCTCAGCTCTGTGATTGGACCGTGTTCCCCCTTAAAAATGAGTCTGCGTATACGAAGGCTTCAGTGAAGGTTATTTTGCGTTTGACTCAGTATGTGAGAAGGAATCTTGACTCGAGCGCCGTGATTGAGAGAGTGGCGGTATCAGAGCGGGTTGCAGACTCACCATGATGATTTTGACCCTTTGTGTCACAGGATTGGGCTTGTTGTCCTCTTCTTCAGCCAGAACGCAAGAAAACTGGCTCAGCTGCCAGATCGGACGGCCCTCGCGGCTTTCCCTGGACAGCTTTCCAACGCACAGACACAAAATTCTTATGAGCATGACAGGAACTTGTCCTTATTCCAGACAAATTGTTTCGTATCATCCTTACCTCCAGGACGAGGGAGACACAAGCAGGGAAGAAAGTCATGAAGACAAAGTAATTGGCCAGGACGGACATGCAGCCAAAACAGCACATGATCTCCAACTGAGGCACACCTGAGAGACAACAGAAAACACGGTCTGTGTTTAAACATGAGTTTGAAACAAATCTGCGAGGTCCTCTGTGGAAACAACAAAATTATTTGTTCTTCTGGTATCTCTAAAGATCACCCCCAGTCAACACCTACTTCATCTGTCAGCTGACCGTTGTTTACAGTATGACTGTACAAAGAGGGCAGAGTCTGAGTTGAGGGGCCACGTATACAAACTGAATGTAAGGTGCAAACATACGTATATATCCTGATGTCTGTTTAAAGAGACTTGAACTGCGGTCAGGTGACTTCTGTTTGGTTACAGGATTGCTGGTTTTCATCTCCTTTTGTTCTGCATGTGAATTAGTTTCTGAGTGAATCACCACTAGGGGGTTCAACACGGACTACAGATGGACACTTGAAGGTTTCTGACACCAAAAAAATCATGTCCCTTTTCCATAAATTCACTTTTATTTTCTCTAACTGTGGATAAGACCAGAAGGAAAAACAAGTATTTACCTGACATGGTGCCAATCCCAATAACCAGACACTCAACCAGAGCATCCAGGGTGAAGGTGGGACCCAGGATGGCCATGCCCTGGGAGATATTGTCCCTCACTTCCTCCTGTACACAAGACACAGGTACCAGTCAGTGATCATTCAGTTATATCTTTAGTATTAAACAACAGGCTGTTTCAGCTGTATTTTACACAAACACAGGAAAAACAACAGTGTGACTCTTACCTGAGAGTTTGAGCTGAGGGCAAATTTGGCCAGTGTGCACGCCTTGGATAGGTCAATGAGGAGGAGGAAGAATGGCAGAGCTTCACTGCAGGGAAAAGAGTCAAATAACAATCAGTGATGGACTGAAACATTTCACTGCAGCTGTTTTCTACATAGTTGAAAAGTCAAACTCTGACCCCGAGAGCCCATTTTTGGTTCGAGTGTTCTCAGTGACAATGTGTGGCTTTATTTAATCACAACCAAAATGAAAGACTCCTGATCAGGTTGGAAAGGACCCCTGCAAGATAAGTCAGGCTGTGGAGACATTGTCTGTATGTAGAATTAAGCGTATTTTAATGTATATAAACACGACATATACTGTAGGTGTTTAATGTTTCACATTGGAATGGCGCTTCAACAGAATTGCAAAAAAAACAAGATGGCAACCTCTACTGCTGAAAGTTACATAAAAATCTGCTAGCATGGCCACCATCAAACAATTTATTGTCATTATAACACCAAAAAGGACAGATGTGTTTCTTTACTCTTTAAATTTCTGTGGCCATGTGATACATCGTGTTGATCTGATTGGTTGTGGGACAGTACAAACTCTTCAAGTGGCACTTTCATACAACCACTGCTAACATCCCTGGAATTGAATGAACTGATTGATTCCAGACCCAGTCACCATGATGAACTGGTCGAGGGATACTGAGTTAATCCTCTTCTTCAACACTGGGTTAAAATTTGAAATGTAATATTTGGAATACTTGGGATGCTGCCTATTACAAAACTGTCTCTGTGATGGACTGAACCAGATCAAGGCTCGACAGTGCGACCGTTTCTCTTGCATTTGTGACTAAAAAAGATGTGTGTGACTTGTAAAAAGTAATTAGCGGCACATGTGCACATAAAAAAAAATAAAAAATCAACAAATGTTTTTTCATGTAAATACCGCAGTAAAGTTAGTTTTAGGTTGGATATCAGAGGGATATTCACTGTGGATCCACTGCGGTCTTCTCACTCTCCATAACCAGGAATAGCAGATGCAGCTCGGTTAAATCCACGTCAGGTATTGGATAAGCGACCATCTATAAATTATCGGTTGATTTTCTCAGAAACGCTGTTTTTCTTCAATAGCTGTCAAGTCATGTGACCAATTGACCAAAAATTGATGTCAAATAATAGTACTAACGGCCAGACAATAAGACAAACATTATTTGATCAATTTTCATTGTGCCCCTAAAGTTCTTTGTGAGCTCCTCACTTTTTTAACTTAAGAGCACATGTGCTCCTTGTGAAAAAAGTTAGAGTCAAGTCCTGCAGTTAAATCCAATGATTTAGAGATGTCTTTTTAACACAATTCTTCCTTTATTTTACTAAACCTGGAAAATGTTCACATAACAATCAACAGAAGTGTATCCCTGTTAATGCAAAGTACTTACTTGAGCCCTGTCAGCTCTTTCCCGAAGAAATGGATAACCACCGTACTGAAAACAAAGCTGGAAAATACTGTGAATAACCCTGCGATACCTGTAGGTAGAGAGCAACATGTAAATTCATCCTGAATAAGGATGGACATTATTTAATATTAAGCAATGGTAAAAGAGTGACTCATACACACCCAGTATATATTTGGATCCTAACTGACGCAGATTCTTGAACTGGAAATAGATGTAAACGATGGCCATGCAGCGCGTGATAGTAAGGATGATTACATCACTGCTGTGGATTTTCTGAAACAAAAGAGACTTAGTTAAACTTCTTCAAATAAAGTTTACACACATGTAAGATTACCTGAAACTTCCCTTCCACACCCAGCCTCACCTCTTCCACTTTCGGGCACTCATTCCAGCTGCACACCTGGCTGCTGGTTGCCAGGCTGTTCATGGACATGAGGCAGACAGTGAGAGCGAGGGTGCCCACGATTACTTCCCATGGGTGGGAGGCCACTAGCAGGCCGTGGAGCCGGAACAGACGCGCTAACATGGTCCAAGGTTGCCTTTCTGCTACCCAAGTTCCAAGCCTCGTCTTTATCTGCTGATCACAGAGAGAAAATAAATGAAAAGCCAGATCCCAGCTGTCATTGTGATCAGCTGGCAGGTGTCTCAGGTTGACACTTATCAACCAGCGATCCCACCTGACACCATTAATATTGATTCTCTGCAACTATTCCATGTATCTCTATGGGATAAAAAGTGTTCAAAACCTTACTCTTTTGGCGATCTATTGAGGGTTTCCAGGCATTTCTGCACCTGCCATAAGGTTTACAATCCAGCCACAAAAATACATGTTTGATCGAAGATGTTTGATGGTAAATCTGCAGTGATAATTGTTGTGATAAAAAAAAGATCACTATCACTAAATGCGCTAATGTCTTCCTGATTTGACAAGCTGTTCTAATTATGTCTTTTTTTAATCAAACTTTGGACCAATTACATGGTCTCATATTCTTCTTCTACTGTTCCCTTGACGGTAGTGTCCAATAAGAGGCAACCAAACATCAACAAGAGACAAGAAAGTTCCCTGCTTGTCTGCAACATGAGAAATAATGGTCCTCAATGCTTGGAAACAAGCAAAGAAGAGATTATGAGCAGTATGATGTGACCCTCTGTCTCATCCCAGACAGGAACTGCTTCAAGGAGTGGCATAAACAACTATAGTAAAAAACACCTAAAAAGAATTAGTGTAAATATGTAAATAGATTCTGTTGTGTGTTTGTTCCAATCCCAATATTTCTTCTCCTGATAGCCAAGACTTGAGAGAATGGTGTGCAGGTGAGAAAAGGCTTGGTCACTGTAGATTTATGTGTTTTTATGTGTTATTAATTTTGTTTTTGTTTTTGGGTGGACTTTGATGGTTCTGAATCTACTGTCACATTCATTTTACATCATTAACGCTCCATACACTGACAGCTGAGGTTCTCCTGAAAAAAAAGATGTTTATATATTTTCTGTGCTTGAAAGGATAGAGTTGATACATAGATTTTTACAGAAATAGAGAAAACAGGCAGACCAAAAATGGCAAAATATAGCTGGGAGCTCTGAGGGTTAACATCCTGTCAAAACCTGACGGACAAAGCCGGTAATTAAAGCAGACTACTTTGTGATCTTGCGAATCTCTGTAGTAAAAAGCGTTTTATGTCTGTATTTGGACCTCATCTCGACTAGATATCATGTTTTGGTACACGCTGACATTTTGTTGCCCCACTTTTCGTCGGTTAGCATTTGCTACATTAGAGGACACTGTTAGCATTAGCAACATCAGCTGGCACACCCAAACTAACTCACACAGCCTCTCCAAGGTCATTTTAACACATCTCGTGATAACATGTCCCACAGTAGCTTTAAAATAGAGGTTTTAAGTTTACGTACTTTCAAATATGGACTTCACTGTAGTCAATGAGTCATTTTCTGTCTCATCGTGTCTCCGCGGACAGCTCGGCTGGCTAAGCTAGCTCCTTCATCCTGACGCAACCAGGCAAACATGGCGAGAAGGAAACTCTGACGTCGGGACGTAACTTCACCAACGTACATACGTCACCGGTTTCCACCTGAAATCTTTAAAGGCGAATCCAAGAGTACCCAGATGCAGCGCCAAGATGGCGGACCCAAAGATAGAAAACCACATTTACAAAACGCAATAAGTTTCCGCATTACCTCCGATTGGCGGACCCAAAACATGAACTTTGAACTTCTGCTTTGCGATGCCAGAACAGTAGGTGGCGGTATGTACCTACACTTTCTGACGGCAAAATTTACAGAAGAAGAAGAACTCTCAGGAAGTTTGAAAAGAAGCAAGCCGTCCGCATTCATTCAATCTCACATCCGACCACTCAAACTAACCCTAACCCTGCATTCCATTGTTTCCATCATGGGAAATCTAAGTGACGCTATCAAATTAACAGGAACATTGCGCAGAAGATATGTCCTGGGCAATGGACTGAGAAAACGGGCAGAGATTTGGAGGTATTTGTGCATGCTCTATATTACAGTTGAAAAGTGTATAACAGCTTTCCAATGCTGTTACTTGTGGCGAAGAACACCTTTTTGCTTGAGTTGATGCGTGCCCGCAGGTGGAATAATGTCACATGTCACACACATTTTCTGTTGTTTTGATTTATTTACTCATTCATCATTTTATGTGCGCACCTCTCCTAATCAACCCACCCATTAAATAGACAGGCACAATAGCACCATCTGCTGGCACAAAAAATACATAACAATAAACTGCAAAACCCCAATCTGGCTCCTACAAAGTGTATGTGACAAGATGATTAACGTTTGCTTTTGTTAAATCAGGGCTTCCCCAGCCAGGACTTCGGCTCAGACTGTGGCATATTCATGTTGATGGTAGGTCATAACGAGCTGTAATGCACAAATATTGTATCTAGAATAACTTTCCAACATGGACTTTTTTAAAGTTATCTCACATGTTGTCTCATAATTTTTTTTTTAAAGTCTGCCATATACATCGTTATGGAGTCACAGTTTGACTACTCAGTTGTAAGTACTTTTCAACACGCAGTGTCATCCTCAAGATTGTATTTTGTATTGTGCACTAAAATGAAATACAAACAACAATCTCAGCATGACATGCCTGTTTGGCGGCGATGGTGGTGCCTGTTGCTCCTGGAGAACAATTCTTTGAACAGGTAGACAGTTTAAGTAAACTAGATGTCCTAATTAACTGGAAGACAATCAATATATTGTACTTAAAGACATATTGTCATTACAGTTGTGGGAAAATCTTCGCCCACTGGACCAAAGAATGTCAAGAGCTCACTGCTGGAAAGCATACTCCGGTCTTCAGTCTAAAGAGGAAGGCAGAGCAGCAGGACATAGAGGTTAGAAAATTGCCTTGTAAAAACAGTATTATCTCAGTGGGAGTCCTTCAAAATGCACACAGTTGTATGGATCAACATTGTCTCGATGTATTTGGTAATTGATGTTACTTTTCAAATTGCCTTGTCAAGGAAACCATGACGCAGACGGTATCGGATGTCCAAAGAATGTGCATGGCAGATTCAATGCAATTCTGTGTCTACCAGACATCGAACAACACAGGAGAGAGGTGTGTTGCAGACTCAATTTAATAAATGCAATTATTGGGGCCTATTCAGTGATTTTCCATGAAGTGACCACTTTTACATATAGTTTAAATGCACGAATCATGCAGGAAAATTATTTATACATTCAAATGTGCTGCAGAGGTATAATCAATTGGACAGCGTGTTTGTTTAATATTATTTTTGTCTCTCATTTGATCAGATTGCTTTACCCTGAGGTAAACGTCATAAAATGGGTCCAGTGCAAGACGTGCAGGGACTGGCTGCATCAGGATTGTGCTGGGATTGAAATGGAGCCGTTTGACTGCGGGTGCGAGGACTCCATTGAGCATCCTCGGTATAACATAATTTATCAGGGAAACATAGTATCAGTCAAAAATACGAGGCTCAAAGGATGAAAAAATGAGGGCTTGCTCTTTTCTTATTTCTCTGCAGGATCAAGGATGCTGTTGACAGTTGAGGAATTCATGCTGTCTTTTCTAAGACACAGATCAAGGTTGCTTTTGAATGCACTATCAGTTGTTAAAGCCACCGTTTCTTTTTCAGATGATTACATTTTGTCTCTTGCTCTTTGGTTTCAGACATTACACGATGATCTACTGTCTGGAAAGATCCGCTCCAACAGAATGTTCCTTTGGAGGAATCCCGCCACCTCACTCCGACAAAAGCAGCATCTTAAGATAAGGACACTAAGTTGGAGTGAGCAGCGCGTAAGTAAAAATGCCATCCATCATGAGTATTTTTACTCTCAGGGGTGTTACATTTGAAAGGTGTTTACTTTCTGTGTTTTTCTTCAATAGATGTTAGAGCTCCTGCGGTTCATTGAGGTGGCAACAAACATTTCTAAAAAAATAAAGAGAGGCGAGATTTATCTGCTTGATTTCGTTTTTGACGTCATGCTCCCAGAGGTGAGTAGATCAAACTATATAGCTTGCTTTGAAAATTGATGATATTGTTAAGAGGTTGTTCTTATTCATTTGGAAAGCTCAAGAACAACAATTAACCCATACTGCATAACTTCAATTGTTCACATTATTTGACTGTTTTTCAGCTTTTGATCAAAGCACTGAAGGAGCATGGCATCAACCGGTTCAGAGCAGAGCTGATGATGGCCTGTGGCAACGTGTTTTAAGCCCCCCACCACACCGACGGCAGTGCTGAATTTTGTATATATATATATTTTTTTTTACTGTTCACAATTTTGTTTGGAAAAAATTAAAGAAATCTTCAAAGCAGTTGTATGACAATTTCCCATTTCTTTACACAGTCTGTAATGATATCGCTATTCAATTGTTTTTGCTATATGGCTCTTCTGAACCTTAAAGAGATCATGTGACTTGTCTCTACAACTATTGTATACTTGGATTTTGCACAGTCAAGCAATCCTGAAGAGGTTCACCAGGAAGCACACCATTTCATAAATGATGTCCCTGGTTACACAATGTTACTAAAGGATGGGGGGAGTAAATTTGTGCAACAACATAAGCACTCTCATAAAACATAATTATGAACAACAGAAAATATGTGAGGGTCAGGGCAACATTGTTGACATTAAACGAGGTCCTAATAGGAGTGGAGAAACAAGGTCACAGAGAAGTTAAGAAACATTGATGTGCTGTGTAATAAAGCTATTGGAGAGAAAAGTTAGAAAACACTGTTATATGATGTGTAACGAGAGGTTAAAACAGTCCATACTTGTAGCAAACTCTTACAAAAGAATTTGAGTAAGATGATAACTTCTATATACATTTACCTATTCTGACAAATTATCAGAATATGAGGACATCAGGCTATATATTCATATTACTGTAAACTTCAGAATTAAATCAGAACAAAACAGTAGTCATAGTTAATACATAAACGTTTTATTTTGATTTTTAGCTCAATAATAAATTTAATTCGATTCTTATGGAATGAACGGAGCAAAAAAAAAAGGATCCGGCGACTAAATCCGACTACCTGAAGTATTTCGGCGCCGGAAGTCCGCCAACGAGAAAGCCTTTCCACCGGAAGTAATTGTTTTGGGTCCGCCAATCGGAGGTAATGCGGAAACTTATTGCGTTTTGTAAATGTGGTTTTCTATCTTTGGGTCCGCCATCTTGCGCTGCATCTGGTCACCTCTCGGCGAATCTCAAAAAAAGGGTTTGGATTTATTACCAAAAATACTTGATCAACAATAAAGTAACTGAGGTTTATTACAAAATGATTTACTTAATCTATCCAAAAAATATAGCACTGATATCTCGGACTCTTGTGTATCTTGTAACCTTGAAAAAGAAACAATTGTACATTTATTTTTTGACTGTGTGCATGTTAAATTTTTCTGGATTGAGGTTGAAAATTTACTTGAATCATTGTCTGGATTTAAGATAAACCTGCAAAAGAGATATATTATTTTTTATTTTGAAAAAAAGAAAATGGACTGAAGTCACATTTTTTGTTAAACCTTTTTACATTGTATGGAAGATTTTATTTACATAAATGTAAATGGTCTAAAAAGAAACCAAATATCCACCAGTTCAAAAATAAAATTAAGATATATTTTAAGACACTAACTAGACTAATGAATAAGAAAGCGATTTGAACTATGACTTTCTACGAAACCTTGAGGTTCTCTCTATAATCTGAACTGAATGTATAATTCCCATGTCATAATTTATACTGTAACTTATGTACCTCTGTTTGATTATTTTTTTTTTCTTTTCATTGTTTTTCCGCAAAGTCTTGATTCCTCTCAAAAGAATGTCTACCCCATGTTCAGTAATATATATTTGTCATTGCTGAAGAATTGAAATGAAGGTTTGGAAAAAAAAAAAGGCAAATTTCACGGAAATCATGTCGAGATGCACTGTCGAAAAAATGGAGGTTTATTATTTATGGACAGAAACAAAAAACAAACATCAACGATAAATCAACAAATTAATAAATACAAAACTTTAAACCTATGAGATCTCTCAACAATAGAAACAACTTTGTATTTTGCAGCATAAATGCCAACATTTGGGTTATAAAATCTGGGAGATTTTTGCAGCGCGCCGGGCAGTTTTTGGGTTACCTTGTATGGTGGATATGAGCTAATTAGTATTAGCTCATATTAGTTTGCTCATTCAAAAAACTATAAGTGAAGCTGCACACTTTTTAATTTTGTTTTATCAATAACAAATGGTAATAAAAAAATAATAGCAATGATATGCCTTGAAATTATTTAGTCCACTAATATTAGTGTTAAAGTTCTTATCTTATTTACATGCTCTCCTGTATGAGGCTCTCGGAACATCTGCGCGTGCAATACAGCACTTTTTTATCTGAGGCTGCCCTGAACGCTTCACACCAAGACGGTGCACGACGATCAACGTAAATATTATATCTCGCGTTTGTTTCCCTTTCATTGAAGTGTTCATTTTGCAACAAACACTGCTTAAATACAGTTTACAGCTGAAATCGAACCGAATCATCCCAAACTGTAAAGTAAAAGTATCAATCCAGTGTCTGTTAGGCTCAGCAGAAACACAGGACAATCGTCGGTTGTCTGGAAACCTGGCAACTTTGGTCAAATATAGTGATCCGATTGTTGAACGAACGTGGACCATGCAAAATACCGGAGATTCCCGGGAGAAATGACAATACGGGAGGTGGGCGGAGATAGGTCTGAAATATTGAATTTACAGTCATATTCCTCTACAGCTAACTGCAAGACCCAGTTGCAAAAATTTTTCTTTTGAAGCTAGTATTTCACAGTTTTGGGCCCAAGTGCAATTTAGTTTAATGAAGGTGACAAGGGTTTGACAACTCAAATTTAAATAATCTATAGTCATAAAATTTTTAACCCCAAAGAGAGACCTTTTGGGAACACTTGGGTTGTTCCAGCAAACAAATCACAAGTCAGTGTCTGTGACTGTATAAGGATGCATAAATGCCTGTGGAAGAGTGACATTAGTGTGTTTTGTCTTATAAGTGACATGTGTTCAAAACACTGGACGTTCTGACTTAGATGTTAAATAAAACAGTTTAATTTATTATGAATGTGTATCTGTAAGTTAATAGAATACACTTATAAAAAGTTATACTTCCTGAGGGTTAGTGTCAACAGTCCCCCCAAAAAGAAAATGTACCTACTTTTAAAAAATGAATAGGCAAGTATAAGTTAATGCAATACATTTTAAAAAGTGATAATATCTGAGGGTTACAGTGTCAACTGTAAAAAATGAAACTGCACCTACTTGTAAAAAGGAAATTGGAATGAATACAGTAAAATTTGGTGATGCAGGCATCTTTTCTCAAAAAATTTATTCAATTTGTCAAACACACCATTTATCAGTCCATATGGTTGTGTTTTCTATAATATTATCAAAATATTTTATCATACACCCCAACCCACCAAATCAATCTATACCACATTAAAAAATGTAAGCAAACTTTATCTATGTCTGTCCTTCTATAGACACACATTTATGTCTTTATGTATTGTATGTATGTATACATCAGATTATGTTATGTATGTTTACATTACATAATGTTCAGGGCTTCTAGTAATCTATTGATCTTTCACAACACTGTCCGTCTTGTAACTTTCAACTTTCAATGGATAAAGCTGAATTAAGTGACACTTCTTGTTCATCAACTCCAGTCAAATATGTGCTTTGGAACATGAGCTACATGTGCCCAGCACAAACTCTCACTCTCAAAGTACACTGTAATTTATGGTGATATAATTTGGAAACAATAATGTAGACTGGCTTGCCAAAAATAATAGCTAATTTTTATTTGAACTGTTATTAGCAAATCCGGGTGGCTCTCTGAGTCCCTCCTCCCCTCCTTTCTCGGGTAGTTTCTTTAGTGACAAGTCTGTCCCCTAAAAACTGCTAAAGGATAACACAACTGCACCCAACCCTGGACACAACACTGGCTGCAAATCAACACGTAAGCTTGACTTTGTGGGTACTTTAGATAAAAATGAAGCTACATTAAATACTGAGGTGCAGTTATATGGAGCCAACAGGGGTGATATTTATAAATTATCACATAATGAAGTTATATTAGTACTGTAATTTAAATTCCACAGGTCTTGGGCCAATTTGTTAAATATATCTCAGCAGAACTCTTTTTGCACTAAACGTCTATTGAGTGTTTATCTTCTTGGAGGGTAAGCTTTACTCCGCCTGCTCCACTAGCAATGACCACACCACAACAATATAAGTTTGAATATTTAATACAAATTCAGGAGTGTGTATATCTTGTCTGATGCATGTATGTTGTGATAGATAATGAGGTTAATGAGGAGTGTCGCATGTCTGGTTGGTCTGGGAGGTTCTGTAGAGGCCCGGCAGTGAGAGACTCAGGATGGGGCTTCCATCTCAGGCGTAGCTCTGCCCAAGCTTCGTCCGACCCAGACTATATCTAAAATGAAGTGAGATCAGAGAGAGGCGGAGGTAGAAAGGTAGTAGAAACTTTAATGTTAAAGAGGGAGGGAGGGTGGGTCAAAGAATTGCAGACAAACGGAGTGTAGTTGGCTGGCTCTGTATAAATATTCTAGTCAGGTAATTGAAGGTGTGGTGAGGCGTGGTCCTGCTTCTGAATCTTAGTTAATACATTAACTTCATTTCACTAGCAATGACTACGCCACAACGATATAAGTTTGAATATTTAATACAAATTCAGTAGTGTGTGTATATCTTGTCTGATGTGTGTATGTTGTGCTAGATAATGACGTTGATGAGGAGTGTCGCATGTCTGGTTGGTCTGGGAGGTTCTGTAGAGGCCCGGCAGTGAGAGACTCAGGATGGGGCTTCCGTCTCAGGCGTAGCTCTGCCCAAGCTTCGTCCAACCCTCAAAGAGTTATAATTAAAGGGAGCTTAATTGAGTGTGGGCCTGAGTGTGGGCCTGACGCAGATTGTGGAGATTATTGTGAATGTAGGAGAGGTATGCCTGAGATGACCATCGTCCGAGGGTTTGGATTGGTCGATCTGATATTTTAAGCCTGACTGCTGTGGATGCTGCACCGATGCGGAATGAATGGGCTGAGTAGTGCTCTGATGTTATGCCTAATATGAGAAGGACTTGATGCAGGTGTTTATAGGACCAGAATCGTGTAGCCATTTTTCTGTTTTCGGTAAGGAAAAGCGGGTCGTGAGGTGATGCTTGAGCTGCATACCTGGAGCTGATGTATTTGGTGAGTGGTTCGAATGGACTGAGGTAGGAATTTAAGCAGAAGCTGTAAATGGGGAAAGAGATCCCGAGCTGATCTGTTTTGCTACGTCGGAGCGTGAATATGAGAGAACCTTAAGTGTGAACTGCGATGTCTGATAGTTTGGGGTGATAGGATGGATTGAAGACGGAAGAGGTCGAAGCGAATTCAGAGCATCTGAGGAAACTGAAGAAGGTGAGCAGGAACATTGGCCCTCATTTATCAATCTTGCGCAGATCTGAGGACAGGATTTATCATACGATAGGACACACGTGAGATTCATGAAAGGGTTCGTATCTGACCAATCCCAGCGTGCATATGACGGGGTCTTGATAAATGTGGCAGCTGAAATCGATCATCATTAACATGTCACGCCCTTGAATATTCGTGTTTAAGAAGCCTCGCCCACATGAAAGAGGAGAAATATTACAAAGATGTGAAACTTTTCCGAGATGAATGTGGATATCCTCGCATCTGTGGTGGAAACTAACAAGGATTTTCTGGAATAAAGGCAGTCCAGAAAACTCCTGTCTGGAGCAGGATTATGGTGGCGGTGAACAGCGCCGGAATAGCGGACAGTGGCTGAAGTTTGAATTAATCATTAGTCAATAAATTGCTCATGATGATGAATTAATATCTCATACATGCCTCATATTTGTTTATTGCCATGACATAGGGTACGTTGCTTCTATTATTGAAAGTATTTAGTTTTAATTTGTTGCGTCTTTGTAATATAGAGCAGACTGGAGAGTCTGACCGAGTCTTAACAAAAATAATTATTAATGTCACCAAACGGTGTGCTGCTGCCCCTGAGGCACATTTTTATGGATTTCTATTAGATTTTTATCACTGATTAAATAGCAAGAGCACTTTCTAAACTTATCCTTTACATGTCAGAATCCATCGATAAGGTCCTGTTTCCTCTGTACAGCACCATTTTGGAGCCTCTCCTCATTATTGTTCTCCGGGCATCAGGTCCTCACATTGCACCGGCACAGCCAACGATACTCCATTCTCCAGTGCAACATTGGGCAAAACTGTACTGGCCCAAATGATGTCCCACACCCTTTCAGGAGTGTACAACAACGTCCCCACTGCTGGGCCAAGACAGAGACACCTGCCTTTTAGGAGTCAAATGCAGCGCTCCACAGTGGCACGTGTGTGCGTAATGTTAAAACAGTGCTCCTGCTCTGTGGCAGTGTTTCTGAGCAGAGTTATCAAATGGGCCTATTCACTAAGGACATAACAAATTTATTTTATTTTATTTTATTTACGTCTTTAATCTTTAATGAAATCTGGCTGATTGTGCTTAATGACAGGGTTGAGGTTTGTTTATCAATTATTTTGAGACAGACATTTGCTGCACCGCAGATCCACACTGACTCAAACTTGCATACAGGATGTCAGACCTGTCGTGAGATTTGGTCGTAGCGTACGCTCACGTGCAGATTGCTAAATGCCGATCCTCATGTCGCAATTTATGTACGCAAGGTGTACGCAAGTTTTCTTCCGTACACAAGCTTGATAAATGTGGGCCATTGATTCTAGTGTAGAATCAACCGTTGGAGATGAGTAGCCTAAACATAGGGCTCGAATGCAGAGGCTGAGTAAGTCGGAGGTGAGTGGTAGGCGCTTGATGGGGATAGTAGGTTCCTGTTTTCTTAAACCCTTGATTGGCATGGTGACGTGAGAGTGGGAGATGGCGGTGCATTGAGAGCCGCTGATGAGTTTGAGGAAGAAATTGATGCCAGCGAGGTAAGTTTGAATGGTAGAGGATCGGATATTTTATTTTTATTAACCTATAGAGGGAGCTGCGTCTGTGAACAGTTGAATGTCTTCTGATTGGGTTATGAAATTGTCATAGAAGAAAGAAATGCCGTTCCAAGAGGACAAGAAATGTTGTCACATGTTCATCACCATTTTGCATGCTTCGTCCAATACCACTCTGTCATGCAAGGAGGGGACTGCTGCAGCTTTTGTTAGGAGATTGGAAAGGAAAGATTTTGCCTGAGGGATGATTCGGATGGCATAGTTGAGGTGACCAAGGAGGGCCAGTAACTGGCGTTTGGTGCATCTATCTGCTAGGAGATAGTTAGGGAGGAGAAGGGTGATGCGCTGTATCTTTTCCTGAGGTAGAGATGCTTGGATGGAAACTGAATCTAGAGTAATACCTAAAAACTCCATTGAGGTGCTCGGCCCTTAAGTTTTTTCCTTTGAAAGAGGTACACCCAACTCTGAAAAGCAGTCTGTAAGGGTGTTGAGTCCGAACTTGGGAGGGGATGATGGTGGAGTGACGATGAGGAAGTCATCTAGGAGGTGTAGAATGAATGAGAGTCTGTGATTTTTAGTGAGAATCCAGCACAGTGCTTCTGAGAGGGAGTCGAAGATCTTAGGGCTGCTTCTGCAACCGAAAGTGAGGCGCACTGCAAAGTAATAGGCTCCTTTCCAGCAGACACCGAAGTAGCACCAGAATTTGGGGTGTATGGGTAGCACTTTAAATGCGCTTGTAATGTCTGCTTTGGAGAGCCAAGCTCCCTGGCCTGTGAGACGGATGAGAGTGATGGCATGATTGATTGATGCATATTGCATTGAGAAATCAGGGCATGGACTGATGCTTTTGATGCTGGGGATTTGTGAACTATGGGGGGAGGAGAGGTCTATGATCATCCTATTTTTGCCTGAGTATTTTCGAGTGGCTATGCCGATGGGGCTGACCCGAAACACGGGGAAAGGTGGTTCTTTAAATGGGCCTATCATGAATCCCTCTTTGACCTCTTTTGCTAGCAAGGAATCAATGGTGTTGGGTTCCTTGGGAGCAGACTGAAGGTTTTGGCAGGTATGTGAAGAATGCCTATGCCGGGATGAAAACTGTGAGTGAAGCCGTTAAGAAGGAAGTTGACGAACTCTCTGTCTGGGTGATTTTTTAGAGCTGCAGCTAGCGCGTTTACCTTAATGGGTGAGCTGAGGTGTTCTGCTAGTCAGCTGGTGGGCGTAGTTGGGTTATGTGGGCAGGTGCACCTGGCATGTGCACCCCCGCAGAAGGAGCAGGCGTGTAGGAAGCGACAGGTGGAGAGGGTGCAACCAAGGTGGTTGAAGTTATTGCAAACCATCCTTCTGGCTTGGTATTGGATAGGCCTTCATCTCTTGTCGACTCCTTTTGGCATTGGAACATTGACAGTGGGTCGAATGTCTAGGGACTTAGGTATGATTGGAGGTGGAGGTGAAAGAGTTAAAAGACTGTGGTGTTGTGAGAGGAGGGTGAGCGTGGACAGGGTGGTGGGGCGCTTACGATGCATGCTGTGGCAATGTGGGAGGGCCATGTCTAGGATTATGGAGAGGTAGTCGTCGAGCTCTGACCTGCGAGATGATGAAAAACTGAACAGATGGTGTCACGGGAGAGTGAATATGCTAAGGCAAATTCTGCTGGTGTTAGGTCTTTTGACCTGGATGGAAGTGGGTCGCGGAGCTGAACTGGGCGGAATATTGGTTTGCATCTCCCTAGGCTGTCTTGTGTCAGTTGTGGATGGTGGAGTAGCTGAGCTAGGTCGACGTAATTACCGTAGAGAATTTGTTGGCATAGTGCCGGTGAAATGGGTGACGGACAGTTGTTGGATGAGGCTGGTTGAATAGGTGTAGCGGCTGTGGCTAGTGTGCAATTATGAACAGGAGGCGGAAATACATTTGTGTGTTGGGGAAGGGAGGGGGTGGGGATGGGGAGGGAGGGTTGATAGGATAGATCAGTAGGAAACGGAGGGGGTCGAGAATAGCCAGTGTTGTGAATTGCTGGTGGGGCTCCTTGAAGAGCTGAGGAACTGGCTATGGTGGTAAGAGGGGGAACAAAATTGTTGTTTGAGGCTGAGGGAAGAGAGGAGAAAGGGAAGTTGGGATGAAAGGATATATGTGCACGGGAACTTGGTGCAGCCTGCGAAGACAGGGAGGTAAAGAAAGCTGTGATAGCTTGAAAGGAGTCAGACACAGAGGGAGCAGGCACAGGGGGTGATACGGCCTGGTCCCCGCCAGGGGGAGCCGATGAGGCGAGCTGTGGTCGAGGGAGCTGTTCTGTGACATCACTCCTGATATTAGTGGCGGTGATTGGCTCGGGCGGGGAAGCAGGAAGCGCAGGATGTACGGCTGCTGCAGCTGTGGTATTTGTGGAGGAATTGTAGAGCAGGAATAGCCTTGCTTTATTGTCGTTGCGGTGGAATGCGATGCCTCTTGCTTTCAGGGACCGACGGAGGCGGGCGACGGTCCAGTTGCTGATGTCGTCCTCATTTCGTGGGCACAGAGTCTGTTGTCTCGGCGAAGCTTCACTGCGGCATGTTGAAATGCCTGTGGCTTAGAGGTGAGAGCGACGTAAAGGGGAGCGGAGTAGGTGATTGTAGCTCCTATGGTCTACAGATCTTCTTGGTGAAGATGAGGCTGGCGATCTGTTGGGAGTCATTGGGATGATGTTCAGGGAGCGTGAATGTGTACGGCGTGGTTGCGGGATGCTAACCACGGAGCGCAAGCGGCTCTGCCATGGAGCTTGGCTGTGGTCCGATCGCTGCTTACCGGGTGAAGGATAATTAACCTGGAAAAGTTTGTCATAAAGATCCTCGATCGAGTTGTGCAGCTGGAGTTCCATGTAAGTGGCTGAATTTAACAGTTTCTTTGAATGCAAGCGAGCATTACTGCTTGGCGCACGGTCTGTCTGTGTTCCCCAGAGAATTGCAAACAAACGGAGTGTTGTGGACTGACTGTGTATAAATATGCTCGGGGGGTTGTTTTTAACTTGACTGTAAAGCACTTTGAGTCACATTCATGTAGGAAAGGGGCTCTATAAATACAGTTTGATTGATTGATTGAAATCAGACATGATCAAGAGCCTCCAGTATGTGTTTTATTTGCTTATTCATTGGTATAGGATATTTGTTGTTTGTGTTTGTCACTAGAAACTGGTTTGTCATAATTCAGTGAGGATGAAAAAAAAGAAAGAAAAAAGTTTTAGACTACGCAATCGTCAACGGGGACCCTGTGCACAAATGTAAACTGACCCTGCTGGTGGGCCACACACGTGGACCAGAGCAGTGGATTAAACAGAGTGGCGACAACTTCAGATCTCGCCGCCGGAGCGGTCACGTGGTTCATGTACCCCTCTATAGTTCCAAGCGCAGCCTGCACTGTCCATGCTCTTCAACGGGGCAGACTGCAGTGAGCGCACATTTAAGAGGTAAATATTAAAATTAACCGTAAAAAGTCAACATTTGCAACTCTTATTGGATTACTGTGTACACGTCAAGTGAAATAAGTTTGGTAACAGGTGTTACTTTTTAATAAGAGAAAATAATACAATAAAGTGTTGAGTAACAGGTGTTACAAGCTGTTTAAACAATTGTGCAATGTTTTGGTCATGCAGCATGGCCTGCATAACATTTTTCCATGTTAAACATACGCCTTAAATGCTGACAGAATTTTAAAAGTAGCGGCCCCTTAACTCTATCATGCCATGGTATACATAAGCAGAAATCAAATTACATAGCACTTATGTTAGTCTAAAAAGAATAAATTGCACATTGCACAGGCTGAAATCTAAAATAAAGCCCATAAGTAACCATCTCAACATATGAATGATGATGATGATTTATCTGTGATTCTGTCACACAATAAATTTTGCCAGGCCTCTACAGCTGACGACGTCCAACTAGCAGGCCGTGGCTAAAAAATCGATCCCAATTCCTGACGTGAATTGTGTTGATATTTTATCATTTAACTTCGGGGAATGCTTGCCTTGTGGCCATAGAAGCGAACAGTGCCCGACGTGATAGGCGGTCATGTTGGAACTATTGAGAGTTCCTTAACCCGGAAGTGGGGTCCACCGGGCTGTACAGCGTATGCCTATGGGAGTGTCGCCACTCTGTTTAATCCACTGCTCTGATGTGGACACCATAAGAGTTCATTGAATGAGAAGCACTAAGATTTAAAGCTCCCCCAAACCAACTGGCTGCAGTATGAACCATAAACTCTTCACATAAGCCAAAGACACGTTTGTGTTTCCATATTTTAATGGCATAGTTTAAGAAGTTGAATAAGCTGACATGGGCCCTACCTTTGACAAAAACAGCCTGGGGTCCCCTAAATCTGCCAAAATTTTTGTGAAAAAACACAAGCCTTTCTTGTTTGTTTGTATCATCTTTTCTGTTTTCTCTCTCACTGCAGGATGAATGGAACAAGTTCATTGATGACCCTCAAGAGAATATTCATCTTTTCTCTTTTCTCAGTGTTTGTTTTGTGCTTCCTGTTGTTGGTCAATGAGGGACACATCAAACATGAATCTTCATCTCCCCCTGTCGGAATTCAGACTTTTCACAAGTACAACATCAACTGTTTGGCCATCTATGACTTTGATCCAATGGAGGTGGAGAAAGCGCTGATCATCAAGAAGAACCAAATTGTAAAAGACACAGATGAAAGTCTGTCTGTAGCCACATCAAACTGTCCACTCTTCATCCAGACAAGAGGTTATGATGACGTGTGTGTGTCTGAGGAGGAGAAAGACTTTCCTATTGCTTATTCTTTGGTTGTTCATAAATACGCATGGATGGTAGAAAGGCTAATCAAGGCAATCTACTCTCCTGCAAACATCTACTGCATCCACTATGATGAAAAGTCTCCTGCTTCGTTTAAATCAGCCATCAAGAGCTTCGCCAGCTGTTTGCCAAATGTCTTCGTTGCCTCCAAAATAGAGTATGTCTATTATGCCAGCTTCAGCCGAGTACAAGCTGATCTTAACTGCTTTTCAGATCTTCTGAGGTCAGAAGTCAAGTGGAAGTACCTCATCAACCTCTGTGGCCAGGATTTCCCCCTCAGAACAAACATAGAGCTGGTGTCAGAGCTGAAGGAGTTGAACGGAACAAACTCGCTCATGACACGTCAAACACCAGAACACCAAAAGCGAAGGTATAAATACCAATATGAAGTAATAGGTAACAGTGTTTACGTTAAAAGGCTGGTGGGGACGGAGAGGTTAAAGTCAGCACCTCCACACGGCATTGAAATATTTTTTGGCAGTGCCTACTTTGTCTTGTCACGAGACTTCATTGTTTACATGAACTCCTCAGCTGTGGTGAAGGACTTCCTGAAGTGGTCAGAAGACACCTTCTCCCCAGATGAACACATCTGGGCTACACTTGTACGAATTCCAGGTGTACCTGGGGAGGTGCCCAGATCCAGTCCTGACATCACTGACCTGATGAGTAAGACCAGGCTGGTAAAGTGGTTAGGTCATGAACCGCACCTGTATCCTCCATGCTCTGGGATTCACATCCATGAAGTCTGTATTTATAGTCTAGGGGAATTGCGCTGGTTGCTGAACTATGGTCACTGGTTTGCCAATAAGTTTGACCCCAACATGGACCCAATTCCACTTCAGTGCTTGGAGGAGAAGCTTGAGGAAAGAAGAAAGCTTTTTGGCTGTTAGTGGTTTTTCTTGAATGGTTTTTTAGTGTAAAAGGCACATATCATATTTTAAATTATTTTCTTTTATAATGTCCATTCACACCAACATGCCTGTGCATGTTTCCAAATGCAGAAACAGAGTGCATGATTTCCCTGTAGTAAATAGGTGGGTATGGTGGGTCAAAGTGGTCACATAATGCAAGAAAACAATCCTCTTGTTAGCTATGAATCATTAAAAATTCATAATCTATTGATTTGTGTGAAATCCTGGTGAAAATGGTCAAAACTTGGAGTAAAATGTCTGAAGGTTTAAAAGGATTACAATGGTTTTTAATGTGAATAATGTGTTTTCTCAAAAATAATAAAGCCCACTGGGAGGGGCTCTCGGGGTTTTAAAATAGTGCTGCCTGGGACTTTAATTCAGTCTGGAGTTTGGGCTGAAGGTAACTTTCAAGCTGATTTTTGTATTGCTGCTGTTTTTTTTGTTGTTGTTTTGTTTGTTTGTTTGTTTGTTTGTTTGTTTTTGTGTGTGTGTTTTTGAGAGAACTTTTGAGTTTTTTGGAGAAATCTTGCCTTGTTGGTTTTTTCTCCTTTTTGCCTTTAACATCTTGTAAAAAGTATTTTGACCATTTTTGCACCTTTTGTAAATATTTTTGGACTGCACTTTGGAAAGCCATCTGTAAATAGATACCACCATCACTGCATTGTTTTCCCAGGACGCCTGTGTTTTCCACTATACTGTTATTGTTGGAGGGACACCCAAAAAAATCAAACAGGACCACATTGAAAAATTTTAAGCAAACATTTTCTATGTGTCCATCTATCTTTAGACATACATACATACATGTCTGTCTGTCTGTCTGTCTTTCTGTCTGTCTTTCTGTCTGTCTGTCTGTCTGTCTGTATGTATGTATGTATGTATACAGTATATCATGTAAATGGCTTCTAAAGCTGATTTAAGTGACACTTTTTGTTTATAACCCTCAGTCAGCTACAAAAACACCTGCTTTGGAACATGAGCTATGTGTGCCCAGCTCAAACTCTCACTCCTAAAGCACATTATAATTCATGGTGATATTAAAAATTAATAATGTAGTCTGGCTTGCCAAAAACAATATTTACTTCTGAGTTGAACTGTAATTAGCCAATCCGGGTTGTTCTCTCAGTCCTTCCTCTTTCTTTCTCAGGTAGTTTCTTTGAGTATAAGTCTGCCCTCTAAAAAAAAACTCGACAGGATAACACACCTGGACATAATACTGGCTGCAAATCAGCACGTAAGCTTGACTTTGTGGGTACTTTGGATAAAAATGTAGCTACATTAAATCTTGAGATGCAGTTATTTGGAGCCAGCAGAGGGTGATATTTATAAATAATTACATAATAAGGTTATATTAGTACTGTATTTTTAATCGCACCTCTCTTGTGCCAGTTTGTTGAATATATTTCAGCAGAACTCTTGTATTTGCTCTAAATATCTACTGGGTGTTTATCTTGGAGGATAAGCTGTGCGATCACAACACAGGATCGGTAATAACAATGTGAATCTGTCAGTGGTGAAATAAAGCACTTGTAGAGGATTTATGATGATGTGCAACTGTCTGGTCAAACTTCATTTAACTTGTTTCGCTGCTGTCGGCTACTCTGCCCTGATCTCAATACTGAGATCAATTTCAGATATTGTTCTACCAATCAGGCAGGCACACACAAAACTAGTTGAAAACCCCTCTAGTTCCCCTTTAAAGGAGCACATCAGCAAAGTGTGATTCTTGACAAGCATGCCTTAAAACTGCTGTAATGTTTTAACCTTTGCTCTTCAGCTCATGCATGACACATAATTAAGGCTTTGTGCTTGATACTCTAATTGTAGGTTTGTATGCAAACACAGAACTTACACAATAACTTAACATGCAAATGAGCAGTTGTACTGAAGAAGTACCAGTACAGAGAACAAAAAATAAAACACCAAGCAGATGGGTGTAACCACTATTCGTTCAAAAGTTTACAAGATGCAATGAAGAAAACAACCCAATCAAATCAACTGAGGCAAAAATAAATAATCAGCAAATTGGGTCATGATGGTTCTTTGTAGTATAACCAGAATAACTGGCAAATCAGACATTTTCAAGGGCCTCCAGCAGCTCAAAGTCCGGCTGTCCGTGATTTCTCTTCGTATGTGTTTTATTTGCTTATTGGTGTAGGATATTTGTTGTTTTTGTTTGTCTCTGGAAACTGGTTTGTCAAATTTCAATGACAATTTATCCAGTTTCATTTGTACATGTAACAACTAAAAAAAGGTTTTAGACCACTACAAGAGGCTCTGTATACAGGTTTGGCTGTGTTCTTTAAAATAAGAGTTTTGATCATAAAATTACCTTATTTTGTGTAGCTTCTATCTCATCCCAGTTTTCCCAGCGCTGTGAAGGAAATGGAATGAGGGAGACAAAAATACCAGGCTTTTTTGGTTAGACAAAATGTTCTGCAATGCGTGGTGATGAGGTCTTGTGTGCTTGACTGCACTGCCCCAAAAGGAGGCTCATTTGTTCTTTTGGTTTACTGGTCCAAGAAGAGTTGCACGAGACATGTGTTCATAAGATTTTAGCTTTCAACAGGGGCTTAACAGGCTAAAAATGCCTTCGCCACTTAGAATGTAGCTTTGTCTATGGCAATGGGGCAAATAGCAAGCGCAACCACAGCTGCAAGATGTGGTCAGACATGTTCATCTTTACTTTGACATATGTATTTTGAACAGTGCTTTTTTTCAATGGGTTTTAAAGCCCCGCAGGTTTAGGGGAAAAACACAAGGCTTTCTTGTTTGTTTGTATCATCTCCTCTGTTTTCTCTCTCATTGCAGGATGAATGAAACAAGTTCATTGATGACCCTCAAGAGAATATTCATCCTCTTACTTTTCTCAGTGGTTGTTTTGTGCTTCCTGCTGTCAGTCAATGAGGAAAACATCAAACATAGATCCTCTTATCCTCCTGTAGGAATTCAGACTTTTCACAAGTACAACATCAACTGTTCGGCCATATATGACTTTGACCCAATGGAGGTGGAGAAAGCGCTGATCATCAAGAAGAACCAACTTGTTGAAGACACAGATGAAAGTCTGTCTGTAGCCACATCAAACTGTCCACTCTTCATCCAGACAAGAGGTTATGATGATGTGTGTGTCTCTGAGGAGGAGAAAGACTTTCCAATTGCTTATTCTTTGGTTGTTCATAAATATGCATGGATGGTGGAAAGACTAATCAAGGCAATCTACTCTCCTGCAAACATCTACTGTATCCACTATGATGAAAAGTCTCCTGCTCCGTTTAAATCAGCCATCAAGAGCTTAGCCAGCTGTTTGCCAAATGTCTTCATTGCCTCGAAAATAGAGTATGTCTATTATGCCAGCTTCAACCGAGTACAAGCTGATCTCAACTGCTTTTCAGATCTTCTGAGGTCAGAAGTCAAGTGGAAGTACCTCATCAACCTCTGTGGCCAGGATTTCCCCCTCAGAACAAACATAGAGCTGGTGTCAGAGCTGAAGGAGTTGAATGGAACAAACATGCTTGAGACAATTCGTCCCAATAAATACAAGAAACAGAGGTTTACACACAACTATGAGCTTGTAGGGAAAAGTGTTCTAAAAAAACAGCTGGCAAGGAAAAAGAAAAAGTCACCACCTCCACACGGCATTGAAATATTTGTTGGCAGTGCCTACTTTGTCTTGTCACAAGACTTCATTGTTTACATGAACTCCTCAGCTGTGGTGAAGGACTTCCTGAAGTGGTCAGAAGACACCTTCTCCCCAGATGAACACATCTGGGCTACACTTGTACGAATTCCAGGTGTACCTGGGGAGGTGCCCAGATCCCATCCTGATATCACTGACCTGGTGAGTAAGACCAGGCTGGTAAAATGGTTTGGTTATGAACCGCACCTGTATCCTCCATGCTCTGGGATTCACATCCATGAAGTCTGTATATATAGTCTAGGGGAATTGCGCTGGTTGCTAAACTATGGTCACTGGTTTGCCAATAAGTTTGACCCCAACATGGACCCAATTCCAATTCAGTGCTTGGAGGAGAAGCTGGAGGAAAGAAGAAAGCTTTTTGGCTGTTAGTGATTTTTCATTTAGTGATTTTTTTTTTTTTGGTGCAAAAGGCATGTATTAAAATTTAATTTATTTTCTCAAACGATGAAATAACAAATATAATATTCTGCAGCAAACTGTAAGACCTAGTTTCAAACCTTTTCTACTGTAACCAGCATTTCACAAGTTTTATTTATTTATTTTATTAATGATACATTAGAGATGTAAAGAAATGAGCATAGATTTTGTGTTATCCTTTTATATATGACACACACATAGATATATGTATATATAGCCTTCATATGCAATTATTTTATATAGAAAATTATTCTTGGATAACACATGATTCAGAAAAATTTGGTTTAATGCAGGCAACTTCTCTGGGCCTAAGTGCAATTTAGTTTAATGAAGGGTTTGACAACTCAAACTTAAATGATCTGTGGTAACAGAATTAACCCCAAAGAGAGACCTTTTGGAAACACATGTTGTTCCGGCAAACAACCCACAAGTCAGTGTCTGTGACTGTATAAGAATGCATAAATGCCTGTGGGAGAGTGACATTAGTGTGTTTTGCTTTATACCCGATATGTGTTCAAAGCACTGGATGTCCTGACTTAGATGTTTAATAAAACAATTAAATTTATTATGAATGTGTATCTACAAGTATAAGTCAATAAAATACATTTTTAGTAAGTGATACTTCCTGAGGATTACAGTGTCAGCAGTCTCCAAACACACCATCCATCAATTCTTATGGTTGTATTTTGTCTGATATTATCAAGTTGTTTTATCAAACATCCTAACTCATCTCATTTGTTTATCATCTCATTTGTTTATCACCCTCAGTCAGCTACAAAGATATCTGCTTTGGAACACGAGCTACATGTGCCTAGCTTAAACTCTCACTCTTAAAGCACATTATAATAAATGATGACATTTTAGTAATAATGGAGGCTGGCTTGCCAAAAATATTATTAGCTACTTGGCTGCACTGTAATCAGGAAATCCAATTTTTTCTCTGAGTCCTTCCTCCTTCTTTCTCAGGTAGTTTTTTAAAAGTACAAGCCTGTCCTCTTAAAACCTCTACAGGATAACACAACTGGACACATCACTGGCTGCAAATCAGCAGGTAAGCTAGACTTTGTGGGGCCAACAGAGGGTGATATTTATAAATAATTACATAATGAGATTATATTAGTACTGTATGTTAAATTGCGCTAGTCTTAGGTAAATTTGTGGAATATATTTCAGCAGAACTCTTGTATTTTCTCTTAATATATATTGAGTGTTTATCTTGAAGTGTAAGTTTTACTCCGGCTAACATTTAAGGAGTCATTAAGTGTTACAAGCTGCAAGGTTTAAAGCACTCTGATATGTGAACAATACAGAGCAAATGTACACATCATGACATCAAACACATCATGAATATAATATTCATGATGTGTTTGATACCCCAAAGTCGTTTTCATAGGTCTCACAACAAGCTCTGTTCAAGAAAAATTATAGTATTGGTGGAAGGTGTGTTTTTTTTCATGGTCCCTCAAAAAACAAGAATTGCAGCGATAATGTCTTGATTTTGGAAAAAACAATAATGCCCCTCCTTAAGTACTCATCTTGTTAAGAATGTGGATTTGAGAAAGTTCAACTCAATTTAATATTGGCTAAAAACGAGCCATACTACAAAGAAAACTACACAAGACTTATTTCAGAATAATTGTAACTGAAATAAATATAGCTGGTGTGAAATTTTTGGCTTGTGTATCATACGATACCTTTTATGTTTTAGCCAGCCTTTTTATATATTAGATTTTACATGATGTGAACAAAAATATTACTAACAAGTCTAGAAATACGCATGACAGTGTTTTTTTTTTGTTTGTTTACGTTTTTCATAAATTGCCAGTTTTATAGATAGCATATAATTACATATTTTGTACTGTTGTACTGGAGATGTATTTGCATTTTAGCTCTACAAAAAGCCAACAGGTTTTTTGAAAACATTGTTCTTATATTCAGATTGAAAATGTTCTCAAAGGGAACTTTGGTATTTTTCAAACTAAGCTCTATTTTACTTTGGACACACAAAGCTGTGTGATCACAGCACAGGTTTGGTGATAACAATGTGAATCTGTCAGTAGTGAAATAAAGCACTTGTAGAGGATTTATGATGATGTGCAACTTCCCAGTCAAACTACATTTTGGCTTGTGTTGCTGCTGTCAGCTGGTCTACTCTGATCTAAATACTGGATCAATTTCAGAAATTGTTTTACCAATCAGGCCAGCACACAGAAAACTAGTTGAAAAACACAGAAGTTCTCATTCAAAAAACACCTCAGAAAAGTCTTGACAGACCGGCTCACAAACTGCTGTAATGTTTTAACCTTTGCTCTTCAGCTCATGCATAACACCTAAATTAAGGCTTTGTGCTTGATTTTCTAATTGTAGACTAATATGCAAACAAAGAACTAACCTCGCCGGAGACGTGCCGCAAGCACGGCGTAAGTCAGATCCGCCGCGCCGACAAGGCGTTCCCAAGCACAATTTGGTATTTTGGTGAGCAGCACAGCCCGGCGTAAGTATCCCCCCTCCCTAACTCAGCTCCTCCCAGCGGCGTAAGTCGTAGCGAGGGAGGAGAAAGGGCGTGGAGTGGGTTTAAACAGCCGAGACCAGTTTTCACCAATCACATAAGCTCCTCTCCTTGCCTTTAAATCCGCCAGGCGTATTAGTATATTCGTGAAGTAGTCAGAGAGATCAAGAGATGTCTGAAGACAGTAATGCCACAAGATGGCGACAGAGGGCAGCTCCTCAACAAGTGTCACTGTAAGCGCTGCACTGGGCGTCCTCCACACTCTCTCATATGAGCACAGATGGATTTGGTGTGTGTAAAGTTGGACCCACTGGTAAGAAAAACACTCTTTTCCACTAATTAAGACACTCACATAAAGTTGCATATATTCAAACCTCACGTGACAAAGGTGGGTTGAGCGCACAGATCACAACATTAACTCCAAAAATGGCATTAAAATCGGAACCAACTGTGCGTAAATGACGCATCGCACTCCGTGGCCTGGCTCTTTCTTTCATAGATGTTGGCATATAAAATAAATTTGGCTTACAAGACTGAATATTATAATATTCGTATGTAGGCTTAAAGTAGATAACGCATCTGATCAAAGAAACAAATCATCTGTTCAGCCGCTGCTGCTGCAGGACGGAGAGAGGACACAGAGACATGTCCAGGTCGAGCTGCGTGAGAAATAAGCGGAGGAGGAAGAAAGAAAAGGAGGGAGACGAATCACATATCTTGTTAACTTCATCATGTTTGTTTATTTACTTTAAATTACTTTTAATTTAATTTAATGCGGTTTCAGCTGTGTTGATTCGGTCAGGTTGTGTGTCCAAACACGCTCATCAGATCACATATAGATCAGAATATACCAATATAGATCTAAATGTATGTGCTGACTCAGATTAATAGTTGATGATGATTACTTATTGCACTGAAATTTGCCTGACACTGTGGAAACCTACCGGTGAGGCATCAGTGACGTATGCAGATTCACTGCCGGTCTACCAAAATACTACTAGACCAGCTGCGCTCCGCCTTGCGCTGAAAGCTGACCAGGTTTGAATCGGCGAGCTTTCAGCACACTTTACACGCCGGTGGCGAGCACGAAAATGTCACTGTGCCCGCTGATTCTGTCGACACCTCCCCCTGACACGCCACCACGCCCAGCTTGGCAGATCTCGGTTCGCCTCTGTGCGGCTCAGTCCATGAAAATACCAAACTGGCTGTACGCTGGGCTGCGCCAGATGAAAATACAACTGCGCGGGGCTCGCCGCCCTCCGCTGCCTCACGGGCGTACTCGAAAATAGAGCCCTAACTGTTAATTGCCCCTGCTGGTGGGCCATGCTTGTGGACACCATAAGAGTTCAATGACTGAGAAGCAGTAAGATTTAAAGCTTCCTCAAACCAACTGGCTGCAGTATGAACCATAAACACTTATCATAATTCAGAGACACTTCTGTGTTTCCATATTTGAAAAGCATTGTTTCAGAGGATGAATGAGCTGACACGGGCCTGACCTATGACAGAACTGGGGGTCTGGGGTCTGTTGATTTTCATTAGGAAAAAGAAATCTGCCAACAGGCTTTCTTGTTTGTTTGTATCATCGCTTCTGTTTTCTCTCTCATTGCAGGATGAATGAAACAAGTTCATTGATGACCCTCAGGAGAATATTCATCCTCTTACTTTTCTTAGTGTTTGTTTTGTGCTTCCTGCTGTCAGTCAGTGTGGGACACATCAAACATAAATCCTCATCTTCCCCTGTAAGAATTCAGACTTTTCACAAATACAACATCAACTGTTTGGCCATCTATGACTTTGACCCAATGGAGGTGGAGAAAGCGCTGATCATCAAGAAGAACCAAATTGTTGAAGACACAGATGAAAGTCTGTCTGTAGCCACATCAAACTGTCCACTCTTCATTAAGGCAAGAGGTTATGATGATGTGTGTGTCTCTGAGGAGGAGACAGACTTTCCTATTGCTTATTCTTTGGTTGTTCATAAATACGCATGGATGGTAGAAAGACTAATCAAGGCAATCTACTCTCCTGCAAACATCTACTGTATCCACTATGATGAAAAGTCTCCTGCTTCGTTTAAATCAGCCATCAAGAGCTTAGCCAGCTGTTTGCCAAATGTCTTCATTGCCTCCAAAATAGAGTATGTCTATTATACCAGCTTCAGCCGAGTACAAGCTGATCTCAACTGCTTTTCAGATCTTCTGAGGTCAGAGGTAAAGTGGAAGTACCTCATCAACCTCTGTGGCCAGGATTTCCCCCTCAGAACAAACATAGAGCTGGTGTCAGAGCTGAAGAAGTTGAATGGAGCAAACATGCTTGAGACAACTCGACCCACTGAGTATAAGCAACAGAGGTTTACATACCACCATGAACTCGTAGGGAACAGTGATCTCAACAAATGGCTGGTGGGCACAGACCAGTTGAAATCACCACCTCCACATGGCATTGAAATGTTTGTTGGCAATGCCTACTTTGTCTTGTCACGAGACTTCATTGTTTACATGAACTCCTCAGCTGTGGTGAAGGACTTCCTGAAGTGGTCAGAAGACACATATGACCCAGAGGAACACATCTGGGCTACACTTGTGCGAATGCCAGGTGTACCTGGGGAGGTGCCCAGATCCCATCCTGATATCACCGACCTGATGAGTAAGACCAGGCTGGTAAAGTGGTTAGGTACTGATCTGCACCTGTATCCTCCATGTTCTGGGATTTACATTAGGGGTGTTTGTATTTATAGTCTGGGAGAATTGCGCTGGTTGCTGAACTATGGTCACTGGTTTGCCAATAAGTTTGACCCTAAAGTGGACCCAATTCCACTTCAGTGCTTGGAGGAGAAGCTGGAGGGAAGAAGAAAGCTTTTTGGCTGTTAGTGGTTTTTTTGTGTTTTTTTTTTTTTTTTTTTTGAGTGATCTTTTGGTGTTAAGGCGCATTTCATATTTATAAGTAATTTTTTAAATAATGAAATCATCTACATCCCCCACAGCAAACTAGATACCTGGTTGCAAAAAATTGTGTTAACATACTGTATATATTTTGTTCATTTTGAAGTGGTTTATAATACACAGAAATCGCTGCATGTATTACATTTTTAGAAAGCATTTTTTTGTCAAGTCTTATCTATTTGACAGTTGTTGGATAGATCCTGCATGTCCCTCAAAGTGATCTGATTTGTATTTATTAAAAACATTTAAGCAAACATTATCTACATGTAACTCCATCCATCGAGATATGTATATGTCTCTATGTATGATGTATGTATACATTATATTGTGTTAAAGGTTTCTAGTGCTCTATTAATCCCTCACAACATTGTCCTTCTCGTTCCCTAAATTTAAACTTTCGGTGAAAACAGCTAACTGAAGTGACACTTGTCATAAATTATCTTCAGTCAGCCATAAAGATATCTGCTCTGTAACATCAACTACATCTACCCAGCTCAAACTCTCACTCTTAAAGCACATTGTTATTCATAGTGAAATTTGAAAATAATGTCTGGCTTGCCAAAAATAATATTTGCTTCTTCGATGAACTGTAATTAGCAAATCCGGGCTGTTCTCTGAGTCCTTCCTCCTTCTTTCTCAGGTAGTTTCTTTAAGTACAAATCCAAATCCATACACTTATATCCTCTATAGGATAACACAATTGGACACAACACTGGCTGGCAAATCAGCAGGTAATCTTGACTTTCTGGGTGCTTTGAATAAAAATGTAGCTACATTAAATACTGAGATGCAGTTAATGTGGAGCCAAGGGTGAGATTTATAAAGAATCACATTATGAGGTTATATTAGTACTGGATTTTAAATTGCACCAGTCTTGTGCTAATTTGTTGAATATATTTAAGTAGAACTCTTGTTTTTGCTCTAAGATCTACTGAGTGTTTATCTTGGAGGGTAAGCTTTACTCTGCCGGTCATTTTTTTTTTTTTTTTGAAGAAATTACCTATTGTTTGTGAACAGAGATGTCTGTAAAAAATTATTTAACATTTAAGGAGTCAGTAAGTGTTACAAGTTGCAAGGTTTAAAGCACTCTGATATGTGAACAATATCAAGCAAATGAGTTGTTATCTAATATTTGATATTTTTGATGTTCTTCCGTGGGTTTTTTAAGGTCTCACAAAAAGCTCCTGGCCTGTTCTTATCAACTAATATGTTTATGAAAAGTTACAGTACTGATTAAAGCTGTGCTTTTTATGGTCCCTTAAAAACAACATTTTCAGTGAAAATGTCTTGATTTTGGAAAAAACAATAATGCCCTTCCTTAAGTAATCTGATATTGTTGAGAATGTGGATTTGAGAAAGATCAACTCAATTTAATATTGGTAAAAAATGAGCCATACTACCTGGAAAACTACACAATACTTATTTAAGAATAATTGTAACTAAAGAAAATAAAGCGAGCATGACAATTTTTGGCTTGTGTACTATACAACACCTGATGCTTTTAGCTAGCCTTTTTCTGTATCTGAGAGAGAAAATCGTCCAACTACATAATAAAAACAAAAATATCACTAGTAATTCTACAAATATGCATGACAATTTAATTTTGGTTTACATTTGTCATAAATTACTAATTTCATTAAGAGCATACAATAGGATATCTTTGTATTGTCCTGGAGATGTATTTGCATTTTAGCTCTTAAAAAAGGCCAACAAGTTCTTCAAAAACATCGTTCCTTTGTCAGATTGAAGATGTTCTCCAAGGGAACTTTGGTATTGTTCAACCTAGGCTCTATTTTACCTTGGACACACAAAGCTGTGTGATCACATCACAGGATTGGTACCAACAATCTGAGTCTGTCAGTGGTGAAATGAGGCATTTGTGGTGGATGCAGTTTGACAATGTGCAATTTCCTGGTCAAAATACATTTTGGCTTGTTTCGCTGCTGTCAGCTGCTCTACTCAAGAAGATTGGTGAGAATACACAAGCCTTTTTGGTTTGTTGGTATCATCTTTTCTGTTTTCTCTCTCATTGCAGGATGAATGAAACAAGTTCATTGTTGACCCTCAAGAGAATATTCATCTATTCACTTTTCTCAGTGGTTGTTTTGTGCTTCCTGCTGTCAGTCAATGAGGAAAACATCAAACATGAATCTTCATCTCCCCCTGTAGGAATTCAGACTTTTCACAAGTACAACATCAACTGTTTGGCCATCTATGACTTTGACCCAATGGAGGTGGAGAAAGCGCTGATCATCAAGAAGAACCAAATTGTAAAAGACACAGATGAAAGTCTGTCTGTAGCCACATCAAACTGTCCACTCTTCATCAAGACAAGAGGTTATGATGACGTGTGTGTCTCTGAGGAGGAGACAGACTTTCCTATTGCTTATTCTTTGGTTGTTCATAAATACGCATGGATGGTAGAAAGACTAATCAAGGCAATCTACTCTCCTGCAAACATCTACTGTATCCACTATGATGAAAAGTCTCCTGCTTCGTTTAAATCAGCCATCAAGAGCTTAGCCAGCTGTTTGCCAAATGTCTTCATTGCCTCGAAAATAGAGTATGTCTATTATACCAGCTTCAGCCGAGTACAAGCTGATCTCAACTGCTTTTCAGATCTTCTGAGGTCAGAGGTAAAGTGGAAGTACCTCATCAACCTCTGTGGCCAGGATGTCCCCCTCAGAACAAACATAGAGCTGGTGTCAGAGCTGAAGAAGTTGAATGGAACAAACATGCTTGAGACAACTCGACCCCCTGAACACAAAAAACAGAGGTTTACACTTCACTATAAGCTTGAAGGGAACAGTGATCTCAACAAATGGCTGGTGGGCACAGACCAGTTGAAATCACCACCTCCACACGGCATTGAAATGTTTGTTGGCAATGCCTACTTTGTCTTGTCACGAGACTTCATTGTTTACATGAACTCCTCAGCTGTGGTGAAGGACTTCCTGAAGTGGTCAGAAGACACCTTCTCACCAGATGAACACATCTGGGCTACACTTGTGCGAATGCCAGGTGTACCTGGGGAGGTGCCCAGATCCCATCCTGATATCACCGACCTGATGAGTAAGACCAGGCTGGTAAAGTGGTTAGGTACTGATCTGCACCTGTATCCTGCATGTTCTGGGATTTACATTAGGGGTGTTTGTATTTATAGTCTGGGGGAATTGCGCTGGTTGCTGAACTATGGTCACTGGTTTGCCAATAAGTTTGACACCAATGTGGACCCAATTCCTCTTCAGTGCTTGGAGGAGAAGATGGAGAAAAGAAGAAAGCTTTTTGGCTGTTAGTGGTTTTTCTAAAGTGATCTTTTGGTGTAAATCTTTAAAGTAACTTTTTAAATACTGAAATAATTATAATCCCCCTACAGCAAACTAAATGCCAGGTTGCAAACTTCTGTGTTAATGTATGTATTTAGTTCATTTTGAAGTGGATGATTAAGCATACAGCCTGCTGCATGTATTGAGTTTTAAAGCTAAAGTGTGTAACTTCTATCGTCCCCTTGAGGATTTCTGCATTATTACAAAAATACGTCCGGCACCTCAATATGACGTATGTCCTGGTGTAACGCATACACGGAGTAACACTCGCGACTTACCGCATACTGCTCCTCACGATACACGGACTGTAACTGTCTACACAACGTGTAAGCTACTAAAGTTACTCGTCACAGCACACAGACTCCCCGCAGTAAGTTACACACAGCAACACGGGCTACACACCTTGTAACTTAATGCTCATTTGGCTAAAGTTACACAATGAGGCGAACACCCAGCTGCTAACAATACATTACATTCATAGCACCATTTCCAAGAAAATAATTAAGTATGCAGTCCAGTACATGTAACATCAGTATCAAGGCAACACTGGTGTCAGACCTCAGCCCAATCTCCTCCTTCAGGAAAAGAGACGTCAATGCAAATCCACATTAGGCTTCTCCATTTGTCACTCTCTTTTTTCGCCAACGGTTCTTCTGCCAAATGGGAAGGCTTTTTCGTTATAGTAGGATCCACTTCTGAACCTCTTGGTTGCTTCTTTGGGTTCTCCACCATGTTGCTTCTGGCAGAGCTCTCCTTCCCCCCCGCCTCTCATTGTCAGGAAACACCAAGTAGAACGCATCATTTCCTTTGCACTGGCGTGGGAATGTTGACAAGACACCAAGTACAAAAAGAACAAATACTGAAAAGTACCGCGAGGTCTTGGAGTAGCGGAACGGCTTAATCAGCGTTGTCCCATTTCCTCTTGTTGTGGCTTGGGTAAAACAAATATTTACAGACATGTAGAAGTTATGTATTACAGCTTTAAGACAGCATTTTTTTGTTAAGTCTTAATTCAACAGTTGTTGGATAGATCCTGCATGTCCCTCAAAGTTATAACAATTTTTATTCATTTTAACACATAATTCAGAAACACTGGGGTTTGTGCTGACAACTTCTCTGGGCTCAAGTGCAATTTAGATGAATAAAGATAAAAAGGGTTTGACTAATCAAATTTAAAAATCTAAAGACATGGTATTCTTAACCCCTAAGAGGGACCCCTTGCTAACACTTTGTTCCAGCACACAACTCTCAAGTCAGTGCCTGTGACTGTATATGGATGCAAAATGCCTGAGGAAAAGTGACATTGGTGTGTTGTGTTTTAAAACTGATATGCGTTCAGAGCACTGGATGTCCTGACTAAGATGTTTAATAAATCAATTAAATATATAATAAATGCATATCTATGTGTATAAGTTAATTTTAAAAAAGTGATACTGAGGGTCATAGTGTCAACAGTCTCCCAAAAATGAAACTGCACCTACTTGTAAAAGGGAAATTGTGGTGTGTGTGTGTGAATGGCTGAATGGGTTAGCACATCCCATGCATGGGGACCACGGCCCCTGCAGCAGTTACAAGTTCGAGTCTGGCTCCAACCATGTGCTGAAGGTGCTCCCCCCACTCTTTCTCCCTCTATTTTCCCATATTTCACACAAGAGAGTAAAATTTGGTGACAAAGGTGTCTTTTCTCAAAAACTTTAATTCAATTCGTCAAACACACCATCTATCCTTCTCTATGGTTTTGTTTAGTGTGATTTCAAGATGTTTTATCAAACACTCTATCCCATCAAATAAAATTATACCACATTATAAAATTTCAAGCTAACATTTTCTATGTGTCCGTCCTTCTATAGACATACATATATGTCTAAATGTATGTATGTATACATTAGGGGAGAGTGGGGCTTGTTGTCAAATGGGTAAGTTGTCACATTACAGTTATCTTTGCTACCAGAGGGGGCAACTTAAAAGTGGAATACGAGTTTTCTTCCTTAACATGGTCAGGGGTTGTGTCCTGTCTGAGTAGAGAAGAGCACATTGTGAGCCGAGATGAGCTCCAAGTCACCAGTTCACAACCCAAAGTAAAAAAATTAACTTTATATGTTTTACAAAAAGTTTCTTCCAGACAAAAATCCTAGCAGTGATAAATGTGGACTATTTAGAGGGGAGATTAAGGCATCCTGTCATACCTCAGTCATTGCTCTGTTTTAAGATAACTTTAAGTTAGAGCTAGAATTAGCAAACATGGTAGTCTGGGGCAACATGTCTCAGTCATTTTGGGGTTAGTTGTCACATCAAATTAACATAGAGGGCTCTATTTTCGTGCCTTGCCGGAGACGTGCCGCAGGCACGGCATAAATCAGGTCCGCCGCGCCGACAAGGCGTTCCCAAGCACAATTTGGTATTTTGGTGAGCAGCGCAGCCCAGCGTAAGTATCCCGCCTCCCTAACTCAGCTCCTCCCAGCAGCGTACGTCGTAGCGAGGGAGGAGAGAGGGCGTGGAGTGGGTTTAACACAGCCGAGACCTGTTTTCACCAATCACATCAGCTCCTCTCCTTGCCTTTAAATCCGCCACAGGCGAGGCGTATTACCATTTTCGTGAAGTAGTCAGAGAGATCAAGAGATGTCTGAAGACAGTAATGCCACACGATGGTGACAGAAGGCAGCTCCTCAACAAGTGTCACTGTAAGCGCTGCATTGGGCGTCCTCCACACTCTCTCATATGAGCACAGACGGATTTGGTGTGTGTAATGTTGGACCCACTGGTAAGGCGAACATCCTTTCCACAGTAAAGACACTCACATAAAGTTGCATATATTCAAACCTCATGTGACAAAGGTGGGTTGTGCGCACAGATCACATTAACTCCAAACATCGCATTAAAATTGGAACCATCTGTGCGTAAATGACGCATCGCGCTCCGTGGCCTGGCTCTCTCTTTCATAGATGTTGGCATATAAAATAAATTTGGCTCACAAAACTGAATATTATAATATCCGTATGTCGGCTTAAAGTAAATAACTCATCTGAGCACTGAAACAAATCATCTGTTCAGCCGCTGCTGCAGCAGCAGCAGGACGGGGAGAGGACTTGGAGACATGTCCAGGTCGAGCTGTGCGAGAAATAAGAGGAAGAGGAAGAAAGAAAAGGAGGGAGACGAATTACATATCTAGTTAACTTCATCATGTGTGTCTATTTACTAGATATTTAATTTAATTTAATGCGGTTTCAGCTGTGTTGATTTGGTCAGGTTGTGTGTCCAAACGCGTGCCAAACGCGCTTATCAGATCAGATATAGATCAGAATATATCTATATAGATCTAAATGTATGTGCTGACTCAGATTAATAGTTGTTGATGATTATTTATTGCACTGAAATGTGCCTGACACTGTGGAAACCTGCCGGTGAGGCATCAGTGACGTATGTCGATACGCCACCGGTCTACCAAAATACTACTAGACCAGCTGCGTTCCGCCTGCGCTGAAAGCTGACCAGGTTTGAATCAGCGAGCTTTCAGCGCACTTTACATGCTGGTGGCGAGCACGAAAATGTTACTGCGCCCGCTGATTCTGTTGACACCTCCCCCTGCCACACCACCACGCCCAGCTTGGTGGATCTCGGTTCGCCTCCGTGCGCCTCAGTCCACGAAAATACGCTGGGCTGCGCCAGACGAAAATACAACTGCGCGGGGCTCGCCGCCCTCCGTCGCCTCACCGGCGAACACGAAAATAGAGCCCAGAGAGTCTTCTTATCAGCAGTTGTCATATTGATTTTTTTACATAAAAAAGGGTGGTTTCAAGAAGAGGAGAAGGGGAGAAGACATGGTCAGGAATTTCAAAAGAAAAACCGAACATGTTATTGTAGTGCCTGACATGATGGTGAGGGCAGTCAGGCAGGTGACCCTAGGTAATGGATCAATCAAGAGTACAATAAAGGACTTTAATGTCAACTACCATATCTTGGCTCGGTACTGCAAAAAATTCACCCAGACAGCTCTCCAAACTCCAGAACATGTTGCATAATATTTTATGTTCAATGACTTTTTCTAGCTCAATGATAAACATTTTCTGTTCCTGACGTTGTTGACTTTCATGTAAAAAAATGAGAACAACAAAAATCTTGTTCTTGTTTTATTAGATGCAAAATCCACTGTGACATCTTACCCCATATAGTGAGACAACTTACCCGATGGTGGGGCAACATGTCAAATGTTCACACTCTCAATTTAATTGCTTATAACTCTGCACTGACACAAAATATGAAAATGACATGAATATGAAATACCTGAGACTTTGGTCTTTCATCTAGTACACATTTTGTTTATATATGATGTATTGATTCCAAGAAATATATGAGTGTGAAAAGTGCGACAACAAGCCACGGACCCTTTTTGTTTATCCCCTTCAGTCAGCGACAAAGATAGTTGCTCTGTAACATCAGCTACATGTGCCCAGCTCAAACTCTAACTTTTAGAGAACACGATAATATAAAGTGATATCTATATAATGATATAGACTAGCTTGCCAAAAATAATATTTACTTTTTATCTGAACCATAATTAGTAAATCCGGGTTGTTCTCTGAGTCCTTCCTTCTTCTGTCTCAGGTAGTTTATTCAAGTACAAGCCTGTGCTCTAAAAACCGCTATAGGATAACACAACTGCACCAAACCCCGGACACAACACTGGCTGCAAATCAGCACGTAAGCTTGACTTTGTGGGTATTTTGGATAAAAATGTAGCTGCATTAAATCTTAAAATTCAGTTAATATGGAGCCAACAGAGGGTGATATTTATATATAATTAATAATAATAATAATAATAATAATAATAACAATAATAATAATAATTTTATTTATATAGCACCTTTAAAAACAGAAGTTTACAAAGTGCTTAGACAACAGTTGTAAGCACAGAGCATCAGCACATTGAAAATAAAAACACATAAAAACAAAGCTCAGTTAAAAACAGGCCTCTGAATTGTAGGCCTGTTTCACTTTTGGTAAGAAACCCAGGCAATACAAGAACCCTACAAAATGAATGGGACCATGAGGACCAAAATAAAAGCAAAAAAAGAAATAGAAAAGGAGGGAAGAAAACAGGCTAGTAAGTATGAAAGAGGATATTAATAATAATATTAATAAAATCATAATAAAATAAAATGATGGTAATATAAATGATAAAGTGGAATTAAGTATATATATATAAAATAAAGGAAAATGAAAACATTAAAATCAATAAAAAGATTATAAGTAAAACAAAGGCTAAAAAGGCAGTAAGTCTAAATAAGAAAGAGGTGAAAGAGGTAAAAGAAAAAGGAGAAAAATAAAAACGGTAAAAGGCAATAAAAGATGAAAGATGGCATCACATAAAGGCAAGTCTGTAAAAGTGAGTTTTTAAAATTGACTTAAAAGAAGCGACTGTCTCTGCACGCCTTATCTCCTCTGGCAGGTCGTTCCAAAGTCGAGGAGCTCTGATGGAGAAAGCTCTATCACCTTTAGTCTTGAGCCTCGATTTTGGAACGACCAGGAGGCCTTCGCCAGAGGATCTGAGGCTGCGAGTTGGCTCATAAGATATTAAAAGCTCTGAAATGTAGCTCGGAGTAAGTCCTTTGAGCGCTTTAAAAGTAATCAATAAAATCTTAAAATCAATTCTAAAGCTGACAGGGAGCCAGTGAAGGGAGGCTAAAATTGGGGTGATGTGATGCCGTCGACTAAAACCAGTTAAAAGTCTAGCTGCTGCATTCTGAACTAGTTGGAGGCGAGAGAGTGATTTCTTGTTTAAACCAGGGAGGAGAGAGTTACAATAGTCCAGTCTTGAGAAAATGAAGGCGTGGATTATCTTTTCGAGATCTGGTGGGGTGAGTATTTGTTTAATCTTTGAAATGGAGCGCAGGTGAAGGAAACAGGACTGGACAATCTTGTTGATATGGGTGGAGAAGGTGAGGTCTGAATCAAAGGTTACTCCCAGATTTCTGGCTGTTGGTTTGATGATTACTGAGTGTGGACCGAGACAAGACTGAATGAGGGGGAGTTTTGTATGTTACAGAGAATTATTTCAGATTTTGAATAGTTTAGCTGAAGGAAATTTTGTGCCATCCAACAGTTAATGTCACTTAGACAGTCCATGACAGCAGCTAGGCCTCTTGGGTCCTCAGGTCTCAAAGGAAGGTATATCTGTGTGTCGTCTGCATAGCAGTGAAAGGAGACTTTGTGGCGCTGAATTAATTGGCCAAGGGGCAGCATGTATATAGAAAATAAAATTGGACCTAAAACTGAACCTTGCGGAACACCACAGGCGATAGCAGAAGTAGAGGAGGTGTGATTGCCTATGGTGACCGCAAAGGTTCGTTCTAAAAGATACGACTGAAACCAGCCAAGTGCAGTGCCCCTGACACCCACCCAGTTTTTAAGACGTTCAATTAAAATAGTATGATCAACTGTATCAAAAGCTGCACTGAGATCTAAAAGAATTAAAATTGAGCCCTCCCCTCTATCTGCTGCTAAAAGAAGGTCATTGGTCACACGGAGGAGGGCAGTCTCAGTGCTGTGACCTGCTCTAAAACCAGACTGAAATTTCTCAAAGAGGTTGTTTTCGGACATAAAACCTAAAAGCTGTTTAGAAACCACCTTCTCTAAAAGTTTGGATAAAAATGGAAGTTTTGAAATTGGTCTAAAATTGTTAAAATCAGAGGGGTCAAGGTTTGGCTTCTTTAAAAGGGGTTGGACCACAGCGTGTTTAAAAGCAGAGGGAAATACTCCCTCCACTAGAGAGCTATTAATGATGGATAAAATGCTAGGCCCAACCACGTTAAAAACCTCTTTGAGAAATCTGGTGGGGATAGAATCAAGACTGCACGTAGCTGGTTTCATTTTGACTAAAATATCAGATAAAAATTTTAAGGACACCGGCTCAAAACTACTAAAAAAGTGCTTAACTTCCCGGCTTAAGAGTACAGGGAGACTGGGAGGGGTGATTTGATGCCTGATGTCCATAACCTTGTTAATAAAATGACTTAAAAACTTCTCACAGGTTTCTTGAGAAGCATCAGTAAAATAAGAGGGGGAAGGGTTTGAAAGAGACTCTAAAACCTTGAATAAAACTCTGGGGTTTGAATAATTAGCTAAAATCAAATTTGAGTAAAATGCTGCCCTTGCATCCTTAACTGCCTTCTGGTAGTTTTTCAAGGAGTCTCTCCAAATTTCGAGGAAAACCACCAACCCAGTTTTCTTCCATTTGCGTTCGTATCGTCTACAAATTCTCTTTAGTTCATGGGTGGACTCTGTGAGCCAGGGTTGGGGTTCTCTGTTAGATCTTTTCTTTTTCAGAGGAGCTACAGAGTCCAGGATGGTTCCACACATACTGTTAAAAAGAGAGACAAGCTCTTCAGTGTTAAAAACTGGATTAAAATCTGGGTTGAGGGCAGTTAAAGATGCAGAGATAAAAAGCTCCGAAAACTTGCTAGCAGACGATGCATTAAAAACCCTTCTAAAAACAGGAGTGTGATCGGTAAAAGAGGGCTGGGATAAAACCATGGAGAATAAAACCAGTTTGTGATCTGACACACAGATATCCTTAGTTAAAAACTCCCCAGGACTAAGTCCACTAAATAAAACCAAATCTAAGCAGTGTCCCTTTACATGAGTGGGTTCCTGTATTGCCTGGGTAAGATTAAAGGAGTCCAGAGTTTCAATAAAATCAACAGTTAAGGGTTGAGAGGGACAACAGACATGTACATTAAAATCACCCAAAATAAGAACTTTGTCATATTTACAAATAAAAAGGGATAGAAACTCTGAAAACTCCTGAATAAAAACAGCGTTGTGTTTGGGTGGTCGATAAATGATTATGATTAAAATAGGTTCTTTCAATTTAACAATAAAAGCAAGGTGCTCAAATGAACTAAAAGTGCTGAAGGTGATGGGGGTGCATTTAAAATCCTTCTTGTATATGACAGCCACCCCCTCCCCGGCCTGACTGCCGGGGCTGATGGAGGTGAGTAAAATCAGGGGGGGTGGCTTCTATAAGAGAAATACAATTGTCCGGAGTCAGCCAGGTTTCAGTCAGAATAAAAAAGTCCAGACTGTTTTGTGAAATAAAATCATGGCATAAAAATGTTTTGTTGTTGAGGGATCTGATGTTTAGAAGTCCAAAGTTTGCAGGTTTGCTGTTAAAAGCAGGGCGGGGTAGCCGAGGAAGCAGGGGGATGTGGATGAGATTGGTGGGGGGACAAAGTCTGGCTGGAGGACGGGGAGGACGTGAGGATGTGATGCGGACTGGAATCACGGATTTACTGAAAGTACTAGTGGGGGGGGGCAGAGGAAGGTGGGGGTTGGCAGGTGAATGAGCGGGGATTGTGGGACTGTTATGAGATGACCAGAGGTTATTGTGAGGAGAAGGGGGGGTGGCCTGGTTGTGGAAAGATGGGCTGCTGAGTGCAGACTGTCAGACGGGTGAGGAGTGGATCATATACTGGATGTTGCAAGAGAGCATTCGGCTACCCCGCCTGTTGGGGTGGATCCCATCATGGCTAAAAAGTGATGCTCGGTCCCAAAACAGATTAAAATTGTCAATAAAACCGAAGTTGTGGGTGGGGCATGTGGATTGGAGCCAGGTGTGGAGGCTGAGGATCCTGCTAAAACGTTCCCCTCCACGACCGAGAGTGGGGATCGGGCCAGAGATAAAAACAGTCTTTCCAGTGTCCTTTAAAACGTTAAAAAGCAAGTTAAAATCCCTCTTTGTGATTTCTGACTGCTTAAGGGACATGTCGTTTGAACCAACATGGAGCACAATCTTAGTGACAGAGGAGGGGAGAGAGGGGAGTAGATTAAGAAGTTTGTCCAGGATGACAGGTACCATGGCGCCGGGAAAACAGTGAGTGATGGCATTAAAAAACCTGATGTACCTGGTTATGGAGTCTCCGATGATGAGCGTGGTCGGGGGAAAAAGGGGACGAGGAGCTGGTGTGCAGGCGCTGAAGCCTTCAGAAGTTGGGCGCTCCACCTGTGCAGGAGACGGCGATTGTCGGCAGTGAGCGGACGCAGGTGGAGTGAGGTTGTTGCCGGCCCGGGGGAGCCTCTCCGAGCGCCTGGAGACGGCCTCCTTCAGCAGCCTGCGACGCAGTATCCCGGTCGAGGAGGGCCGCGGTGCCAGGTCCGAGTTGGACATCCGCGGAGCCGCCTCTGCTGGAGCTGGGACCGTCAGGAGAGGTGGAGCCGGAGCAGGGACTGGGACAGCGGGAGCCTCATCCCTCAGGGCCAAGAAGCGGTTGGAGAGAGAGAGCCGTGGTGGTGAAGGGACTCTCTCCGCTGCGGTCGTCCTCCGTCCGCGTTGCGCCACCTCGAGCCAGGTTTGCTGCCCCTTCAGCTTTGGGGTCGAGCTGTGGGTAGGGAGCGCTGGGAGCCCCGCTACCATGCCAGTGTCAGGGTCGTCCAGCGGTCTCAGATCCTGACTGTACCGATGCGCGGGAGGAGAGGTGGGGAGACAGCCTGCCGGCTTTGCGCTGTGCGGCACGGGTGAGCCGGCTGGACCCCCGGCTGCAGGGCCCTCGGCTGGCCCGATCGAAGAATGCAGGGAGGCCAACCAGGGCAGAGTGGCAGCGGAGGCCGAAACCAGCTGTGGTGCCAGAGCCGAGGGCGAAAGACCGGTGATCCTGGAGGCCTGACTCAGGGATATATGTTTGGCTTGAGCTGAAGCTACGGATATGAAGCCCTCCAGCAGCCTATCCTTCTCACGGAGATCATTTTGCAGACGACAAAGCTTCTCTTCCAACCGTGAGTTTTTTATTTTGCAGTCCGCACACACAGCCATTTAAAATTCCCACTCTTCCGGGTCCCGCGCAGAGTTCCGTGCGTAATGCAGCGTGGATCGTCTGAGGGCCGTCTTAAAATAGCCGATAAAACCCATACACGGTAAAAATTCAACTTAAAAGCCAACAAACTGTTAAGAATGCAGTCTAAAAAGTTGCTTAAAACCGGTTAAAATTGGGTTAAAAGTCGCCCGGGACGGAGCGATTCGGCGGGATCGTGTGCAATACTGACGCATAATTACATAATAAGGTTATATTAGTACTGTATTTTTAATCGCACCTCTCTTGTGCCAGTTTGTTGACTATATTTCAGCAGAGCTCTTGTATTTACTCTAAATATCTACTGGGTGTTTATCTTAAAGGATAAGCTGTATGATCACATTACAGGATTGGTAATAACAACATAAATCTGTATGTGGCAAAACAAGGCACTTGTGGTGGATGAAGTTTGACGATGTGCAATTGCCTGGTCAAACTACATTTTGGCTTGTGTCCCTGCATGCTGTCCGCTGCTCTGCCCTGATCTCAATACTGGATCAATTTCAGAAATTTTCCTACCAATCAGGCAAACACATGCTAAAATAAGTTGGAAACACATCAGTCCCCCTTCGAATAAGCACCTGCTCACAAAATGCTGCAATGTTTTAACCTTGGCTCTTCAGCTGATGCATGACACCTAAATTAAGGCTTTGTGCTTGATATTCTAATTGTAGGCTAATATGCAAGCATAGAACATACACAGAAACCTAACAAGCAAACAAGCAGTCATATTAACAAAGCACTAAAAACACAAAATTAAAACATTAAGCAGATGTGAGTCATGATTTTAAGGGATAACCAGAATAACTGGCAAATCAGACATTTTCAAGAGCCTCCAGCATCACAGAGTCAAGCTTTTCTCTTAGTGTATGTTTATTTCCTCCGCTAAGGAGGTTATGTTTTAGGTAGCGTTGGGTTGTTTGTTTGTTTGTTAGTAACTCTACGGAGAAAGTTACAGACGGATTGACCTGAAATTTTCACCAGAGGTGCGTCTCAGCCCCAGGAGGATCCCATTACATTTTGGTGGTGATCCGGATTGCCTTCTGGATCCAGGAATTTTTTGAAGGATTCTTTATCATTGTGAGATAGGGCAAATTTTTGAATTTTTGCATTTAACTCTATAAAAATGGCCAGAGTCTTGATCCTGATCCGGACAAAATTCTGGATACTGTGATCCAGAACACACAAAAGTAAGGGTGTCGTTGGAATTTTCAATGCTGAAAGATAACCAATGGGCGGCACAGTGGTGTAGTAATTAGCCTCACAGCAAGAAGGTCCTGGGTTTGAATCCGGGTCAGGGCATTTCTGTGTGGAGTTTGCCTGTTCTCCCTGTGTCTGCGTGGGTTTACTCCGGGTACTCCGGTTTCCTCCCACATCCCAAAAACATGCCTGAGTGGGGTTAGGTTAATTGGCCACTCCCAAATTGCCCATAGGTGTGAATGTGAGCGTGGATGGTTGTTCATCTCTATTGGTCAGCCCTGCAACGAACTGGCGACTTGTCCAGGGTGTCCCCTGCCTTCGCCCGAAGATGCTGGGATAGGCTCCAGCCCCCCCCCGTGACCCCGGGAACGGGAATAAGCGGTAGAAAATGAAAATGGAAAGATAACCAATGACGATACGAGGAAGTGTACACTTAAAAATATTGCATAATAAATCATGCATTTATGTATCTAATATGAGCTTTGTTTTTTTAGGAACATTATGAAGAGTGAACATACCAGTTTAAACACAAATAAAAGTTAATAAAAGACACGGAACACTAAAAGTTTTGGTGTGAATCACAATATAAGGGGGGACATGAGCTGCTTGGCGGAGGTCTGCGCTCTCCAAGTGCTTTTCTAGTTTGCTTATTCATTGGTGTAAGATATTTATTGTTTGTGTTTGTCACTAGAAACTGGTTTGTCATACTGGTTTGAACTTCAATGGGGTGTAAGCTCCCTGAAACCAACTGGCTGCAGTATGGAACATAATTCAGAGAAACATTTGTTTCCACATTTTGAAGGCATAGTTTAAAAAGTTGAATAAGCTTACATGGGCCCTACCTCTGACAAAAACAGCCTGGGGTCCCTGAATGTTGAGTAGGAAAAAGAAATCTGTCAACATTTTGAAGGGGGTAAAACACAAGGCTTTCTTGTTTGTTTGTATCATATCTTCTGTTTTCTCTCCCGCTGCAGGATGAATGAAACAAATTTATTGATGACCCTCAAGAGAAGATTCTTCTTCTTACTTTTCTTAGTGTTTGTTCTGTGCTTCTTGCTGTCAGTCAATGAGGGACACATCAAACATGAATCTTCATCTCCCCCTGTAGGAATTCAGACTTTCAGATTTTCATTGATCCCTTGGTTATGGAAATTTTGAGAGGGCCACGGGGCTACTGTCAGGGGGTGTACATTGTGATGCAATCTGCTAGTTCTGTTTTATTTTTTAAAGGAATATTGCTCTATTTGCAGTGTCAGATTTTGGAAAAAGGTACAACCAAGTAAAACATAGTAAAATCCACTTGCTTCCAAGCAGCTCACAGGGGATAAACTGTGTGCTTCCACAACAGCCAGGGTCTTGTTGATTTTACAGGAGACGATCCCTGTCATTTCAGAGACTGTCTGGATCCAATCCCTGAAAAACAAAGCTATTTTGTGATGAGTTATGTCTTGATTTTTGTGAACAGCCTTAATTTTGTTGTAAACTGATTAAGCAAGAGAGAAGCTGCCATGTTTATTCTGGTCTGTTGACCAATCAGAATTTTTTCTTTTGACAGTAACATCTCATCTACACTTCTGTAATATTTTGCATATATGTGTCACAGTAATAACTCCACTTGCACTCATGGCTGTTTTTTTGTTGTATTATTAGTTTCTACAATAGATGTTTTGCCCCCAGTTGTCCTGTCACACAGGTGTGGCAACATGATGAGAGTTTCTGAGCCACAGTAAACCACAGGTAAGTAACACCCAATTCAGGCGGGCAAAAAGAAGGAAAGCAAGACTACTCAGAAAAGTTCCAATGTCCAATCCACAAAACTGGGGCAGCTTTTGAGATTTCAGCATGCCACAGCTGTGCAGGGTTACCAACAGGGAACCAGAGAAAAAGTACTGGATAGTCATTCATGAGATGTCAATGGACAATCTGTTAAAGAGTAGTGTTTTGTCGTTCATGAATGTTTCGTTCAAAAGAACGGAACTGCCAACGTGAATGGAATCACTTCAAGACCTGATTTGTTCCTTTCTCAGTTCAGTTGAGCTCAGCCATGAGTGTGGCGTGCCGTTTATCAGACGGGTACACAAGGTTGCAGAGTATGTAAATGCAATTACAGATTAAGATTTAACTGTTGTACTATGGCTGTAGCCAGGTCTTATTTTGAAAGTTTAAAAACAAAACTTGAAAATATATCCCTCAAATATTATACAACATTAATTTAAAATATTGTACTAGTTTTTCATTCACCCTCACAGTAACCAAACAATGGCCTTAAAGGTGGGTTAGGCAGGATTCTGTTAAAGAAGCATCTTTTTTTGTGGTGTATATACAAAAAAGCTTTTCATATCAGTCAATAGCTATTAGCTATTGATGACATTTGGTAATATAACAATATTGCTGTGTTCTGTTATGTCTGTATAGACAATATTTTGAATATTTTGAGCGGCCCGCTCTTTCTGACTGTAAACAAAGCCATTCTTCGCCTCCCCCAACCTGATTGGTTGTGAGGCAGACGTCACTCCCCTGTTTTGTTCAGGAGCCCAAACAAAGTTAGCGTGCTACAATATCAGACAGTAGAAACCAACCAGAAAGTACGGAAATTTGTCTGAATCCTCCTTCGGCCACGACTGCCAACACAAGCAAGAAAACCAAGTATATACCCGAGACTCTGGCGTAATAACGGGCGCTTAAAAAGGTGGTAGACCTGACAAGAGCTAAAAAGCCATGTCAACATCAATGAAGCTAACACAAACGATGATGGAGGCTTTGTGATCTAACAGACTCTGTAACCTTTCTGCTGGACAGGTAAACCACGTTAACAAAGTAAGCCAAGTGTCTGTAACAGAAGTGTTTCTTGTTAAACGGACCTGCTGCGTGTTGTAGCGCCACTAAACTGTTGACCTCAGGTCCTGGACTATGTCACTTTATCCTAGTTGTAGAAGTCCTGAAAAACATTGTGTTTGCTGGTAGTTTGTTGTCATCTACAGTAGCACCAATGCTTTTTACTTTTACGTTGACTGGGCCCCATTTGTAATTATCTGAAGTATTTATCTGCATTATATCTGAATTTAACTGAAATTCTTTTTGTGGGCAGGTCTTGCTGGAGCAGAGAGGGAAGAGAGAGCAGAAGCTGAGGGGAATACTGGTTGGGAGGGGTAGAGTTTACATTCAAGATTTCTCCCAAAAACGGCACTTCCTCAGATCCTGCCTACCCCACCTTTAAATAATTGTGTTGAAAACCTGTGTTTTCTGTAAATAGGAGGTTGCCCTCCCAAGCCCCAAGCCTCTCTCCTTCATCTTTCTGGGTTAATTTTCACAAGGCAATATACTCCTGGCAAAATTGGAAAAAAAAAATATATTTTGACACGTATGTTGAGGTGTGGTCATTTGGGAAATGATTCAGGATTGTAAAGACAACAGATGTTAGATTAGATTAGTTTAGATTAGATCAGATAGAACTTTATTAATCCTTTTGGAAAGGTTCCCTCTGGGAAATGAAAATGTTGCAGTGCAGCAGTGTGGAATAAAAATATTGAACTGCGTAGTTTCTTTTCAAATTCTATTAATTTATTTCACCATGTCTGTGTGCTTTGGCCAATAGACATTATCAACGACATATTAATAAATGCTCCTGTCAGGTTTACCTTATTGGGTGTGGCTTTGTGTGACTTGTTGCAAAGTTTAGATAAAATATGTTGGTGTGTATAAACAGTAAGGTAAGTCAATACCAAATAGGGAGGTACCATGTTCAACAGTTATTTTAATTGTGTATTATTAGGCTTAGGCTTATCAGTTCTCTTTTTTCTCACACCACACAAAATGACTACAAGAAGTTTTCAACTGAGACCTGAGACATGGATAATTTTCTTCTTTTTATCTTCAGTCCTGCTAAATCTACTGTTCCTGCTATCAGTCAACGTAGGGTATGACGACATCTACAAATCTTCACTTCCAACAGCAGACAATCTGACTTTTCACCGGTATAACATCAACTGTTTGGCCATCTATGACTTGGACCCAGTGGAGGTGAAGAAAGCGCTGATCATCAAGGAGAGCCAACTTGTTGAAGACACAGATGAAAGTCTGTCTGTAGCCACATCAAACCGTCCACTCTTCATCAAGGCAAGAGGTTATGATGATGTGTGTGTGTCTGAGGAGGAGAAAGACTTTCCTATTGCTTATTCTTTGGTTGTTCATAAATACGCATGGATGGTAGAAAGACTAATCAAGGCAATCTACTCTCCTGCAAACATCTACTGTATCCACTATGATGAAAAGTCTCCTGCTTCGTTTAAATCAGCCATCAAGAGCTTAGCCAGCTGTTTGCCAAATGTCTTCATTGCCTCCAAAATAGAGTATGTCTATTATGCCAGCTTCAGCCGAGTACAAGCTGATCTTAACTGCTTTTCAGATCTTCTGAGGTCAGAAGTCAAGTGGAAGTACATCATCAACCTCTGTGGCCAGGATTTCCCCCTCAGAACAAACATAGAGCTGGTGTCAGAGCTGAAGGAGTTGAATGGAGCAAACATGCTTGAGACAACTCGACCCCCAGCTCACAAAAAGCTGAGGTATACGCACCACTATAAGCTTATGGAAAACAGCGATCTCAACATAACAGACCAGTTGAAATCACCACCTCCACATGGCATTGAAATATTTTTTGGCAGTGCCTACTTTGTCTTGTCACGAGACTTCATTGTTTACATAAACTCCTCAGCTGTGGTAAAGGACTTCCTGAAGTGGTCAGAAGACACCTTCTCCCCAGATGAACACATCTGGGCTACACTTGTACGAATGCCAGGTGTACCTGGGGAGGTGCCCAGATCCCATCCTGATATCACTGACCTGATGAGTAAAACCCGGCTGGTAAAGTGGTTAGGTCATGAACCGCACCTGTATCCTCCATGCTCTGGGATTCACATCCATGAAGTCTGTATTTATAGTCTAGGGGAATTGCGCTGGTTGCTGAACTATGGTCACTGGTTTGCCAATAAGTTTGACCCCAACATGGACCCAATTCCACTTCAGTGCTTGGAGGAGAAGCTGAAGGAAAGAAGAAAGCTTTTTGGCTGTTAGTGATTTTTTCTTGAATGGTTTTTTGGTGTAAAAGGCACATATCATATTTTAAATTATTTTCTTTTATAATGAAATAACAATCAATCTACTTCAGCAAACTGAATACCTTGTTGCAGAACTTTTTCTTTTGTAACTAGTATTTCACTGTTTTTTTTTATTCTTCAATGATTCAGTGTTGATGCAAAGAAATGAGCAGAGATTTTGTGTTTTGTTTTTTTTGTCATTTAGAATATGACATACATATACATGTAACTTGTGGCCTCCATATAGAATTATTTAACTTGGAAAGTTATCTATGGATGTTTTGTGTTTTGTGTAGGTCTTTCTGTGAAAATATGCATTTTGTACATACTCTGAAGTTAAGGACAGCCTTTTCTGGTAGTCAAGTCCTATCTTTTTTACATATGTTTGACGGATGAAAGTTCTCACACTTTGTGTTCATTTTAAGGTGAAAACACATGATATAGAAGCACTGGGGTTAGTGCTGACAGCTTCTCTGGGCCCAAGTGGAATTTACTTTCATAAAGGTAAAGAAGGTTTGACAACTCAAACTCTACATCTACCGACACAGTATTCTTAACCCCAAAGAGAGGCCCTTTGGAAACATTTGGCTCGTTACCAGCACTCAACTAACAAATCAATGTCTGTGACTGTATGAGGATGCATAAATGCTTGTGGCATGAATAACTTAGACATCTGGAAAAGTGAGATAAGTGTGTTGTGTGTAACTGCTATGCATTCAAAGCACTGGATGTCCTGACTATGTTGTTTAATAAAGCAATATTATATGTGTATTCATAGGTTTAAGTAAATTTAAGTAAGACACTTCAAAAGTCATATTAATTGAGGGTTGAAGTGTAAAAAGGAAATGGGAGTAAATACTGTAAAAATTGGTGATGCAGGTGTGAATAAATTTCATTAACTTGTCAAACACCACCCGTCATTGTATATGGTTTTGTTTTGTCTAATATTAATAATGCATCAGATTTTTATAGCGCTTTATCAGAGACTCTCAAAGCGCTTTACATTTGATTCATCATTTATTTGCTCACACAGTCACACCCTGGTGGTGGTAAACTACCACAGTAGTCACAGCTGCCCTGGGGCAGACTGATGGAAACATGGCTGCCAATTCGCGGCAAGCCTTCGTCCACCAGCTCTGGGTAAGCACCAAAGGTGGCAAAGGTAGATGCTAATGAGTGTGAGTGCATGCCTGCACACTGCTGGCATGTAGGCCTATCCCTCTTATTTTCTCATTGTGGATTACTGTGTGTGTGTGCCTGAGAGTTTATGCACTTTTGAAAGGTGCTGTAAATGAAAAAAGTTTCAAAAACGCTATTTTATCTCAAACATACAATCACAAAGACATCCATCCCTCCACTTACCAACTGAAGGTGTGTCCATTCACACCAACATGCCTGTGCATGTTTCCAAATGCAGAAACAGAGTGCATGATTTCCCTGTAGTAAATAGGTGGGTATGGTGGGTCAAAGTGGTCACATAATGCAAGAAAACAATCCTCTTGTTAGCTATGAATCATTAAAAATTCATAATCTATTGATTTGTGTGAAATCCTGGTGAAAATGGTCAAAACTTGGAGTAAAATGTCTGAAGGTTTAAAAGGATTAAAATGGTTTTTAATGTGAATAATGTGTTTTCTCAAAAATAATAACGCCCACTGGGAGGGGCTCTCGGGGTTTTAAAATAGGGCTGCCTGGGACTTTAATTTAGTCTGGAGTTTGTGCTGAAGGTAACTTTCAAGCTGATTTTTGTATTGCTGCTCCTTTTTTTGTTTTGTTTTGTTTGTTTGTTTTTGTGTGTGTGTTTTTGAGAGAACTTTTTTTGGAGTTTTTGGAAAAATATTGCCTTGTTGGTTTTTTCATCTTTTTGCCTTTAACATCTTGTAAAAAGTGCTTTGACCATTTTTGCACCTTTTGTAAATATTTTTGGACTGCACTTTGGAAAGCCATCTGTAAATAGATACCACCATCACTAGATTTTTTACCACGACGCCTGTGTTTTCCACTATACTGTTATTGTTGAAGGGACACCCAAAAAAATCAAACAGGACCACATTGAAAAATTTTAAGCAAACATTTTCTATGTGTCCATCTATCTTTAGACATACATACATGTCTGTCTGTCTATCTGTCTGTCTGTCTGTCTGTCTGTCTATCTGTCTGTCTGTATGTATGTATGTATGTATACAGTATATCATGTAAATGGCTTCTAAAGCTGATTTAAGTGACACTTTTTGTTTATAACCCTCAGTCAGCTACAAAAACACCTGCTTTGGAACATGAGCTATGTGTGCCCAGCTCAAACTCTCACTCCTAAAGCACATTATAATTCATGGTGATATTAAAAATTGATAATGTAGTCTGGCTTGCCAAAAACAATATTTACTTCTTAGTTGAACTGTAATTAGCCGATGCGGGTTGTTCTCTCAGTCCTTCCTCTTTCTTTCTCAGGTAGTTTCTTTAAGTATAAGTCTGCCCTCTAAAAAGACTTGACAGGATGACACACTCTGGACGTAAAACTATCTTGGAGGATAAGCTGTGGGATCACAACGCAGGATCGGTAATAACAATGTGAATCTGTCAGTGGTGAAATAAAGCACTTTTAGACGATTTATGATGATGTGCAACTGTCTGGTCAAACTACATTTGGCTTGTTTCGCTGCTGTCGGCTGCTCTGCTCTGATCTCAATACTGAGATCAATTTCAGATATTGTTCTACCAATCAGGCAGGCACACACAAAACTAGTTGAAAACCCCTCTAGTTCCCCTTTAAAGAAGCACATCAGCAAAGTGTGATTCTTGACAAACATGCCTTAAAACTGCTGTAATGTTTTAACCTTTGCTCTTCAGCTCATGCATGACACATAATTAAGGCTTTGTGCTTGATATTCTAATTGTAGGTTTGTATGCAAACACAGAACTTACACAATAACCTAACATGCAAATGAGCAGTTGTACTGAAGAAGTACCAGTACAGAGAACAAAAAATAAAACACCAAGCAGATGGGTGTAACCACTATTCGTTCAAAAGTTTACAAGATGCAATGAAGAAAGCAACCCAATCAAATCAACTGAGGCAAAAATAAATAATCAGCAAATTGGGTCATGATGGTTCTTTGTAGTATAACCAGAATAACTGGCAAATCAGACATTTTTAAGGGCCTCCAGCAGCTCAAAGTCAGGCTGTCTGTTATTTCTCTTCATATGTATTTTATTTGCTTATTTATTGGTGTAGGATATTTGTTGTTTTTGTTTGTCTCTGGAAACTGGTTTGTCAGGTTTTAATGACAATTTATCCAGTTTCATTTGTACATGTAACAACTAAAAAAAGGTTTTAGACCACTACAAGAGGCTCTGTATACAGGTATGGCTGTGTTCTTTAATATTAGAGTTTTGATGAAGCTGTAGGCATAAAATTACCTTATTTTGTGTAGCTTCTATCTCATCCCAATCTTCTTCAATAATCTGCAAAATTTTTGAAAATCCATGGAACTGGTGTAAACTTACCGATCGCTGTGAAGGAAATGGAATGAGGGAGACAAAAATACCAGGCTTTTTTGATTAGACAAAATGTTCTGCAATGCGTGGTGATGAGGTCTTGTGTGCTTGACTGCACTCCCCCAAAAGGAGGCTCATTTGTTCTTTTTGTTTATTGGTCCAAGAAGAGTTGCACGAGACATGTGTTTATAAGATTTTAGCTTTCAACAGGGGCTTAACAGGCTAAAAATGCCTTCGCCACTTAGAATGTAGCTTTGTCTATGGCAATGGGGCAAATAGCAAGCGCAACCACAGCTGCAAGATGTGGTCAGACATCTTTACTTTGACATATGTATTTTGAACAGTGCTTTTTTTCAATAGGTTTTAAAGCCCCCCAGGTTTAGGGGGAAAAACATAAGGCTTTCTTGTTTTTTGTTTGTATCAATCAATCAATCAATCAATCAATCAATCAATCAATCAACTTTATTTCTAAAGCACATTTAAAAGAACCACAAGGGTAGCCAAAGTGCTGTACAATGACACATAAAAACAAATAAAACGATCAAAGAACAAGATAAAGTGAGCAGAAATACATCAATGCAAAAGAATATATAAATGTATAAATAAGGAGGTCCACAGCAAGTGCTAAGATGATAAAAAAAATTAACACTACAATGTATCAAAAGCCTATGAATAAAAGTGTGTTTTTAAAAGGGATTTAAAAACAGGAAATGAGGATGCCTGTCTAATTTTCAAGGGCAACTCATTCCAGAGCTTAGGGGCAGCAGCGGCAAACGCACTGTCCCCTCTGAGCTTCAGCCTAGTACTGGTAACCATCAGTAAAAGCTGATCAGCTGATCTTAGGGGTGGGGGTGGGCAATAAGGCTGGAGCAACTCCGAAATATAGGGTGGAGCAAGATTGTTCAGGCCCTTAAAAACAAATATTAAAAGCTTAAAATGAATTCTGTGCTGTACAGGGAGCCAGTGTACCATCTCTTCTGTTTTCTCTCTCACTGCAGGATGAATGAAACAAGTTCATTGATGACCCTCAAGAGAATATTCATCCTCTTACCTTTCTCAGTGGTTGTTTAGTGCTTCCTGCTGTCAGTCAATGAGGGACACATCAAACATAGATCCTCTTATCCTCCTGTAAGAATTCAGACTTTTCACAAGTACAATATCAACTGTTCGGCCATATATGACTTTGACCCAATGGAGGTGGAGAGAGCGCTGATCATCAAGAAGAACAAAACTGTAAAAGACACAGATGAAAGTCTGTCTGTAGCCACATCAAACTGTCCACGCTTCATCAAGACAAGAGGTTATGATGACGTGTGTGTGTCTGAGGAGGAGAAAGACTTTCCTATTGCTTATTCTTTGGTTGTTCATAAATACGCATGGATGGTAGAAAGGCTAATCAAGGCAATCTACTCTCCTGCAAACATCTACTGTATCCACTATGATGAAAAGTCTCCTGCTTCGTTTAAATCAGCCATCAAGAGCTTAGTCAGCTGTTTGCCAAATGTCTTCATTGCCTCCAAAATAGAGTATGTCTATTATACCAGCTTCAGCCGAGTACAAGCTGATCTTAATTGCCTTTCAGATCTTCTGAGGTCAGAAGTCAAGTGGAAGTACATCATCAACCTCTGTGGCCAGGATTTCCCCCTCAGAACAAACATAGAGCTGGTTTCAGAGCTGAAGAAGTTGAACGGAACAAACATGCTCGAGACAATTCGACCCAATAAATACTAGAAACAGAGGTTTACACACAACTATGAGCTTGTAGGGAACAGTGTTCTAAAAAAAACAGCTGGCAAGGAAAAAGAAGTCAAAGTCACCACCTCCACACGGCATTGAAATATTTGTTGGCAGCGCCTACTTTGTCTTATCACGAGACTTCATTGTTTACATTAACTCCTCAGCTGTGGTAAAGGACTTCCTGAAGTGGTCAGAAGACACCTTGGGCTCTATTTTCGTGCCTCGCCGGAGACGTGCCGCAGGCGCGGCGTAAGTGAGGTCCGCCGCGCCGACAAGGCGTTCCCAAGCACAATTTGGTATTTTGGTGAGCAGCACAGCCCGGCGTAAGTATCCCCCCCTCCCTAACTCAGCTCCTCCCAGTGGCGTAAGTCGTAGCCAGGGAGGAGAAAGGGCGTCGAGTGGGTTTAACACAGCCGAGACCTGTTTTCACCAATCACATAAGCTCCTCTCCTTGCCTTTAAATCCGCCACAGGCGAGGCGTATTACTGTTTTCATGAAGTAGTCAAAGAGATCAAGAGACGTCTGAAGACAGAAATGCCACAAGAGGCGACAGAGGGCAGCTCCTCAACAAGTGTCACTGTAAGCGCTGCATTGGGCGTTCTCCACACTCTCTCATATAAGCACAGATGGATTTGGTGTGTGTAATGTTGGACCCACTGGTAAGACAAACACCCTTTTCCACAAATAAAGACACTCACATAAAGTTGCTCATATTCAAACCTCATGTGACAAAGGTGGGTTGAGCGCACAGATCACAACATAAACTCCAATAAAGACATTAAAATCGGAACCATCTGTGCATAAATGACGCATCGCGCTCCGTGGCCTGGCTCTTTCTTTCATAGATGTTGGCACATAAAATGAATTTGGCCCACAAAACTGAATTTTATAATATCCGTATGTTGGTTAAAGTAGATTAGGGCTGCAACGATTAGACGACGTAATCGATTACGTCGACACGACAAATTCATCGACACGAAAACGAAGCGTAGACGCGTCGTGTTATTGTTGTTTAGAATCACATGCCGGCGCCTCATGCTCATCTATAACTGCAGTGCACTACAGGATGTGCAGGGGGCAGTAGCGCTTGCTGTTTACATGCCGCGAGCAAACACAGAAGAAGAGTGCACCCATTATGGCAGAACAAACCGAAAAAGACGCTCCAAAACTCCGACCCAAAACTTCAAAAGTTTGGGAACATTTAACGGAGAACAAACCAAAAAAACACGTCGATCAAAGCTCAGCTTTCCTACCATGGCAGCACCACGGCGATGAATGAGCACCTGAAACGCCGACACTACGGAAATAGGTGTTTATGAATAAAGTAGATAGTGATTAATAGTGATTAATCGTGATTAATCGAACGACTAGTCGGATGACTAGTCGACAAAAAAATAATCGTTAGTTGCAGCACTAAAGTAGATAACTCATCTGAGCATTGAAACAAATCATCTGTTCAGCCACTGTAGGACGGAGAGAGGACACGGAGATGTGTCCAGGTCGAGCTGTGCGAGAAAGAAGAGGAAGAGGAAGAAAGAAAAGGAGGGAGACGAATCACATATCTTGTTAACTTCATCATGTGTGTTTATTTACTAGAAATTTAATTCAATTTGATGCGGTTTCAGCTGTGTTGATTTGGTCAGGTTGTGTGTCCAAACGTGTGCCAAACGCGCTCATCAGATCACATATAGATCAGAATATGCGCAAGATGGCGGCGCCCTGCGGCTTGCCATCTAACTAAACAAAAATGATAACATAAATCTAAAAAGAGAGACGAAGGAAACGAAAAACAAAATAAGAAGATGCCACCCAAAAGGAACTCGGTGCAGAGGAAGTTGGAGGAGGACATACAGGAGATTAAACAGTCTCTCGGTCAGCTCACGGAGAAGCTGAACACAATGGCCGCCCAACAAGCCACTATCGTGGAGCAACAAGCCTCTGTCGCCAAACTCCTCGAAGAAGTCAAAACCCTGAAGAAAACCGTCATGGAAAAGGATAAAAAAATCAGCGAACTCGAGCAGAGACTCAACGAAGTTGAACAGTATACGAGAATGGAGGACGTGATCATTAACGGTCTCAGCGTGAAGCTGCCCTCGTACGCCGCAGCAGCGGCTGCAGCCAGCAGCAACACCGAGGACGTGCCGCCTGAGAATCTTCAGTCTCTGCAAGAGCAAGTTATCCAGTTCTTTGATTCAAAGGCTATCAAGATGGATCCAAACCACATATTGGCTTGCCACACACTTCCAAGAAAAGATCACAACGCCAAACCAAGTGTCATCATTCGCTTTTTGAACAGAAAGCACAAAACGGAATTAATGCAACAAGGGAAGAAGCTTAAAGAAACAGCTGTGTACATAAAGGAACACCTAACGAAACGAAACACGGAGATTGCAAGAATGGCCCGAATGCTGAGGAAAGAGAATAAGATCAAGTCAACCTGGACCCGAAACTGTAAAGTGATGATTAAGCTGAATGGAGAGTCACCAGAAGTCGTAAGAGACATACATGAACTTGACACCTACAGATAAAGGGCTTTGGTTTGCTGGTTGGATAGCCATGTATAATCTTGATGAAGAGCATTCCTAAGCTTAATGTTGGATCAGAACTGTTTTTCCTACTTACTTTTGATTTTTCTACTTCTGGATTGGCTTATCATTCGCATGCTTACTGAGACCTTTTTACGGAATGAAGGATTCATCCGGCTCTTTTCTCACTTGCTACCTGGTATAATGCATGAGAATTGTGCGGAACTGGATTACTGTTATTATTTAACCTATTGTGACCAATGACAGATTCTGATAGTGATGATACGGATGTAATGTCTGGGGTCAATGAAGCTACTCCGCTTAACTCATATCTAGATTTAGATTATGAAACATTTAACTATTCTGGAAAAAGAAGACATGATATGGACATTGACATTGACCCAGAAACTAATTTTTTCCATACTATGCACAATGATTGTAGGTATAACACTGAACAACAATTTAACATAAAGGTTGAAATGGTAGGTGTATTCCATAGACTGTATATAAGACCACCTAGAAAGACCCAAGGGGGCCTGCTCGCGACAGCAAGAGACTGGCAGCTCCTGGTTGACCTAGGGAGACAGTTGAGATTCCCGGACACCATCGCAGTCACTTCGCTTCGACCGGACATGGTCTTGATGTCCGCGGCAAGCAAGCAGGTGGTGCTGCTTGAATTGACTGTACCCTGGGAAGATCGTGCAGAGGAAGCCCAGGAGAGGAAGAGGGCCAGGTACGCAGACCTGGTAGCTGAGTGTCGGCGGAATGGGTGGAAGGCCCGCTGTGAGCCGATAGAAGTGGGCTTCGCAGGACAGTCTCTACACCGGGTCCTGGGGCTCTTAGGGATTTGCGGGCTGCACAGGCGAAGAGGCACCAAGAACATCCTGGAGGCTGCTGAAAAGGCTTCACGGTGGCTCAAGTTAAGGAGGGGGGACACGTGGTGTAGTGCGCTACCTGGACACAAGTCGGGGCCTGATCACCCCCGGCTGGGTCGCCCGGCGGAGGGTGTCTGATGTAAGACCCGAAACACCCTATGACCCCGAGAACATCACTGACGATGTGTCCAGGTTGCACCACAAGGTGTATTGAAGTACTAAGATGGACACCCTGGTTCCACCTTCCACCTGTATACGGATTTGAAGCCAAAAAGCTCTCGGTAATTCCGGGTTTTTCTCCACTTCCTGAAACCAGAGCTGTGCAGTAGCGTTGTGCGCATTTGGCCGCGCAGTCGCCGACAGTCCCTGTGATGACGCTTGGCTCAAACAGCGTATGCCCCCGGGAGAGCTACGCAATCCCTGAACGCCCATAGGCTGTACCAGGTGTCAATCATAGAAAACATGAACCCCTAATAACTTTTAAAAACGGAGCTGTACAGAAAAAAAAGGACTTGGGCACAAACCAGTCTGACAGTAACTACATGTTAACATCACAAGCAGGGGGGAGAAAAATGTATGTTCTGTGTAATAAATTTCTAAAGTTTGTCCACAGTCCCATAAACTTTGCTGGCGGAGGCGGTATTTATGACCTGTAATGCAGCCCACAATCAGAGGGTGCTGTTCTCGGAGTGGCTTCACCCAGCGAGCAGGCAGACTCTGTCCATCTTATATACAGTCTATGGTGTATTCTCAATTATACACATTAATAGCAGAAGCCTAGTTAAAAATTTCTCAAAAGTCCATGATTTTTTTAAGCTGTTTAAAACTAAATTCAGTGCAATAGCAGTCTCAGAATCCTGGATGACTAATGAAATAGTAAAAGATTATGAATTGCTGGGGTATAATATGTTTTATGTTAATAGGAGAAGGAAAAAGGGTGGGGGAGTGGTATTATATATCGATGAGACCCTGTCAAAAGGAATAGATGACAAGTTGGAAATCATTACAGTTGTAATTGAAATGAAAAAAGTTAAGAACATCATCATAAGCTGTCTACAAAGCTCCTGTATGTGAAATAGATGTTCTAAAGGAACAGATGGTTGAACTGTATGAAAAAGTAAGTAATAAGAAGACTGTATTTGTATGTGGTGACTTTAACATTGATATATTAAATCCACAGGGACAAATAGGAATATCTGATTTCATTGACACCATGTTTAGTATTGGTTTAAAACCTCGGATCACTAAGCCTAGCAGAATTACCGGATCCAGTGCAACTTTCATTGATAATATTTACTCTAACATCATGGATACTACAGTAGGGGGGTTGTTCATCCAAGACATCAGCGATCATTTACCAATTTTTACAACATTTCAATGTAATATAATGGAACCTCCTGCAGAAAAACCTCAGACAACATTTAGACTGAGAAATCCAGAAAGGGTGGAGTTACTAAAAAGGGATCTAATGAGACAATCTTGGGATTCTATTTATGTTGCTGATGTAAATGAGGCTTATAATTCATTTTTACGTGTTTTTAAAGAGTGTTATGATAAGAACTGCCCATTGAGAACACATAAGGACAGAAACAAA